TTTCTAGTAAATACACTAACCGGCGCAGCTGGCTGAATTGTTGCGCCCGAGGTGCTTTCTAACTGAGCCGCCATGCGAAGCAAGGGCCGAAGCCGCGCGGAAACCTTCAACCTAACCTCTCAATAGGGAGCGTAGGCAACGACGGCGGCGACGGCAACGAGAACGGCAAAAAAGCAAAAAGTTTGATTAGAAAAACAATAACTGTGCACGTGCATCGCGCTTTTTTGTACATTTCTTTGCCGGCACTGCACGACTACGACGGGAAAATGCCTACTATCACGTTTTGCGGAGGACGTGAACGTTAGGCAACGACTTTCTTTTTTTCCCCTCAACTTCGATACAGTCCTTTAGAAATGAAAGCCAAAAATACTCGCCAACATTGTACGAAATGAACAAAATGGAATAAGCGCGATAAAACCAAAAAAGGCAGCGCAAATTCCCTTTTTTAATGACGTTTTCGCAGCAGTCGACGTCTCCGTCGTTGTACAAAAATAAAATAAAATAAAATAAAATGAAGCACTCTCTCGCTAGCCCCACCAGCTTCGCATGCCGAAATACATCGGCGAATAGCCAATGACAGGCTTAGATAGTAAGTAGTTAGTTTACAGAAATTAATCTAACAAGATTCCTAAACGCTAATCTATACCAAGCGATGATAGAAAATTAAGAAAACAAAAATGAGAATAGCTAGAAAAAAAGGTCTTGCTGCCACGAATGATCAAATCTTACTGATTTTGAGAGAAACAATAGAAAATTAATTTTAAACAAAACATAAATATGGTAACAAACCAGTCAACAGTGCATGCAGCTACCAACTGAAAATTGAAACGGATGTTTCATTATTGCTTCTGCAGATTTACGATCTACCTTACGTCAGCTACATAATTATAAAGAGCAACCAACACTTACTTTGAAATGTACGAAGTTCCTAAGACAGCCGACTGTATATCGATAAAAAAAGCAAGTGTACTTCACTGCCTGAACTCTGCGTCTAACAGAGTGAAAAAAAAAAGACTTTGCGAAGTCTAGGAGTCCATACAATGGGACCCTTGGAAAAATATAGCTAAATTATTAAATGTCTCCATTGAACAGGCAAAAAGATCTATTGATCTACACAGGATAAGAGTGGCTTCGCTGCACTGGTCGACCGTGTAGTCGCCCGCCGGTGCAACTCCATGGTAACAGGTTTACCGTCTTGGAGGATTTTAACTTTTCTGTACTGATGTCGATTTGATAGTGAGTCACGATTCCACAAACTCTATTCTTCGCGATTGAAGATACCCATCTTGTAGAGACTCTACATTGATTATCATGCAGATAATTACGTCACTGAGAGAAGTCATTTTTGTACGTTGTTCATTCTTGTGAAAAAAAAAAAAGCCTATCAGACAAGGAAAAGTTTAAATGAAGCTGTCTCAGCGTGCTCTTGTTGTAAACGTTTGTTTTCTTACATCTCTTCGTTCCCCCGCCCGAACACTTATTTATTTGTTTCGCGGCTATAATATCATGATCAACTCATTCCCTTCCCTCTCTTAATTCATGAACCTTTTAATGTGCTTTCTTTTAATTCTTTATCTAGTACTGATCCAATCCATTTTATTTTTGTTCTTCCTGATCGCCTTTATCCTGTTACCTTCAATTCAGATTCTTCTATGATTCCACGGTATCAGTCCTGATATTTGGCCCACTCTGATACAAACACTTGACATTTATTTTTCACATGTCTGCTTTTGTCCTTCTTGCTTCCTTCAGCAACGTGCTCCTTTATTCCTGAACTTAAGTCATGCGTCGCACTTTCATCTTTACTCGTTAATATACATCAGGCTTCGTCGATTTTTTCTCTTAAAAACAGTTAACGGAAGTACCGCTTTTCTCTCACAAATTTTTTGGGGCACCAGTGAAGCTGATAAAATAGTTACCCTATTTAAGAAACAGTTTGCCAATCTTTAAGTGGTTGGCTCGGCCCCACGACGTCTAAGCAGGTCCATTTTTTGCCAAAACAGAAGAGCACGATAGGAGTCAGAGCCTGGGTAGGAATTGTGTTTCTCCCAGTGCGTGATTTTTCTTTTTTTTTTTTAAACAACCATTTGCAATACTCCAACCACGCAGATGCAACAGTTAGAAAGGCGTTTCCTTATAGTAGGTAACACCATTCTCCAATCTGATAAAGCTGTGCATTATCCCACGAAGATGATTCTTTTGCCTACATTCCGGTTTAATGCATCGGTAATACGGCCGTTAAATATCTTATCTTTAATCTGCTGACGATGTGTAATACAACTGTTTTATTTTATAAACGTTGCTCTTCAGTGACACGCCAAGAAATTCCTCCGGCGTTCAGTCACAACATTCAACTGAATTGACAGCGCGTCTCTTATTCCAGCAACTACTATTTCATCATCAATTACTAAGGTATTCAGCCTACTGATGAGCTTGTTTCACGAACAGCTCTTTTCCCGCCATTTACTCTTCTTCACTGGCTGTCTTTTGTTAGCGCCGTAACACAGAAGCGACGAGGTCCTCCGCAAAAATAGCATGGCATCAACGATTAATCGACTTAATCTGATCCGAAGACGCTAAAATCCACGTGCGGTTAATATTGTTTAAAAATTAAAAAAAAAAAAAGCTTTAACTCTGCCAAACAAAATGCTGTGCCCTCTTCGCTTTTCCCTTGCTACCTGTAAGAGCCACAGTTGAGCCAAACTGTCCAATCTCCTAGTCTTGTATCAAGATCATATGAAGACCTACGACAAAGTGCAGTCACACGTACTTGTTATCGGCTGCACTTTTTATTACAGCATTAGTAGCTACTTCAGCTTTAAAATCCTTCTTACGGCAACAACTTCAAACTCGCATAAGCATAAAAGCGGGAATGATGTGCATTGACATGTATATAGAAACTGTTATAGCCTTAAACCCTTTTTACGCCAACAACTTTTAACTCATATCAAGCAAAACAGGAAGAGGCCGAAAAAATTCTATGAAAGAAAAGTATACTCTTCACTGATCTGTTGCTAAATCTAAGTTAAGCAACTTAGAGAAAAACTCTTGAGCACTCATACAGGGCCTTGTCTTCCTGTTCATCCAGCAAAAACTGCAATAAAAAGTAACGAAGTCTAAAGCCAATTTAATGAGCTAAAACGATCGGAAACAAAAGAGTAATTTTCCTTTGAGCATGTGTTCTCGATTTCTCTTCACCATCTTTTAGGTTAAAAATAATAAATTCCTCTTCTGATAGGCAAACATATTCTCTGTCCTCTCACGTAATTTGCATTTATTTCCATTTCCAAAACCTTAAGAAATAAATCTTCTGCAGACTCATGGGTACATGAAAATCCCCACGACTAGTACAGGCACATTTTGTGACGGAGCGGAGTACAATCTACCGTGTTATCAACATCCACGCTCAGTTTACTGCGACAGGAAAAGGATGGTTTCTTCATTCAAGTGTACGCTTCTGAATCGTCTGAATTCGCCCTGTTTCGAAATACATTCTCAACTTCATTGTGAGCCCCTCATCTCAAAATTTTCTTTGCTTAAAATGTCTTTCAACGATGCAAGTGTTAGCCTCTCTTTAACATGCCTCTCATTTTCGTCGACGCTTTCCAAATAGATTCCTTGGCACCAAAAAGGTAGCTAGAAAACGCTCCTTTCACTAAGGATGACTTCATATCAAAATTACGTGTTCACTTCTTCTCTGCTGACTTGTCCATCTGTGCAAACGTCGTTTCATGCTGCACGAATCGGACCAATCGATGAGCATCTTCTAAAAACTGGGAGTAGAGCCGATAAAAAGAAAATCTATCCAACCAAAGACTAAGCATATCTTTTCCTTAAAACAGTTTCCCTTCAGTGGCACATTAAGATTATCACAATAGATAAATAAATTTTATAACCCACTAAGAATATTCATACGAAATCTTTCCTGAAGTAAGAATTGAAAATTCCTTCATTATCCGCGAAATTGTAAACAACAAGAGCAGCCGAGATTCGCCACTGAAATGAAATACAAAATGCCACGCCTGCCTTGACACGACACTAAAACACAGTTTACAAACACAAACACGTTACCTTCCTTCATTACAGCAGAAAGGACTTGAACTAAGCCACTGATGAAGTCAATGAGCCGTTCGGGGTAGTCCAATCGCATTGAAGAAATTGCCTGCCTCGGAAAAAAAAGGACAGGCTTGAAAGAAAAATGATCTGGTCACCATTTTCTGCAAGTATAGCCAAGCAAAAGGCGACGAAAATAAAGACAACAACATAAAGAAGCAAGCGTGACTTATGTACCAACCACGACGAACTTTGCTATACTAGATAAGGTAACGCTGATTCAGATACTGATTTGAGGATGGCTGTCTGTAATCTTTCGGTGCTTTTAGCTTAAGGAAAAAAAAACCATATTGCCATCTTCGAATTGTTTCGGCGATATAGTAGCCCTTCCCTTGGGTAAAAATCGAAGTATAAGTGCTTGAGGATCGTGACTCTTGAAAAGGCAGTGAAGATACAAACAAAAACAACTAGAAACGAAGAGAGAATGAAATGTAGGCAAAGTCACCCCAAATTATAAAGGAAAAACCATAAACTTGTCAATGAATTTTGAATCAATGATCAGTTAGTCAATGCTGGTTGCTCCTTACCTTATTAGTAATACTACTTGTAATTTCCTCCTAGTGACCTAACTTCTTTTAACCAATAGTTTCGCTGAGAATGAAGTTAAGTTACTCGAAGTTACTACTCACAAACGTAAATTCTTTTTAAACATAACCAGAGCTGAGGCGCAGGTGTTAAAAGCAGCAGTGTATTTCTGATGATCGAATCTGCAAGTCTATGGACGAGCAATAAAACCGATGCTGCTATGGGACAAGTAACCCTTTTTAGCGAATGAGTTCAAACTGAAACAAGTCAGTGTACATCTGCATCTCAGCAACTTGGCCAGTAACACGCTCTCAATTAAGAAGCATACGGGCCAAAAATTGGAAAGCGTGTACCTTCACTCTCACCGATCAGAAACAAAAACGACAAGAAAAACAAAAAACAAGGTAGAACAACTATGGAAAAGTAATAACAATTTTGAACTTTCTGGAAATGAACAAACCATTTCCTCACGACAAACTCTGCTTGCTTGGCGTCTTGCTAAAATTAGCTGCCAACTTGACTTTAGGAGCGGTAGACTTTTTAGCTCTTACTTTCTTTTCCTCGTCATCATAGCTCTTGCCTTGAGCAAGTGGCTTGTTACCGGCTACTCCTGTGAATGTCGCTGCAAGTTTCCTTGGCAACACAGGTTCTGAATGGCTGTAGGCCAGGATGTCTGCTTCGACTTCCGCGTGCAGCATTACTCCAGGTTTGACAGGAGCTGGCCTCACAGGTGCAACATCATATCCATAACCAGTAGGTGAATAGGGCAACTCCAGATCCTTCAAGTCGGATTCCAGTGCAGGGCATCGATTAGGTAAAGGGATTTTGGATGGTGATTTAGAGCCGTTGTATTCACCAGAGAGCTGGTTAGACTCTGCTAAAAGCTCTGTCAAGTCACCTGTTGGACCAGTACTGAGTTCATTAGGCAGACCCATGTTATCTATGGCTTCAAACAGCACGTCCATGTCAAACTCAGTGAAGGATATGAGATCCCCAACAGGGGGAGGCTCGGGAATGGCAGGCTGCAAGTCAGGTTCTGGAAGGGATTCTGGCACGGGCGCCATCAACCAATCATCGCAAAGTGTCTGGTCAGTAAATGTCCCGGATGAAGGTTCACCATCAAGAACAATCAAATCTGAATCAAATAAGAAGATAAAATAAATAAATAACCATAATATTATAGGATAACACCCTGTAATTTCCATTGCGGCCCAGAAATTTGGCTGGACAAACAAGACACCTCGTCATTCCAAAAAGACACCAGGGTTTGAGCTAGGATTTGATCACTGGGGGACAATTTGTCCCCTTGGCTAAAATTTTGGGGGACATTTTCATTTTTAGGGGGACAGACAAATTAATTTTTATTCAACATCTTTTTTTACATTCATACAGGCAAGCCAACAAAGACATTTTTTTTTTTACCTGATCCTTGTAATACAAGAAAAGTGATACAAACAAGAAAAGTTAAGTTATTGGTGTCAAGACTTTTTATTTCTCGTCATATTTAAACAGAGGATCAATGACTATGCTTTATACTTCAAAACATTTCACAGCAGAGTCTCGTCTTGGCATCCCCTTGTAAACTTCAATTCCTTTCTTAATTACTGGTAGACGTATGCCTCCTTTTCGTAGCGCAACCATGTGTGATCTCGCAACCAAGTTTTCTGGAAAGTTTGTGATTTTTTCGGTTTCCTTCGATCCTCATCCGTTTCTTCCTGATTAATACACTGTTCTTCTGTATCATTTTTCTCTGATTCACTCTGGCTTCGATTTGGAGCGAAAACGCGGCTTCATTATCGATAAGAAAAAAAATCCTCTGGAACCCAGGGTACGGGTAAACAAACTCCTGTTCTAACTTTCCTTACGACATAATCACGGACATCCGCTATTACGAACGACAGGTTGAAACTCTCGTTATAACGAACATTGAACGCCATGTTTCAACATTTACACACAACTCGTGGATACGCGCAGCTTGGGAACAGGTTTTTGCGGCAATTAGATATATTACGTCTCTCACTCATTATGGTATAGACCGTCATTGCAATTAGTTATCTATTACTTATTTTTTTCTGTTTAATTGATATTATTATACTAAAAGTTGATATTACTCTCATGAAGCGGTTTATAACTCAGGCATAAGTAAAAGAACAAGCCAGGACAAGTTGTGAGATATTCATATAATTATCCCACCCTACCTTCTCCGTCTTTGTCGTCGATGGTGACCACAATTTCATCATCTGCAAAAACAAAATGCACTGAGAACGTTTCTTTTTATAATGAGGCCGAACAAATCTTCACTTTTGGTGTTCACAGTTGTCTACAGCTTCCGAAACGATAACACTATGCAGTCATTTAGTGTCCAACTAAAGACTAAGCATATCTTTTCCTTAAAACAGTTTCCCTTCAGTGGCACATTAAGATTATCACGATAGATAAATAAATTTTATAACCCACTAAGAATATTCATACGAAATCTTTCCTGAAGTAAGAATTGAAAATTCCTTCATTAGTCCGTAAGAAAGAAAAGCAATAATTCTGAAGGCAGGATACAAAATGCTGTTTTCTTGATGCAAGAAGTCACGCTTGATATTCTCTTCGACGCTATAGTAATCTACGTGCTACATGACTTGAAGGTGAAGCGTAACTTGACGAGTCAGACAAATAAGCGTCATCTTGTGCGTCGGAAATTTTTTCTTCCACGAAAGAAATCACGCTTTAGTTTCTTTGACAAAACAGGTTACGTTTCATGCTTATATGACATAGCAAGCCGATAAAATCGCAAGTGCACAACAGACATAACAGAAACTAAACTGTAAACATGTGCTCTCTCTAGAGAGCTTTTTTTTTTTATCCCCGAAGCAGGTTTTGAAAAAGGAACTCCTGGCTGTACACCAAGGCACTCTTGCAAAACTCTGAAGACATGTTGACACTAGGAAGAACCTTTTAAAAACCCACCTTCTTCTACAACAGCGGGCGACGCCGTGTCAGAGTTTCTGGTATCATATTTCTGGGACTTAGGCAGAGTACTCTCTTCTACTCCGCTTTGCTGTCTCTCTGTTCCTAAAAAAGGAAATGTAAAGTAAATCAATTAATCAATCAATAGCGGCTCAACAAAGCCGCGTGTACATGGTTCTACTACTAGTCGCGATAGTTTCCTTGCAGATGCTTCAGTTAAAAACGTCGATACGAGGACCATTAATTCTGTTCACATGGTGGCAAAATTCATACATTCACTATAATCATTTTATGACAATTATCTTTCTTTTGGATAAAAACAGGAAAACGCAATATGGATAGTGTTTTTGTGCAGGCCATTAAATAACATGCATAGCGTTTCCGTTTGCAAAAACGACCGAGGAACGGGATTTTCCGTTTTGACCGCGCGAGAAATGAAACGAGAGCCACCCATCCCGGCCCTCCCCACCCCGCTCTTTTACTTGCGCCATTTTTCGCGCGGTCTTTGACTCTTGTTCCTCATTCTTTGCTCCTAAACCACACAGAAACGCTTGCTACACAGGCTAGGCTTCGCAGCTCCTCTGCCAAAACTTTGCTCGCGCAAAATGACGATCCCGTTGGCTACGCGGGCTATATATTGAAAAATACTCAGGAGAAGCAGAAATTGATGGTGAAAACTCTTAGTTACTGAGATAAGAAAAAAGGTTGAATGGCGTTAGGTTTGCCCGGGAAATTGTATCCGTCAAGCGTAATTCCACTCATTAGTTTCTTATCCGTAACTGTACTACAAGTCCTTACAATTCGATGAAGGTCTGCGGTACATTTGTACCAAGAAGGTGAGCATGATCGGTCTGCATGAGTGTGCTGAAAAGAGATCTCACCCAGATACAACCTTCAATTCATTTGTGACTTATAACTGAAGAAAAGCATTACCTTCCACGCCATATAAAGAAACATTGTCTCCATCAACCAGGACAACCATTTTTTCGGAGCCTTTCCCGCGTATCTCAGCCACGTTTGACATGGCATCGATAACCTCTGATATACGATTAAAGCCATAATCCGCAGCCTTGCAAGGACGACCGTACAACTGCTGAAAGTTGGGGGCAAACCGGTTTAATGAGACACATCCACCAAGATGTCTCAGGAGATCTCTTGTCTCAATTGCAAAAGTCTGTAACGGCGTTAAGCGAAGTTTGCTGTCTTTACTGTAAACCTGTTAACAGACGAAAAGTATAAACAGATTAGCCACACATTGTTTCTTTCCATGAATCAATACTTATTGGTAGTGCTGTTTTTCTTTGTGCCGGCACAAGACTTTTCGCTTTAAATGCAGTTTTAATTGAACAGTTTCTAACGTTTGCTTCGTTTACAAGGTAGTTCTAACACTAAGAAAGAAATCTGTAGGTCTAAAGATTTCTTGAACCGCGGCCTAAGTTAGACTTCGTTTAAATAACCGGCCCTATGTGTCTTAAAAGCGCCTACCATTAGTCAGAACAGGCCGCCCAGACCTGTCTAGTCGTTAGGAGAATTTAACTATTAATCCGTTAAACTCTCTATAGAAAGATCTATGTACTCTAAAATGGAGTGCACGACAGTGAGGATTTTTTCTGCGGAACCTCGAAGAAAGCCAATTAATTTTCAAAATTATCGAACTGTCCGGCCAGTTTTGACTTGGGGTAAGTGGTCTTAGAGAGTGAGTTCAGTAACGAAGTGATTGTGCAAGGTCTAGCAGTATGAGCCAAACATGAACAAAAATGAAACCGTAAAACCAAACACGTAGAGGACATGGGAAATACAACCAGACGCAGGTTAATAGAGATTTCGATTAAATATTTTGCCAACCTTTGCAACAGGAGACACTACAGACAGCAAATCATCCAGGGAGGCACAGCCAAAGTTCTGAACACAAAGCTTCTGACCGTAAAGTTGTTCATAAGCAGTAGTAAATTTTGACAAAAGAATACTGTTATCGGCTTGCCCAGTCAGCACGTTTATCACACGAAGTGAAAACGCGTTTAAAAGTTCTTCTTGTTTTACGCAAACGGCGGCCATGTTGCCTGCACCTTGAACCTGTGAAAACAAGATTTCACGCGTGACCACGGTCAGTCATAATATAGGGGGCAAAATAAATGCGATTTTCCAACTTAACAAAAATGTATGGCGTTTTGTGTCATCCCCAAGTACATAGTTAAAGGATAAAAACAAGTTTGCTTGTTGCCGTCCAACACAAGACTATAGTCCCACCTTTGCCAATGACTAATCAGAATGTTGAAAAGCGAACGAAGTCAAACTTCACAGCGTGCAAAGAAAATGCCCAAACGTCATTTCCGATAGCCCCAAAAGCTTTTTGACGAGCAGAATTGATTTCACAGTTCTTCTGTTATTCGAATTCCTCAAAAAAACATCACTTGCCCGTCGGGCAAGTTAAACACAGAATTAACTAGCCCGATAACAAAATCCACTAGCCCCGGCCTGTCGGACACTACTTTCTTTACACGCTGCTTCATCGCTAATATCTGTTCACTTTGCCTAATAAGTTCGATAAACCAGTCAAAAGTCGCGTGCGTTTGTCTCTGTTCGCTAAAGCAATGGAACTGAATTGCTTTATTCCAGTAGGAGTCAGTTATTGATTTGGTTGTGTTTCACGATCGTTCCTTGGTCATTAAATACAATGCACCAAACGAAAACAGTAACAAGGCTCCGCAGATACTATAACATTCCCATCATGGCTCATTTTTACAGCTAATTCTTTTTCTTTTCCTTGCTCGTGAACGTTACTTTACCGTAATTGTGTATACCTCGTTTGCTGTATGTCAAACTTTGTAAAAATAAACAATTCAACAAAACCTTACAACAACCGAAAGTAATCAACATCAGTGACTTTGAATCTGTATTAGAACAGTTTCAGTAGAGAAATGTGAAACCCAAATTAAAGTCTTAGTTATAATTTCAGCTCAGCCGTGATAAAAAAATATGAAGCTTGCCATGACACAATCCCTTAAGTATAAATAAAGGCGAAAAGAGATTTTTTCTAACCTCAATGACATCTCCAAGAGCACGTATGAGGGCATCCATGTTGGAGTAACCCCAGTCTTTGGGCTTCAGCACGTGATGGTATTCCCGTAAGAAGATTTCAGGAAAAGCAAATTTTGCAACTCTGGATCCTGGGTATTTCATCAACAGAGTTGTGATCTTCTCCGCAAGTGGCTGTAATTCAAGGGTTCGTTTTTCTAAGAATAAGGAAGACAACTTCGGTTACTTTGGCAACTACATGTAGTTTTCATTCGAACACTCAAATTTTAGGTTTAGACTCGTCCAACGTTTGAAGCAAGTATAGTGCAGATCCAAGGAAATGGCGTATTCATTTCAGTTTTTCTCTCTAAATTGTAAGTATGGGATAGAATAACAAGATGGCAAGTTTCTCTTGTTCACTAACTTTTCTGTAGGCCTTCAGCTTCAACAAGTTACCTTTTTAATACCAAGAGATTTGATAGTCAACTTTCCCGGAGTTGAAATCAGACTTTTAAAGTCAGTGTTCTGCCTGGAACGGATCGCTCATTATACGTTTCTGGGAAACTGACCACCTACTCCCCACCCCCTCCCCCGCTAAGTCAACATTTTGCCCTAAGTGAGAAGTAAGTGTTAATGTTGCCTTAGGGGAGGGGTAGGTGGGCAGTTTCCCAGAAACGTATGAGATCTCCTAGAACTTACCTTTAGCAGTAGACATGGGTAGGAGAAGAATTCTATCATTGCCGGATCCCTTAACCTAAAAGATATAGACTGAGTGAGATTTAAAAATAAACTAAGCAAAGAAACAAAAGTACAAAAACAGTACAAACGAAAAGGAAAACAAAATGGCCACACAGACAAACAATAAAAATGAACCATGAACAGTTTCTCTGCACGTTGGGAGAGAGAGAGATGGGCGAAATGAATTTTTCCTCGGCTCACTTTGGTAATCAAGAGCTATCAAGCCTAATTTAGTCACAGGAGATGTTACAATAAAGAAAAAAAGATAATATATTGCCGATAAAACGGCCTTAGCAATAACGATATCTTGGTCCACTTGAGAGAGAGGGAAAGGACTAGGGCAAGACCGATTATGGATTACTGCATGTGTAGGGTTAAATCCTTGCAATTTTTTTACATTTATGGATGATCAACATGCCAAAGGCTCGAGCTTAATTCTTGGTGGTAAATGTCCTCTTCTTTAATAGTTCAGACTTTCAATGAAAAACTAAAAATACTCTCTAAGGGCGCTTTCCATTTGTCAGAACTGACCGGCCAAACCATTACCGTCGCAATGAGAATTTCACTTTTAATCAAAATTATTCAGCCACATCAATCAAATCCTAAATAGTATGCACGAAGGAAATGGTTTTTCAGCCAAAATCTTTAGAAAAAGCAGATTTCATTTGCTGACTGGTCCAGCAATGGTCCGGCCGGCCAGTTCTGACAAATGGAAAGCGCCCTATGTCTCTAAAACTGAACTGGCGTCGACATTTACGAAAGGAAAATTGGAACTTCGTTTACTTATCCCTAACACAGGTTTCAAGCCTCAAAAATCGATTTTACTAGGGAAAATATGCGCCAAAATTCATTAACTACATGTACCTTTGCAATTCCCTCTAAACTCTTAATAAAGTCCTCAAGCTTCGCTTGGCCAAGAGGAAATTTACGGCCATGATGTTTACGAAAAGTGGCTGCAAGGCGTGAAATGAGTAGAAATTTGCCCTCCTGCAATTCCAACAGTTCTACCACATCTTTGCGTAAAGACTGCAGAGTGACTTTTGGAGGAATCACGAGAAATTTTTCACCACATATCTCTGTGACCTGAAAATAAGGCACGCCCAAAAGGTTATTGGACTTACTTTCAAGCACATGTATGATACCATTAGCTAATTGGCAGTCTGGTAAAGCATCTGGTCTGACAAGTAACCAGTTACCAGTTGTTCAAAAGGTGGATAGCATTATTCATCAGATAAATCTCTTTATTACATAAACACCAATGAAATACCAGGTGCGCTTTCGCGCGAAAACTTGATATCTTCACATATGAAAATAACATGTTATCTTCACATGTGAAAGTATCACCGGTGCTATGGCTACATGATAAATCTTGCCTTTCACGCCAAAAAACTATTAAAGTGAAATGGTTTGGTATTTCATTGGTGTTTATATAATAAATAGAACATTACATGGCCGCTTGGAAATACAAAATTTCGTATCTCCAAGCGGCCATGTAATATCCTCTATATCCACTGGATAGCGCAATTGGTTTCCCTAACACTTTTCCTCTGGATAGTGATTTCACAAGGGGATAGTGCAGGGCTCGAAATAATTTTCGGATAGTCTCCGGTCACGATGACCGGCCAAATTCATTTTTGCTCGGTCACGTATCGTTTCTGGCCGGTCAAATGTATATGATGAATTACTCTTTTAGGGGCCCATAAACCAAAGTAAAAACTTGCAAGAGGTGACAGGCCGCACATCTTCACTGGCGTGAAACCTTTGAAACCTTTTATATACTGCTCCATTGAGGAGACTTCTTTCAGGGATCTTACAGTTTAAAATTTGAACGATGATATCGCTTCTATATAGCGGACCAAGATACGGCTCGGTACAGTTTATGTTCAGCAAGGGAAAATTGTGTAAGTTGAGCAGAACCTTTAAAATGTTCAACAGACAATTTATTCAGTTCGCGCGTTTAATTCCTGTTGAATTTGTAGCCCGTTTATCAGATATGTCTACTCAAAAATATAATAATTTTTCCATAGCTGCCGTTATCTTAGAGTAACTGCTTTTCATATCTCCGTAAAGATTAGATAGGTTTACGCGATCTCAGAGAACAATGTTTAGCTGTACACAGCACGTAGTACAACCTTTCATGTTTACATTACGCACGCGGCCGATTAACAGATCGATAAACTTGCGAAGAGTGAAATTATTATTGTAACGTTGCTATGAATTATAGTCCCTTTGCAGTACACTGCTTTTGATAATATTTATTCCGCTTAAGGAATTAATTTATACGCAGGGACAAATGTACAACTTGAAAATTACTAATAAAAGTGGAAATATTTGGTAATTTTGTGACCGGAAGTGGGCGAATCCCGATGTCTGTTTCGATGCGCGAATTGTAAACAACGGCTCTAGTTGCATGTCAGCAGGAAAACATATCAAAGTTCCGCAATACACAGCGACTCGATAAATAACAACTGAAACAACTGAACAGCAGGAACCTTAAATTTATTTCATTTTCAATACGATTGAATTTTGACCGGTCAACATGACCGGCAAGACGAAAGTTTGACTGGTCAAATCCACAATCAGTCCGGACATTGTCCGTTGACCGGCCGTTATTTCGAGCCCTGTAGTGCTATCCAGCTTTTAAACAACTGGGGCCAGAAGGTAGCAGGTTCGACTCCTTTTAGAAATACTCGAATTTTTTCTTCCAAGCCGCCTGTTTCAAAGACTGAAAACACATCTTTTTCAAATATTCTTGAAGTTCACTACCCTGGAAGCATAGGCACGTGACGAAAAAAGTTGTCCTAGCAACACAACACAACACAACACAACATGTTTGGCCGCAAAACTTTCAAGTTAAGCAGACTGTCGCGAGTAAAGTGTTGATATGCTTTTGATTGGGGCGCTGCGCTTATTATTTAGGAATGATTTTCACTAGTCTTTATATAAAGTGCATTATTGGAGTCAAAATTCTACTTTCAAATCAAAAGATCGAAATCTTCCAACTGTGGCTTCATTCGAAATGTACACGTATGTTGATTACTAGACTGCGAGCAGCCTCTTTTATTTTCTTAGTCCGTTGAGCAAAACGCGCGAGACACGCAAATGACCACGCGCGTGACTGAAGGCGCGAGACGGGAGAGACACGCTGCCGCCCTCGTTTCGCGCGTCTCGCGGCTTTGCCCCTTCCGCGCGCGTGCACTGCTTTCACTAAATCTGAAAAAAAAGAGAGACTGTTCGCAGTCTAGTTGATTACTGAAACATCATAAGCCATGTTGCAGCAAAGATCCTTAGCTGTGATGAAGGTAGATCCTCAACAAGGTCTCCAATGCACCTTGCACTGTTTTCAAAACGATTACAAGTCTAATCTTGACTGTCTTTCAGTACCTACCGCAAAAGATGGCGCATTTCGAGCGAATAGGGTCTATGTTGCCACAAAGATCCGTACCTGTAATGAAGGTAAATCCTCAACAAGCTCTTCAATACACCTTGCACCATAATCACTGATCTTCAGTAAGCGACCAAAGTGTTGGTAGTATCGAGCAAGCACAGTGGCAACAGGAAGCCGGTGACCTTCAATGCTGGACAATAACTCTTTCAGTTCTTTAGCAAGGCTTTGTTTTTCAGTGCGCTTCTCTGTCTTGCTACTTTTGCCTGTTAAATTCAATTGAACAAATAAAAATGTCGGTTCAGTGAAGAAGTACCATAGTATAGGTTCTCCCGCTTAAAAAGAAAAAAGCACCCACTTCCAATAAATGTTAAATCCCCCTTTCCTAAGCGAAAAGAAATACAGGGCAAACAAAACAAAAACAAAGACTCTATTTTAATGAACTATGCATGTAATACTAATTAAGGAGACCGTTTACAAGTCCCTTGCAAGGGGACAGGACCACCGTTAAAGCTAAAGGTCCTTATCGTACTTCGGTAACTCGTAACAGTACACATTACAGTGACAAACCTGAGGCCGACGGCGCGCTCGTTTTACCACCCTTTCGTTATCAGTGCTCCGTTATACGGGTACTTAAAACTTCACGACAAGGAAAGACGTCGAAAAAAGGATTTGAGGTAACAGCTAAGAATCGAACTCGTAACTTCTCGGACAGAAGGCCTCGCACTAACCGACTGAGCTAATCCTTGCAACTCGAATTTCTCCTTTTTTTCCTACACGGCCATCCGGGCCAAGAGAGGGTCTATCCATTTCTAAAGCAAAAACAGTACAAGTTTCTTCAGCTATTTTAAGACACTGAGAATTGATCTGGCCCCTGGATTCAAGGCCCGACCTCTCACAAAGCAGACTGGTGCTCTAAGCACTCAGCCAGCCGTGCGGTAGTCAAAGAGTTGTGAGTTCTAAAGTCGGTGACAAGGATTAAATAATTATGGTACCTTTTTCCACTAATGAGATGAATCGCTGATCTCCGGTTCCATGAATCTGTCAAAGGGTGGCAAGATACGTTTAGAAAATATCAAATATTAATACAACCTTTATGACAAATAATTCACGTCTACCGTGACAACACAACACAACAGGAATGGATGTTCTTAATTTGAGATGGTAAATGATTCCAACCATTTGCACCTCTGTAGCTAAAGCTGTTTCAGACAGTTATTTTGACTTGTGCTCCTTTAGCTAGTTGTTTTAGTAGAACCCTTAGAAACACGTCGACAAAGTTAAATCAAGCCCATTGTGCACTTTTGTACAGAACAGAAGCTGTGTGTTTGCAACGTCTTGTTCAGAGAATGGGGTTGGTGAAGGAGAAGGCGAAACCTTACCTCAGATAAGGAACAAAGCCGGAGGCAGCAGTTAAGCGCTTAAAGACATTTGTTTTTGATGCAGGCAGCTTCATCCCAGTACTAAAATACCATAAACTGCTGCTTATAAGCCCTGAGCTTACACATCTTTGCAAAAAGTTTTAGGAGGGCTTAGAAACAGAGGGGCTTCTAACCGGAATAGAAAAAGCACTTTGAAACAACGGCTACGGCATGAAGCATTTCCGATGAAAATTATGTCTCTAAACGTCATAATAAATGTAAATCATATCAATACATTTGGAGAGGGATGCCTATAATTATACGGGAGTGGGGGGAGGCTTATGATCGGAGTTATGTTTTTGTATACAGGTAGATGGGTCTATAACTGGGTGGGGCTTAAAAATGGGGGGGAGGGGGCTTTACGCGGCAGTTTACAGTAATTATATTTAGACTCTACTCTTACCTTGGCCACATCTGGTACAGCTTCAATTAAATCGGTCAACTTAGAGAATCCAAAAGTAGCAATCTTGCACTTTCGACCGAAGAACTTCATATATGTTGACACAAAGTTTCCCAAGGCAATTAGTCTATCAGGCTGACTTTCAAGTAGTATTTTCAGGTTCTTCTCAAAGGCATTGATTTTCATACGTTGGGACAGGGAAAGCCATCTCTCAGAACCTTGCATTCTTACCTGAAAATATCAATAACATTTTAAGACAACTCTGGCGGAAACCTTAAGGCTAACACAGATGCCTGTTCAGTGTAGCTTGGGATCAGCATGTTTCTACTTAGTAAATGCTCGTTTCTACTGGTACATACCTCTACTACAGATGGTAAAGCTTCTAGAAGAGACACAACAGAGGTGAATCCATAAATAACAGGATCAAATGGAGTTTTCTTGGCAAACCATGACTGGTATTCAGAGAGAACTGCGCAGAGGGGTAGTCTGAACTCGTCCTGAATCAGTAACAACTCTTCTAATTCCTTACTCAATTCCAGAAGTTTGCTAACATTACCTCCTGTTGAAAAACAATGCAGGATTGTCAAGGACTTTTTTCCACATTAATCAAACACAGGGAAAAAATTGAGACTTTAAGGTCTTTTTTAGGGTTTTGGATGAGAATTTGAAAATTTCAGGGATTTTCAAGAATTTCAGGAGTGGTACAAACCCTGGGAATAAAAATGGATTGTAAAATAATTTTATGGTGAGAATGAGAAACGAAAAAACAACAAACAAAAACAAAACAAAAAACACTATTATTAAGCACCATATTGGGATTCAAAAACCGAATTTGCTTGTTTCCCCAGTACTTATTGTACAGCTTGCATACCGTTCCTGATAGCTTGTTTCGCCCAAGACACCATCAACGAATCTGTGATCTTGACATTTGGAACATTACACAGGACATCAGCTAAGGTATCTCCACTATCACTCAGCTCAATCATCTTATCAAACTGAAGCCAGTAGGTGGCTGCAAAGCTGACCAATGGTATCGCTCCTTCAGAGGATTTCAGAAGAGCATGAACATCATTTGCAAACTGTTCAGGTCTGACGGATACTTTCACAGTGCCAATAGCTCGTGTTATCAGACTTATCGCCTGATTGCCAGGCTTGCCCATTATCACAACTAGGTCATGAATAAGTCCAATCGAACTCATGTCAAATGCATGGGAACACTTCTCATAGTAGTCATTAAGGAATTTATTTAATGGCAAAAAGTGAAGAGGGGCTTCTTTGAGAATGGAAGTGACTTCACAGCGTAAGAAACAAAGTTCCTTTTCTTTCTCAGTAGCAATATTGACAGTTACATGAGTGTTGAAGATTTTCTTCTGGTGCACTTTAAGTATGGCAAGGTGAGCATCAGAGAGTTTTGGCACTTTGACAAATGCCCTCAGAGGAATGCCTTCCCCACTGTGAAGTATGACAGAATAAACCTAGAGAGAAGCATAAACAACAAATCATAATTTTAGTTCCACAGATTTCAATTGCTTCACCAGAAGGGTCACAGCTCCTCAAAAGTAACATTAATTTTTCCATCACTATAATAATATCAAAAAAGGTAAAAGCACAACAGCAGTGACTCCCTAAAGAGAAGCAGTCCCTTCAAACAACAACAACATCAACAAGTTTAAACTGAAATAATAATTATTGTGCTGCATTTAGTCACTGCAATATAATTTGACCACTGAACTGAATAGCACTGTCAGCAAATACTGAAATAACATTAAGAATCTTTGTGTGTTTGCTTTGAAATCAAATCCTCTTGAAAGAAAAACGAAATTAAGTTTTCTTTGAAATCACCTCTTGAAAGGAAACGATTGCCAAATTACAGACTTTTTTTAAGACTATTAGAATAAATAAGCTATTTGAGAGAAACAGTCTGTTATTTAACATGGTAGTGACCCCTTTGGTTTGGTAAATCTTACCAAGGACAAAAAGAGTTGAACAAAAAATCTGTTATTAACAACACACGCCATACCTTACAATGTTCTCGAAATACTGATGCCAGTTTTTTCTTCAACTCCTTTTTGCTGACAGTCTCATCCAGGTTTGTGACAAGTAAATCTATTCCTCCTCGCTGCTGATCCAAAACAGTGAAATTATGTAGACTAGCCAGCCATGAAGCAGCAAGGTGTGGAGCACCCAGCACAGGAGGTGCTAGAGGGGTTATACCAGGAAATCCTGGGCCCTGGGTGGGAAGGTTCATAAAGTTCTGGTAAATGGGATGTGGCCATATTCCAGTTACAGATCCATTACTGAACATTGTCTGATGGCTAATTAACTGAGGGCCAGTGGATAATGAAGGAGAGGGACCGTTTTCTTCTGTGCTGTCACTGGATTCAGGGCTGTCATCTGAAGGTTTTGCATTAATTTTGTCCTCAGGCTTTGTACTTTTCCTGTTTGTTGAACCATCATCAATAATGAAATCATCCAACATTGCATTAGAACTTCCCCTATCTTTCTGGAGAGGTGAAGGTTTTGGTGAAATTTTTGAGCTCTCAGTGCTATCTACTGCCTGGGATTTTTTGCCTTTTTGTGGACTACCTTGACTTGTAGTGGAATAAACAACCTGGATTGTTGAGCCGAAGACATCCTCCTTGTCCATTCTTCTTCTTGCCCTGCAAAATGTACAAGTTGAGCACATTGCTAGCTTTTATTCCTGGTGGCTGCAAAAATACAGCTTTCTAAGGCAAAATTTAAAACGTTGCCTTAAGGAATTAAATAAAGTGACTTTCGTGCCTCTTTTTTTACTGCTCTTCCTCCTACCATTTCCCCCACCCTTTACATGTACCTACAGTAGTAGACATACCAATCAAAATCAATACATTACTTTGCATGTGTATGTTTTTACTCAAAATTAGAAAACCATTACTTAAATATAAAAGTGTCGTCTAAGTCACTGTGAATCAATCTTAATATTATTATTTTAAGTGAAAACACAGACGTACATGTACAGTACTGATTTCAAATACATGACTGTATTTGATAAGTTTTTAAGCAGAGCATGATGAAAATGTTTACCTGGCAGCACTAGCAGGATTTGGGAACCTTAACACTGAAGTTCTTCCAGAGATACTGACTACTTTGCCTCCACAGTTGTCAGAGAGCTTCTTCAGCCTGTTTTTGACTTGGGTAACATCTTTTCCGATGGGAAGATTCAGAACAAGTAGCTCTGATGATAAGCCACTTTCATCTGGGTTCTGAAGGAGGAATCAACAATTTTAAAAATAGTAATATTGTAATTATACCTACATGTATAACAAAATTCTCAGATCTAATTGGGTATCAACTGTCTGATTTCACCATTAATGGGACAGTGTTATAGGACAGTACATGCCATGCATAAGTAATAAATTTCCAGACAGTATGCACCATTGTACACACTTGAATGATTTAGCTCTTCACTTCTAGCAAAATGCTCTCTGAATATCTTTTAATTTACTTTTAAAAAAAGGCAAATAAAATATCATAATCTTTGTTGTAGTTATGATTAATTGGTAACAGAACTTCTTGTTGCCCAATTTAGTCTGCAATCATACTTGTGATTAAACAAATCAGACCCCTGCTGCATGGTCATCCAATTTTGATAATCACTTGTACACTGTATGATTACAGACTGAACTGGACTCCACTCACTCCTGTTACTATTTATTATGCTAAGAAGCAGATGTCACTGTTATACCATATGATGATATGATATGCACTTAACAGCTCGAGCCTAAGTGCTACTATGAAATAATGTTCTACAGCTCACTTTGATCATTTATTCAGGTGACATGTGAAAGTCGCTGCCACCTTCGACACTGCAGATGCTATGCACTGTAGGTGATGTGCAGTGCAAAATAAGGAAATAAAATTAAGGAAGACACTACCTGTAGCTCCTGGCAAGGAGAAGTGGGTTTAAGGAACAACACAGTCACATTTCAATCAGTGAAAGTATTTTAACAACCAAACTCAAAGTATTTGGAAATCTGAATAAACAGCACGCCAAGTCATTTATAAAACTTCTAAGCTACATGTATAAAATGAAGTGGAGAAATATTCAAGGCAGTTAGTACCTGATATTATAACCAACTTCACAGAGGTGATTGATTTTCATGTTGTTTTTTCTTTATAATTATGTTATTAATAGAGTGGGAACAATATTAGGTAAGGAAAACACAACTCACCTTTGGGGGAAAGACAATGGGCAAATCAGCAATGAAATGATCAAATCTTTTCACTTTTTGGGCACAAGCTAATAAAGCAGGTTGGGCTTGGGCATTGTGAAGGCAAATTACTTCGAAATTGTGCCGATGACGTAAATCTGACAGTTCAGCAGCAAAGTTTATGTCTCCAGACACCAGGATGACTGTAGCTGGTGGAGGGTAGGACTGTGCAAACCGTCTCAAGCTTTGACGTAATTTATCATCTGCAGCATTCTTTGAAGTGGCATTTATATGAACTACAGTTACCTACAAAAAAAGTACAAAAGAGTAAATTAAGGTCTGAATGAAAGCAAAATAGAATGGTGGGGGAACATACATGTGTGTAACCAACCACAATGGAAGATACGATGTAGTGAAATAAAAATATTTCACTACATTAAACAGCTAGCAGCTGGTAATTCTGTCAGAGGAAAAGATTATCAATATTGATGTTAATCATAAATTCTGATAAATATTATTATCACAAATATTAATTATAATAATAATTAATAATAATAATAAAAATTTCTTAGTTTCTATTGCACGATTATCCATGTAAGAATTTTCAATTGCACAATGATAAAAAACAAGGAGTCATATACGAAAAAAGTGCTTTTTTTGCAAGTGATTTGTACTTTCTAATTTTTCCGGTAAACCTCAAAACCATGATTTTCATGCAGTTACATAATGCAATTTAAGCAAGTTTACAACAAAGTCTGCAGCAGAAGTTTCAGTGCATGCTCACCAGTGTTGCAACATCAACATTTTTTAAAGTTGCCTTTTGGTGGCCTAAAAGTATAAAATAATTATTGCCAGACATGGTTGTGACAGGTCTCGTTGAGCAATATGACAAGACAGGTTTCAAATACTAAGCAAAATGGCTGCCAAACTGTTACAATTCCATTAAATTTCGAAGGAGCATGTGACATCTCAATTCTTTATACCCGGACAACAGGGTGAAAGAGGCAATAACACGGTAAATACACTACAAAGCTGTTGCTAAGATTTCTAGTTTCCAGGTATTATACAATAATTTAGTAGGTGGGAAATATAGCAGCTAGGAAGTTCTTTTAATTTTGGTTCTGCTTTCCTTTTGTGTCCTCTCAAAGTAGCCAGAGATTGTGCTCAGAGTAGCTAGGAGAAAGTACTTTAGGTTAGGATGGTACATTTTGTACCATAACAACAGAAAAAAGCAAAAAAAAAAGAAAAAATTAAATGAAAACTATAGCAAAAACTAAAAAAATTGGCGGAGCTACTGAAGGGCCATCATAATAGTATTACAGCCCCTGAACATGGTGATCAAAACAGTTGCAGCCTTGAGCACTTGTCTCACAAAAGGTTTTTCTGCCATATATGTGTGTTGGTGGAGTTGTCTTTCTGCTCCTTGCCCTATCTCTCCTCGCCCCCCTGCACCCAATGTTCAAATTCTGCTATATGTATGCAGTTGTTAAAAAATCTATAATACCTTACAAATGTAGAAACCATGGGTCTGTAAGCCAGCTGTCATTACACTACCAGATGACAAAGAATTGCCTACAGAGTAAGACTGTACATGTAGTCTGGCCAGTGCCAATATTGAATTGTACAATATCAAAAAAAAATCATGCACACACAAGCCAACAGTTTGATGACTGTCACATTTTCCCAACACCCTTCACTCCTTCAGGAATTATTAAGTGAGGCTCACCTGTGCTTTGTTTAGTTCTTCAATGACTTCTTTCTTCTCCTTGCTAATATCACAGACACACATGAATTCAACCTCTCTCTTTCCAGTAAAGAACTCCTTCCTTATTTTCTGGACAACAGCTGAGGCAGACTTGCCACGGGGTACAGGGCAGTTTTCTATATCCCAGAATACTCCAATAGGTTCAGAGCCCTGGGATGGTGAACCTGTCACTGAGGTCATGATACCTAAAGCTGCATACAAGAAAACAAGAACCTTATGGCACTGAAAGGGGCAGTTGCCTTCATAACACAAGACTGAAATAGTACAATGTGCATTCAACTATGAGGAACGACCAATGAACAAAAACCTCCTCCTTACTGTTGGTATTTGGGCACCATATACACTTTATAAGTTGCATAATGTTTGGTTTATTAGGTTTGTATGGGAAACAGAAAACATCAAAAACAAAAGCAAACAAACAACAACAAAACACCAGAATTCTTAGCTTGCTACCAAGAAAAGGAGATTGATGACATGAGATCCCACTTTATGGAGAAAATGATTTACATTAAAATGTCATTAATCTTGTAAAGAAGGGAAATTCTGGCCCACGATTATGCTTTCTTTCTGCATTGTAAATAACAAATTGAAGACAAAATTTGTCACACGTCCTTACATGTAGAAGCTACACTTGGGGGATGAGGGCAGAGTGGAACTGACATACCTTCTAAGTCATTAACACGTCCCCTGACTGAAGGAGAATTAGGACACCTATGGCCTCCCATGGCAGCAGAATCAACAGAGAGATCAAACCCACTCAACGAATCTCCAGAGTTTTCATAGCTTTTCCCACAAGATGAGCAAACACAAAAAGAGCCAGTCCTGCTTCTTCCGGTGCTTTCTGTTTGATTCCTAGAACAGTCGCATAACCCACTAGCACACTGTGAGAGATGATTCACAGTGGATATACCTGGATTCATGCCATGAAAATACTGAGGTCTGATGAGATTCTGAGGAGAAGCACTTGTGAGCAATACTGTGCCATTCTTACTTGCTGTTGATGATTGAAAAAAGTTGAGGGGAACAGAAAAAAGTCCACCATGACTGGCTGGCAAGGATTCTGTTGGAGAGCTCAGACACGTATGCTGCAGTCTTTCCTGTTCACTGAAGAATATGGCTTTACACTGAAATGAGAGAATCAAGACCATTTACGGTTGCTTGGAACTATTTCCAGTAAAGTTTGATGGATCATTCACTGATGCATTCTCTACATGTACCTTGTATCAGTAAATAAGTGATTGATTTGCTATCATTCCACTTTAATGCTGTTTTTATTTCAGTTCCTTCTAAATTAAATTGAACAATGCATTATTATTCTTAGGACTTAGTCAATTATTTTACTGTGTGTGTGTGCGAACAAGAATACATCAATACTTTGTCAAAGGTATATCAAAAAATATGCAGAGGAAACAAAATTCCTATTCAAAACAAGGTGTTATATGTATGTGTAAATACCACAGTGAACTGAAAGTACTTCTACATTGTATTTCTGGTTTGGTTGATTTAAAAAAAAAATCTAAGTAGTTCTTCTTCTAGGTTAGTTTACTTTAGGAAAAAACACACCTGTAAATATGAAAAGAGAGAAGTGATCGAACTGATAAATGCTGTTTGGAGATGAATACATTTTGTAAATTAAAATAAAATGGAATAATAATAATACAAAAAACAAGCATTGTGTTCGTAATACCTGTGCACAAGATGATGTGAGGGAAATTTTTTTCTCTCTCCCTCTGTTGATATGCTCCTGCAAAGCATCTTGTTCCATAAAGTGAGTATTACATCCATCAAATCCACATTCACCAGTACACTTGAAGGCATTGTGAGATGGACATCTTGCAGGAATCACTTTAGTGACATTATCTGCTACATAATATGAAGAAAAATCAGTAATGAATCCAGAAAATTTAATGGTACATCACATGCATGCAACTCTACCATAATTTTTATCTACCCACAAATCATGCACACCTGTGTATAATCTTAACATAGCTTAAAGAAAGACAATAACATTTCACACACAGCTTTTTGCAACTTTAGCTATCTGCGTATTACACCTGATAGCAATCCGCAGGTTGCAGTGTACAAATTAAGGTGTATTGCAAGGTACATGTAACAGGTCATTTTGCCTGAAAGATGATTCACCCGAAGTTGTTTCACCCAGACGTAAGTCGCTTCAGCCGATGTTTATTTGTTGTTCTTTAGCCTAAAGAAATGAATAAGCGAGAATAACAGTGCCTGCACATATGGATCAACAACTTTTTCCAGTGAAAACTTCACACAAAAAAACACAAAGATCGACAGCGATTGTTGCGATCACTGAGGTACAAGTAGGCTTGAGCTTTTATGTACAGTCAGTTTCAGTACCTCAAATGTGATTATTGAGATCGATAATCCTTTTGAGCAACCGCAGCAATAGAATCCAACCTAAACTAAAAACATCCCTGATAAGCCATGATGTAGAATGCCGTGTGTCATCAGGTGAATCGACTTACAGCAGGGACGGAATAACTTCTGGCGAACAGACTTTCCGACAAAACGACCACAATTCTATTGCAATGGTAATGCAACGGTACATTTGGTGATGACACGACCTTAAAATTTGTCTGGGCGAAGAACTTTTTGTCATTGCAGATTACAGAAAAAGAGTGGTTCCAAATACCTGGCTGTTGTTTGAAGAGTTTAGGATGTCTTTGAGGGCAAAACACATCCGTACACTCCTTCTGAATCCATTTTTCACACACAACATCAGTTTGCCTAGCCGCGAAGCAGTGCCGGAAAGGACACTAAGGACAAAAATACAACATTTCCAGAATTGTCATACCTGCAACACCCTTCTACGAAAATGAAACTCTTCTACAATATAAATGGGACAAAAAAGGAATATGACAATGCATGAACAAGTACTAAAAGTAAACGCGAGTGCTGCTTTTTGCAACTCAACTGCTCAAATGATAAGCTTCACTAAACTTTTTTTAAAACATCACTGGTTAACTAACCTCACTGGTCTTCGGACAGCACTCGCGTTTTTCCATGTAAAAAACACAATCTACAAGCGCTTTACAGTCCCTTTTCTCGGAATCTTCAGCTTTTATGGGCACGAAGGTTGTACTTTTCCCTGTAGCTAAAAGTTCTCGAGGTCCTTTCGTCTTTATTGCCCGTCCTAAAACCTTGCATCCGTCCATTTCCTTTGCTGCAGTTTCGGCGGCTTCTTGGGACATAAAATTAACAAAACCACACTGTTTCGATTTGCCTGAGGCATCTTTAAGTATAACTATATTTTTTATAGGTCCAAATTTGTGAAAGAAGTTATGAAGTATATGTTCTTTTACATCTACAGACAATCCACCAACCCACACCGGAAAGGCCGCCATCTTTTACTCCATCTTTGCCGACCCCTCGGACGTGCTGGGACTGATTCGTGGTTTCTTCTTCATGTTACGCATGCATGAAATGACGTACCTCTGATCTCACTCAGAGATCTGGGGCGCTTTCCATTTACGAAAAAAACCCGGAAATTTCGGTGGTAGCAAAAGTGGAATTTCCGATTGGTAAAAAGTTGTTCCATTTGGTCGTAAACCCCGGTACGCGGCCGGGTGCCCGACCGTGGACCTGGAACTGGTACAAACTACAAGAAACGTCAATGGAACACGACATTCCGTTCGGAAATTCCAACCGGGAAAACGGGACCACCTTTTTAGATTTCCCACTTTTTCTGGGAATTTTCCAGTGGGACGAACCGACGAAACGTGTTCCATTTACCGCAGAACCGGAAATTCCGGAAATTTTGACTAAATGGAAAGCGCCCCTGGGTACAACTTTGTAACTGCGTTGGACTGCCGGGGCCGCGACGGGGCCTCGGGGAGGCGGGAACCTTCCTTATATGAGGCTAATGGGGGTGTGCCGCTGGGTCGCATTTTCAATAGAGTTACCGTAAAGTTCCGAAAATAAGCTCCTCCATGTATAAGCCCCTCCAAATACAAGCCCCCCAAACTTGCAATGCAAAAAACCCACCGTTAAATTGCCCCTCCAAATATAAGCCTCCAGGGGGCTTGTCCTTGGAAATCGCCCTCAAATACAAAGTAAAACAAAGCAAGAACGGTAAATTTCCTTCCAACTATAAGGCTAGCACAATCGATTTTGAAACGCATCATTTCCCTCCATAGATAAGCCCCTTAAAAAGGGACTTTGAAAAATGTAAGCCCCGGGGCTTATTTTTGGAATTTTACGGTACTAGAAAGGGGTCGTACATTTTGGGATTTTTGGGCGTAAGACAGTTCTTCATATTTACGGTTAGCAAATGTACCAGAATGTTTTTACCGCAGATGGAAAGTAAAGTGCTCTTCATTCAATCTAAAAAATGGGTCAATTCATAAAAATAGAAAGGGCGAAGTTCCGATCCTGAAAATTACATGTTTGCCCAAAAGTGACTAAGATGGGGTCTAAAATTGGCCACAGAATAGACTATAATGGGGTAGGGGCTCTGAGAGGCCAGCAGCACATACCCAGAAACTTGAATGTTAGCTGATAGAATAACGGTGCCTTATCTAAGGATCACACTGGGAACACAATGACAACAAGGGAAAAAGTGAAACCTTAAACCCTATCAGGCAGCAAATGCACCTGGGATTTGTCAAAATAGTCACATTTTGTTGTAGTTGAATTCTTTAGGGGCTGCATCCGACATAAATAAATAAATAAATAAATAAATAAATAAATAAATAAATAAATAAATCATAATCATAATCATAACCATAATATGTCCTGTTGTTATTGGAGCACTGGGTACCATTCTGAAGTGACTGGATGGCTATCTGAGAAACATAAATGCTGGGATATAGTTGGCAGCACTTCAAAGAACAGACATTTAGTTGAGATTGTTTCCTGTCAAAAGATTATTTTTATTCAGTAGATAATAATTACTTTTGTCTACAGTTGGTATCAAGAACGGTATGATGCTGTCATACATGTGCAGAGCCGTAACAATGTTAAAAAAAACTAGAGATTTTTCTTGTCATTGTTGATTAAAAGTCACGACATTGTATTTCTCCCTGACTGTCTCTCCCTTCCTTTTGCATAGATACAAGCACAAGATTTAACTTGAAAATGGTTTGACAGTTCATTTTGGTAGCTTGATCATCATTCTCAAACTAGTCAAATAAAAATAAAAAAACTATAAGAAAAGGCTAGCTAACAGTCAGTGATCTGTGGTTACTGTATCTATTGCTCATAATTATTCTAAAATGTATATGTAAAAAAAATCATTTTGCGCATCACAAACAGTGAAATAGGTGATGTGAAGTGAAAGCAAAGGATACTTTTTTAAGTACAGGTTTAACAACCCAAGTATTTTTTAAAAGGATTTTATACAATGTATAAATAATCTGAGATCTCTTGCACTAATCTGCCCTTTCCATGGAGGGTAATATTGTTATACTTTTTAGGTAAAATTGGAAAATAAGAGGATGCATCAAAGCTGCTACACTTTGTCCTTATCGCAGATTAAAGGATACGACTGGCACACTATAGAGATTGTGTAGTCACTCTTGTGACTAAACCACATTTAGTGAACTTATGCAACAGGACAGGAGAGGAACAAAGACAGCAAACCTTGTGTGCTAAGCGTGGTCAACAATATTTTTTGTTGAATAACTTTTCTCCAAACTTCACTTTCCATTAAACAGATATTTTTGTAAAGACCAGAAAACATTAATGTTAAGTGAAGATCACTACAAAACTCGCAAGTAATAGCAATGTCACGTTTGTCACACACAAAGCGTTTTGCCATCCTCTTCTTCCTGCTATCCTGTTTCGTAAACTCACTATTATCTCATTCTGGACTTCAAGGTACAGGTTACCATGCTACAGAAACAAAAAGGAGGGCTTGAAATGTAAATGTTACCTTATTTTACACCCATCATTTTTTAATCGTTTATTTCTATTTACAAGTCAATTTTTCTAAAACCATTCTGTCAGAAGCTGTTAACACCACAATAATCAATTTCAGGAATGTCAACAGGACACAAACACAAGAAAAAAAGAAAAGAAAAAGATAATGTCTTTGAAGCTTGTTTGTGTTGTACATCTTGATCTTTACTCTCGACTGACTGAACATACATTTAACTCAAAAGACTCGACAGAGTCTGTACAGATGCAGATACTCACTATTTCTCAAAATGCAAAGTGTCTCGTTATTGAGGTGGTTTCTATACTACAGTTCATATCACTGAGTCATTACTTACATGAAATGATACAATGAGCTATTTACAGTTTAATAGTTAAACAAGTTTTTCCATTTCAGTTTTGACATGCTCTGCTAGTTCTTTGTACTCCTTTGTCTTCAGCTCAATGATCTTATGCTGAAATAAGACAAAAAAAACAGTGATAAGAATTACAGTGGTAGCTGTCTTGACTGACACTCTTGTAAGTGGACAGTTCTACTCACTGTCGCGCCCACAAAAACGGTCCCATATTTCTTAACTCCCACACAAACTCTGTATTTTTGTATTCCTGTAAGTGGCCAGCTCCAGTTTCAGCTCCTTTTTCATGTCCTAAGGGTGTCTGCTTATGAGAGCTTCCACTGTAAGATGTTTTTGTTTTTAAAAAAGCAAAAAGGAGACTTGAGAAATACTTTTGAATAAAACAAAACTATGAAAGTTGGAACCCTTTTATAACAAATTGCCCAGGGACTGGGAATCTGTGATAGTTTGTATTGGGGTAGAGGTATCTTGTAGGTAAAATCTGTTCTCAGGTTGAACCTTTATTCATCCTAGTTTGATTCAGAATTTCCTTTGTTTCCAAGCCCTAATATTTTATTTTTCATGGGAGACAAAGGAAATTCTGGTTTAACCTGAGAAGGGCTATGCCTACAGCAGGTACTCATCTATTGCTTTGATAGTATGTTAGTACGCACAGCCTTACCATTCTGTTTATTTGTCTTTTGGTTTCCAGTTCCAAGAAGTCCTCAACTGTCCAATCTTCCTCTTTCTTGTTTAACAGGAGAAATTCACATTTAGGTGAATGAGATTTGTGCTCCTCCCTAAAACAAAGAAAATGTATGTTAGTGTTGTTAGTTCTGTACATTAGAAATTTGACTTGTAAGTCTATTAAAGGTACATGTACCCGAAATGCATGGTTAGCTAAATACATACATAGGATTATCCTCAGGCTCCCATCCTTCCAGCTCTTTGAAGCACACAAAACAGCGTGCAATGTCCGCATCACGGTCATTAGGAGAATGGAAAAATCCCGCTTCGGCCATCTATGAAACAAATGGAAATTTTACACTCTAAATTCGAGATTGCTCCGATTCTCTCAATTTAAGAAAACGTGTTCTTATTTTACGAGAAAATTTAAAACAAATCATAGGATAAGAACTCTTTTTTCTGTAATTTAAACAGGTAGTTTACGAGAACAAAATCTTATTCTATGATTTGTTTTGAATTAGAGTGTTTACAGAGCGTCAAACAAGAAACAAGAGAACATCAAATTTGGAACTTCTAATCAACTGATAGCCTGCGAGGAAGTTCACTTGTGCGAGTCGCAGGTTAATAAACTGGGAGTTAAGGTTATATTTCATAATCTAAGCCAACTAAATAAGATGGGTCAAACACAACATTTTTAGAAACTTATTTTTTATAGCTCTAAAGGAAAATTTGTTTTCTCCTCTCCTATCTAAAGGTAGTACCTTCTCTGCAGTACATGATGAACCTGTCTCTTCAGTAAAGGGCCAGTCTTTGAACGTTGCCAGCCGATTCTGGAGTCGATTCATGCTAAAATCGTAGTTTAGATCAACCATTTTTATCTTGCACGAAGAAACAACTTTTTGAAAATGGCGGTTCTGTTGACTCTAAACTCACCCCAGTCTGTCGGAGCAAGACAAGCCCAGTCTTCCTCATCAAATTACATCACCCGGTTACACGCCATTAAAATGGCGACAGAAATGAAAGTACGGAGAAACTGAATTAAAAATACTTCCTGAAGAAAAAGACATGTCTCAAATTGTAAGTAATTACAAATTTTTAAGTGAGATGTTATCATCATTCTTAAAAAATGGAGTTATTTCAACTTTTGCCGCTAATTGTTCTTAACAGATCGTGCGTGTTCAATCCCGCGAGGGTACCAAGAGAATCAAGTGCTCTACCACTGAAAGTATCTCCTCGTTTCTTTCAAAGGTGCTCAGAATGTCCGTAGTCACATGTTATTTAGTGATCAGTTGACTAGTTAAGTAACACCGGAGTTGCCGTTTATATTTTAAAGTTTTATTGACAGTTCTTCTCTTAGCTTCAGCGCGTTACAATTTTTTTAGTGGCAACTACCGGTAGTTCAACGTACCACATTACAAGCAATTGGCCATGTTGGAACGCGTTAAGCACGGCCGTTTCTCCCTACCTCTCTAAACAGCGAACGAAAATCAATCAACGAAGCTGTTATGGAGAGATGTGGGAAGAGTTTAACTTAACAAGAATAAACACTTTCATAATTGAAAATGACGTAGGATGGAAAGCGTGTAAGGACTTGAGGGGGGCTTGGATGGAAATATAATTGAGGGAAAAAAGTTTCTTGTACAATTTAGAGTCGTTTTTCTTCACTCGTGAATGAAAATTAAATAGGTATATCTTAAAAAATTGTGACAGATCTATGACAAAAGAATTTTAAGACAATGGATAAGAGGCTGATTGTCTCTTTAAGTCAAGTAAAGTCGCTCAATAGAATGCACAATGTTAAAAAAGATTGAAAATTAAAGGCCCTTAGTATTTTTTAAAAAAAGAAAAAGAAAAGAAATTAATGCCTAGTCAGCATGCTTACTCAGCAGTTTTTCTCAATATCTGTCCCTTAATGATAAATCATTCAACCAATCAATCAACAAGAATAATTAGAATTTATTTTATTGATGTTTTGATTCATCGAGCATCAATCGTCAAGAATGAAAGAAAAAAAGATGCTCGGTGTCAAAGTTATAAAAAGAGTTGAGATTTGAATCTTGAATTCGTTACCTGTAGATGGCATTCATGACACACACTTTGACACTTAACGTTTTGTCCTTCTTAATAATGATGTTGGATACATCAAGATGTCCAATAACATTACAAGGGCTGCAAAGAAAAGTCAGTTTTACAGCTTGCCATTTGGGCAAGCTGTAGCTAGCATGTACTAGCCCAAGAGGCTAATTTAACCAGTCCCCATTTTTTTGATGAGCAGGACTGATTTCAGTTCTCCTGTAATTTGAATTTCCTATAAACAAAATTCACCAGCCCAATAGCCCCAAGGATACATCGAGTTACAGTAGTACAATTTGCGTATATTAAGTGGACACCTTTGGGACCTTCATAAGTGTCTGCTTAATAGAGGGTGACCACTTAATAGAGGTTGTAAAAATTGTGCAATGTTATTCAAGATTAACATTTAATGGTTGCTCTGTACTGTGATAAAGTTCCATGAAGTGTTGTACTTTGGGCAAGACTTTTAAATGAACTTTGATCATGGATGACAATCATACGGCCGGATATTGGTCTAATCTACAGTTTATTGACACTTAAACGTGTTGATTTATCTTCATTAATCGACTACAGTACGTATTTCAAGGATGTAATCCAATACTACTATTGTCAATTCAGTCCGGTGTCCACTTAATGGAGGTTTTTAACAATCGAAATTAGCCAAATACAATCTATTTTATTGTCCGCGTCTGCTTAATAGAGGTGTCCACTGAATAGGGCTCGCTATAAAGGGAAATATAAGATGTTAATTTCGGGGCCCTGCTTCGTGTCCACTTAATAGAGGTTTCACAGTATAACGAGGAGCAGGCACCCTACCTGGCTTAGAAGAAAGAGTAACTCTGTAACTCTGTATACTCTTATACTTTGCTAATTTACAACATGTTCATAACCAAGACCCTGCTAACCCTTTCTTTTGTTCAAGGAAGACCCAAAATGGTGTAAAAAACGTTAATGTTTCACTATCTTCTGTTTGTTAACGACATTGCAAAAATTGTTTGTTTAAACCCTGCCAAGAAGCCTATCCCTCTGTTAAGTACAGTTCAATTCCAACCTGCCTTAAAATGCTAGAGACTTTAAGACATACCTCTTTCCTGATTTTTCTTTTGCTACTTGAGGGTCAAGTGCATTAGCTTTAATTTCAACCATATTTACATAAAAGTTGTTGTTGTTGTTATTGTTGTTGTGCAGGGACAGTTTATACTTTTTCAGTATGCATGTATGATAATATTCTTCTAATTAACTATAATTCTGAAGATTTTCATGTTTATTGTTTCCTTAGATTTCAAAAGAACTTTCTCTTCCCAAAGGTGGTTGGACATTGTATAAAGAAAGAAATAAAACAGGAGAAATAAAGAACTCATCGCGGAGGACACTTAGTTCTTTTGGTGTTAAGTATGTCAATGAACAATGGTTTCATTCATATAGTGCCAAGTCAAGTAGCCTTATTGCTTTTCTTCCTTTTTATTAGGCATGGAGATATGCTTTTTCTCTCCCAAGAGATTTCTGCAACAGTTAATGATGCAGCAGAAGCTTCTTCTTTTCCTTTGTCTACTTCTACAACTGCTGCCCCCATAGCATCTTCTAGTGTGAAAGAAGATGAAATTGATATATTTCTCTCAAAGCAGGATGGCCTGATTCATAGAGGGCGAGATCCCCAACTGTAAGTAAATATTATTTTACACCTGTTGTTTCACAGTCATGTTCTATTTTAGGGCTCCCATTGATAACAGACAGCTTTTTGCGTCTGAAGGGGCTACCCTGAGCGGTATAAATTAATAAAGGTTCTTCTTCTTCTATTTAGTTAGCATCAATTCCACAATAAGGTGACGATGAACACGCACTGGGCAATTTTTCATTGTCAAGCCTGCTTACATTATGGTGGCTTTCAGTTTATATATCATAGATTTTCTGCTGTTGCTTGGTTTAGACATGTTCATCTTAAAATGGACAGGCCAATAACTAATTCCGTAGTGTAAAGAGAATCATGGGACTTTTTGTCATTATTAGAGCTATCATGCATATTTCACTCTTCACTCACAATGATTTTATACAAACTAAAAAGTTACCGGTGTACATGTACTACATAACTCACTGTTTAATTTTTACAGGTGTCATCACAATCCAAACAGCAAGTGTATTCACTGTGTACCGCTTGAGGTAGGGTTTATTGGAGACAAAATGCTAAGGTCAGTAAATGAGAAATTTAAGTGATGGCCTGACAACCACTTTATCTTCCCTCAGCCTTATGATGAAGAGTATCTGAAGAACCATCAACCTCCAATCAAACATATGTCATTCCATGCCTTCCTCAAGAAGTTGGGACAAGGCACAGAGAGGTGGGTACTTCCTTTGTCTCATTTGTTACTTGTATAAAAATATTAACAAGTTAGAAATATTTAGCCTCTGTCCAACATTTATTTCAGTGTTATTAAAAGAAATAATGCCTTGTAATAACTCCTGGTATATAACCAAAGGAAGAATGTAAGAGTTTTTTTACAATTCTGCTGGAAATGTCTGGTTTATAATGTCCTGCATGGCAGAGGTAACTTGTAAAAGTATAGGAGGAATACTGGGGATGGCCTACACTCAGGTTGCACTTGTTCTTCCCCTGCCTTGTTCTTTTGCTTCTTTCCCCACTTCCCTTTCAGCAAATGCTCCATTTCCATTACAAAGAGGCGTGGTGGCTGAGGGTTTAACACTTTCAAATTCAGATCTGAAGGTCTGGGTTCAAGCCTTGCCCTCACATTGTTTCCTTCAACGAGAAACTTTGCTCTACCTTGTCTCTCTCCACATTGGCCCCGCTTGTTCAAAAGAAGGTGGATAGCACTATCCACTGAAAAACTCTCTGTCCAGTAGATAATGCAATATTATTGGTTCTCCTACTACTTAGCTACTGGATAGCGATTTATCAGAGGGATAGTGCTATTCAAAGTTTGAATAACCAAGGCTAAGTGTATAAATGGGTACTGGTGGAGGAGGGGTGGGGGGTGTAGGAAAATTCCAAGTCGCTTCATGGGATAGAAAACAGGATACGCTACAGCCTGCTGTGCCACTTGGCCTGTATGCAGACTTTACCCTGTACCTAAGTGCTACAGAGGATTCATAGTTTGGCATGATCAGCAATAAAAAATAAAGCTCTTTTGGTCCAAATCCTGATTTTTCATGTTAGCCAATTGCTAAACCCTCTGAACAATGGAGCTTTTACCTGAACAATGCAGCTTTTAATAAGGAAAATAACCCAGTACCAAATTAATGGGCTTCTGTATTGTAAAAGAGTTGTGTTCTAATTTGACTTACTTCCAACAGAGGAAAGTTTACTGTGTTGGAAGACACAAGCTGTAGAATTAAACCTGGTTGCACAGAACACCCACCATGGCCTGGTGGAATTTGTACCAAGTGTCAACCAAGTGCTATCACATTGAAGAGACAGGTAAATAGTGGAAGCCAATCCAATGCTGCAGAGAAACATCATGAGATAGACAATAGAAAACAATCAAGCAAAAAAAGCATAGGGATAAAAACGGAAAGGTCCAGAGCAGTGTTCCAAGCTCTGACTGTTTTGGTCACTGGTCACCATGGCAACTGAAATTGCAGAGAAAGTTACCAATTTGATGATGTCTGTTCTATTTGGCAGTATAGATGCCTTAAGCTGTAGTTTTTTTTTATTAGACCTTGTTTAGGGTCTTTTTAAGTTTCAGTGAAATCGTGAAACATTTGCACGAGATATTATTTATGCTCTATTTTCTTCATAATTGCCTTTTTCACCCTGGTTTCCCTAGTATTAATTGTTGAGATTTCGTGTGTGCCTCCAAATTGGATTGCCACACTACAGTTGGGCAGCCATTTTGATTACTTCTCTTCGACTATTCACATAACATTTCACAAAGTTGAGCTTCAGTTATGGGTCATGTCATGTAATTTGGGTCACCAACTCAATCTGAGGACTGGTGAAAATTCCGGGAAGAACTGTTTGTGTTATTTGAGAAACAGCTTAGCATTGTTCTGATCTACTTGCAGACATACAGACATGTAGACAACATCTTGTTTGAAAATCCCTTTATTGTGGAACCATTTCTGAATTACTGGAGGAAAACAGGAAATCAGGTACAGCTGTTATCCTTCCGTGTTTATCAATATTATTAATCCATCACTTCAACAAGACAAAAAAGAAGCCTAATTTTAAAATATTGCATTTCACCATTTTCAGAGGTTAGGATTTCTTTATGGCCGTTATGAGCATCACAAAGATGTCCCTCTTGGAATAAGAGCATCTGTGGCTGCCATCTATGAGCCCCCTCAGGTAAGTCCCATTCGTGATTACTTTTGGAGACAAGGCTTGAAGTTTTAGAATAAGCACTAATTTTTGCTTTGGGCCAAAGTAAAGTTTATTTGGAACAATTTAGTTTTTGAGGCAAAGTCGCCACGAAACAGCTGTTCTGTTTCAAGCCCTCCCTAGTCATTCAGTCTTACATTTAGTTGATGTTTTAAACACAAATGAAACATTTTAACAGTTTAATCACTCTACGAAAAGAGCTGATGAGATTGTCGTATCTTAGGTTAGTTTAGTGTGGGCGGTAAGTAAAATATTGATACTTTTAGCTTGTATCAGGCTCTCAGGCAGTAGGAACGTCATGAAAACAAGCTCAAGGGAAAATAGAACGCGTGTGATTCGGGAAGAGGGGGTGGCGGCAGGCTTTCTCTCTCCCCAACCCCGCGTGTTTTTCGTGTCAGTTTTCACAATCGCTGCGCATTACTATCTTTGGAGCCCGAAACACGCTTAATGTTCCCATGGTCCTTTGTGCGATACCCCTTGAGCGCTCGAAGTCTCGTTTTCTATGAGACACTTAGGGCGCCTAGGATCGAGGCAGGGATCAGGCTATATTGCTTTCTATCAGAAAACTGCCTTTTCACATTCAGAAAAAAAGTAAAACAATTGCCCAATTTTGATATTTCAGGAAGGTACCCCAGACAGCATAAAACTCTTATCAGACCCTAATGAAGAAGTAATCGACAAACTTGCTGCAGACTTGGGTCTGCAGAGGGTAGGTTGGATATTCACAGACCTCGTGGCAGATGATGTCAGGAAAGGAACCGTAAAACATCTGAGAGACATTAACACTTTCTTTCTCACTGCCGAGGAATGCATCTTAGCCGGTCACCTGCAGAACCTTTATCCATCACCTTGTATATTGTCTTCGAGTGGAAAGTTTGGGTCCAAGTTTACCACTGTTGTTGTATCAGGTCTGTAACTAGAGACCTTTAGATTTGAGGACGAGATTTAACTTAAAGTTTTTTCAGTTATTCTCGAAAAATTAACATCCTGGAAAGGTTCATTGTAGCTTTTTTCACCAGAACAGTGCGGTTATTTTTATTGGAGGGGGTTAAGCCCCCTCACGATCACAAAATAATAAAACTTCTGACATTTGAAAACTTTTATCCGCCACTGCGACATTCTTGCTAAACTGCTCGTGGTAGAAGGACGACCACCATCACGTTTTCCCGCTAAAATGACGCTGGTTCTTGCGCGCGAACTACTTAGTATTGAGAAAATCTCCTCTTCGTAGTTGTCTTCGTCTTAGAATCCAAAGGTTGCTATTCTTTCAGTATGTTGTACTTTATTCTGTTAGCGGTTGAGGAACCTTACTTCACTAGAGTTTCACTACAATATCGTAAATTTAATCAGTTTTGCGATTGAGTAGATGAACGAACATGTCGATTAGATGAATGAACACATCGAGAAATTATCAACTGAAATTGCCTCTGGTTTCGGGGCCCTCAAACGTATTCGACCTTTTGCCCCTCCCGATACCCTACATTTCATCTATAATTCACTGATTCAACCTCATTTTGGTTACTGCAGTGTGGTTTGGGGTAATTATGGTAAGACCCATGGCACGCTGCCAAATTACAAAAACTGCAAAATCGGGCGGCACGGGTTTTAACTTTTTCCAGTTATGACACTAGTACTGACTATCTTACCTACCGATTCCTCGCGACCCCAGTTCGAGCAAATCGAGATTTTTTCTAGTATACTGACTGTATATTTGAACTGTAACTGCGGGGGCAATTAAGAGACTCCGAGAGCGAACTTTCCGTTCCGCTTCCTCGAACTGAATTCCGAAGGAGGCCGCTTCAGCTTTGCTGGGGCGGATAGAGTTGTAGCAAGCTCAAACCCCTTCAGAGTGTTAGCGCTGGCTGTGGACGTTACTTAAACTGACGCCTAACCTTCAACGCACGGCACTCTTGAAAAGAAGATTGTGTGATCTCTTACATAAATATTGATAGATAAATATTGTAACTTTTTTTGTGCGCTATGTAATCCTGATGAGTTTTAACCCTGTTGAGATAAAAATTTTAAGAATTATGTTTAATTTACACTGTGGCTATTTCGGTGTGAAATAGAAAATGTTACATACAGCGAAAGTGCAAAATAGGCCATCATTATAATCCAAGATGCTTGCCGTTTGCAGTTTACGTCGTTATTTCTGATGATTCGTCTGGAATACGGAAACGTTAGCGACGGCACAAAATAGCTGCTTTTATATTATTTTTTTTCCTTTTACTAACTTTCCTTTGCGTTTTAGCTAAACTTTTGATGATCATTCCACCGTCGCGTAATTTTTACTGGCGTAAGCTGGTGAATTTTACGCGCGTAAATAAAGTAGAGGCAATGTATGGAAGGATCGCGCGTAAACGTTAAGCGAAAGTGGAAATCCACCCTTACATAGGACGCGAACATAATTCCGTATGAATGGCGTAGAAAGACAGCTCCTATTTTTCTCTCGTATAAATGGTACTACTATCTTCTTATCCAGGTAACATGGACAATCAAGTTGGATTTGACGGGTTTCAAGTTTCTAACCAGTGCATGGCATTAGTGCGTGATGAGTGCCTCGTACCTACGATTGATGAACCAGGCTTAGGCTACATACGGGAATCCTCAAGTGATCAGTATGTCCCGGATGTTTTCTACAAGGTTAGATATATCGGTTGGTAGAATCTCCTAGGAGAGTGCTGCTTTCTACGCTAATAATTCTTTATTTGTGTTTCCAGACTGCTGATTCTTACGGTAATGAAGTAACACTACTTGCGCGACCTATGCCAATCGAGTATGTGTTAGTTCAGGTGGGTGCTGTTGGGTAAACATGTCGTTTTGAACATAGCCATGTTTTGGTTAAATTTTCTAACTGCAAAAGCTGGAGTTGTTGAGATACTTTCTTCCAACACCCTATGGTGGACACTCTGCATACTACAGGCATCTTGTTATTTAATTTTGAAATAAAACTAGAGCTGAAGTATAATCTTTATAGTGGTATAGGTTGTTTGATTCGTTAGTAAATCCGAAGGAGCTCACAATTAGGCACCGAAACTTATTTCGTGGTTGCCAAGGTTTCTTACTTCCACGCATTGTAATTGGCTGTGAAATCTAGCATTACTCTTCATCGTGATTACAAGTCAACCAGTCGTGATCTCGCACGCGTTTGGCCTGTAATTGGCAGCCGGCTACAGTCTTTATAGTAGTAATAATCAAAGATTACGTAGTGCATTGGACCGATCTCGATTCCGGGCTCACTGTCCTGTTGCCTGGTCCTGTGGTAAGTCGCTGATGACGTCACAATGTCCGTTCAATCAACGGCGGTTGTCCCATACACAATTCTCACTCTAAACTGCAATAGTAGTGCGTTCTTCTTCGTCGAACACAGTTACTTAAAATTTTAATCGTTTGTTTGGATTATTGCGTGCATCCGCGGCGACTGATCAACGGAGTAACCACAGTGTCGGCGATAGTAAATGAGATTACTTTCAAAAGAAATCTGACGCTGTGTGGGTAGTAAAATACTCAAGTGTAGTTTTAGCAACTAAGTTGATTGGACTAAGTATTTGTTTTGACTGTAATTCACCTTGTTTGTGACAGGTTCCAGCCGCCTTTCCTGTCGAATCACAGTTCACCTTCACCAACCAAAGTGAAGGAGAACCGTTTCCCTTAGAAAACCGTTCAAGTATGGGAGAACTTCAGGTAAAATAGTTCTTTGTTGTTTCTGGTTGAATGGTTTGTATTTTATGCAACTTTTACATTTTAAATCCAGTCCCTATTTATTATTCCTACCAATATCTTTCACACGGGGAATTTCAATATGCTTTATGTTTTTCGGTGTTGTGGTTGTTTTATTAACGACTGTTGATTTATGTTTTTTTTCCTGTGCAGGATTTTAACGCGTTAGTGAGATACTTAAACCAGTTTTCTCCAGATCAGTTCCTTACAGCCATGTCTAATTTTCATCTTTTGGTTTTCTTGGCAACTTGTGATATGCTTCCTTTAAAAGTAAGTACAGCCAGCCGGTAGGGCGTATTGTTTTGTGCACGTTTATGACTGGAGAAAAATTCACGCCTTTAATGTTGAGAGAGACGCGGGGGTCATGTTGCGGATAATTGTTGTAGAAACAACAATAATTGACTAAGTCATGTGCAGCACAATCAGGGAATAGGGATATAGGTGACAGGGAGGTGTAGCGAGGACAAAATCACGGGCAGTACGCGCACGGACATGTTAAGAACGTGCAGCGGAGGCCAAGTCACGTGCAACACGCACACACACACTTGTAGCGGGCATATAGTCACCTTCAGTAAAACTTGGAACAGCGACAAAATGACGTGCAGTATACCCATAAGGACGCGTACCGGGAAAGAATCACGTGTTGTACACAGATGGAACAGGGAAGTATACCACTGAGAGGATGTAGCAGGGACAAAACCACAATGTACGCGCATTCAATAAAATATTGCAAAAGTTTGATAGTTTGCCACGCAACAATTTTAATTAGACACGAAGCGTTCTCTACGAAAAGAAGTAGCTACATATAACTAATTATTATGTACATCCTTGCCGATGTTTCCACTTAGTGGTAAATGCAATTCCATTAAATAAAATAAGAAAGCAGGTTTGATCGCTGTGGACCCCTCGAGTTCAACACTGGGCCATGCATTTGCACCTTGGCCCCTCTTGTCTACCCGACACTGCAAAGTGTGAGTTAACCATACTTTGTGCCATTTGCTAGGGTCACCTGGAAGAGTTGTGTGAAGCGGTGAAAAATAAGGATTCGGTTGCAGCACGTCGGTGGAGCAAGGGTGAGCAATGGTCCACAGTGATACAGCTTATGCAAGCGGCAAACGGTAAGCAACAACTAGTGGACTTCTATGCTAAACATAGGCCCTACAATGAGGGACAAAAGGTTGAGACACTTCCATTAAATGGCCCCTTTTTTGCATAGGTGACGTATCTTTCGCCTGTCCTTGTGTACCCCCACCGCTCTCCCGAATCATTGTTGTGTTTTAAACCCTCCAATCTGTCTACATCTGCAAACAACATTGATTCCGGGGGTGGGGGATATACGGCTTGGTAACCGAATTGTTTGAAATTGTCGATAAAAGCGCTCGTTTCTAGACAAGTGTGTCAACCACTTTTGACAGTTATTATAGCTCCATACACTGGAACTGAGGTGTCTGGACGCAAAACTCGTTGTTGAAAAAATTAACGTATTAGTAGTCGACCGCACACTTCGCTTCCTATTCAGATGTCGTCTTGATCACACACACTAGAGAATTCTCGCCGCATTTCTCTCTGGAAACGTTTATCGTGGTGTTTTACTCGCAGGCGTAAAGGGATTCACACTCACATTGTGAGTGAGTTTCGTACGCGGAAAATTTCAGACATCTTGATTGCTGTCACAGCTCAAGAAAGCAACATTGTCTACCATTTCAGCTTAGCCCGGTTCCAATAGTCATGTGAAACCTGGCCCTCAATCATTCTTGTTGATTGTTTGTTTTTTAGCGCCTTCGCCAGAGCCTCATGGTTCACATGACGTGGACATGATGGATGCGTCCCAATCCCCTAGCGGTGCGAGTTGGACGTGCCAACATTGTACTTTTATTAATCAACATGGGCACGAGAACTGTGACATGTGCGGACTGCCTCAGCGCTAAACCACCTTAACAACATTACTTATTTAACAAGAATAAACTGCGGATACCGAGGGTGAGGCATCGCAACTTTACATTGCAGGGGAACTTTTCTTCGTTTTGGCAACCAGATCAGGTTTGGCACGCTTTTCTTCCGGAACAATTTGCCGCACTTTACATTGAGGCCAGTGGAATTTCTTTGCGCGTGTGAGCCGTCCTTATTGCTTCAAACTATGTAGAGGAAAGCCCGTAAGGCGAAGACGCAAGATCACGGAGTGTATGCCTCTTAAAAAACTGGACTAAACTCCAGCTGGAGAAGAAGGATCGAGCGAACCAAACGTGGGATTAAGTCCTACGGCCAACTTACAAAGATGCTTTATGGTGGAAACAAAAAAAAAAAAATTCGATCACTGCGAATAAGAAAAAATCGTTTCTGAAGTTCTTGTGGTGTCTCGTTTTTTGGTTGTGTTGCGCAGATTTTAACAAGTCAGCCGACCGTATATAGCAAAGACTAACACTAGTATTCACCGTAGGCATCTCAATCCAAATACAATGTAGGAGAAGTAAGAGGAGGACTAAGCGGAGGACAAGATACTTCCCTAGTTTGCGTATCAGGCGCTTTGACGTTATAGGTGCGACAAAGAACGGATTACGTAAAGGAAACGCGCGTGACCCCCTTTTTTCTTACGCTCATTTTTTTTTTTTTGCCAGCGTGCAACTTCCCCTTTCACTTTGTCTTTCGCTTTTTTTCTGGGTCTTCCCGTCTACATTCCTCTCGCGTTAACTGTAATGTTGCTTTTCAGTGTAGCCCAAGGAGTTGTCTATGCAGAAAGCTATGGTATTTACATGGTTGCCACAGCAAGAGGTTTTTAAAATTCCCTGAATTTTTGCTGACAATGTGACATTTCCCTGAGCAAGTGAATTAACAATTTCACAAATTATTCCTCCGCTCCAGCTTCCTCCTCAGGCGCATCGTTTTTCGCAGGTAGAGGCGAGGGACTGGTGATGAACCGCAAGGGACCATGGGAACGGTACGGACCTTCCCGCCTTCCTTTGCGTGCACATTTTCATCGAGAGAGAGACGTCTGGGTAAATTCGTATGAGTAGGGGGAAGCCGCTGATAATGGACTAAACGCTCCCCTCGCAGCCACCTCCCCGCCCATTCATTCATGCTTCCAGCAAGTCACGTGCAATGTACATGAATTGATAGTTCCTTAATATAATATGTAAACAGGATTGATTTTGTGAAAGGTTTGAACCCAGGAGTCATTTCAAAAGTAGGTTGAGTTTGATCGTCCGGGTGAACGTAGTTGTTGTTGAAAGTGACTGACGTTTCGACAACCTGTGCGGTAGTCATCTTCAGAGTCAAAGCGAGTTGTATCACGTCAGTTGATCTTCTTGAAAACCCGACATCAGCTTGTTGTGCAATTGAAATGAACAACATTCTACCAGGCAACATGATTCATGTGCGTAAAAATGTACAACTGTACCCTTAAAATTTCACTTTTTCCGGACTTCTTTCAAAGACTCAAATTTTCCCTGACTCTAAGTGACATTCCCTGACTATTTCCTGACCTTAAAAACATTTTATTTCCCTAACCATTTCCTGACCTGTGGCAACCATGTAACTGTAAACAGAGATTAAACTGACAAATTTTTGTCACCTTGAGACCATTCACGATCTCCTATTTTTTCCGTAAGAGCTACTAGATCGAGCGCTTACCGTTTCTGGCGGCCATCTTAGATGTATACATGTATGTACATGTTCCGAGTCTAACCTGGGACAGCAGTATCAATTTGAATCCAAGATGGCCCCCTGTAACTGTAGTAGTACGCGTTCGATCTCAAAGATCTTACTGTGAACTTTCTATGCCACTGTTGAAGGAACTACTAGGTAAAGCACCGTTGCGACTTTGAAAATCCTAGTTGCGTTTGTTGTCATAAAAGATCAGGCTTCCTGCTGGTTTTATTTTTTCGTTTCCTGGTAAGATAATTTCAACTGGTGAGTACCAAACTCGGATTTGAACTCACTCGGAAGGTTTAGCAAAGTCAACATAACGTAAGTGCGAGCAGCCGACCTAAAAATTCATAAGACCAACGACAAAGTGAGCACCAGAGGTCGCGTTTATTTCCTGTCACGCACTTTCGCGTTCTCATTTGACGTTTGCTGCCTCACGTTTGCTGCCTCACGTTTGCTAATACACGTTCCTGGATCTCAACCCCAGATCTTTCCCGGCTGGCTGCACAGATACGACGGTGGAGGAAAAGCGAAAAAAAAAATGACTCTTTTTTCGCATGGGAAATTGCGTGTGTTATTATCAGCAGACACGACCATGATATTTTAATTTATTTACTAAATCTGCGAGCTGCAGTCTCCTGAAAGAGACGCATTTTCTTTGTTTGCATTTTTCTTTTAGCTCATGAAAATTCGCTTCTTCAATTATAAAACGACAAAAGATAGAAACGGGGATTTGTTTCCTTTCTCTTACATTCAGATCAGCATTCTTTTGATTTCTATTATTAATTTTTCCTTTCTTCAGCAAAAGAAGCATTATTCCAGTTGTATTGTTTTCCACAAATCCGTGAAGTGGCTACCATTGATATAACTGTCGATCTGTGTATCAACTAGCCTGAGAAAACAGCCGACACTGATCTCGCGACGCCACCACTACTCAGAGTTTTCCCGCGAAATGACGTCCGAGAAACAAGTTTCCAACATTCCATATCGATGACGGGTCAGTCACTACCCAGATCAAGCAAGTGCTTCTGGTTGGTTGAAAACTGAAAATAACCTTCAACCAATCAGAAACATGCACTACCAAGTGGTGGCGTCGCGAAATGTCAGCTGTTTTCTCAGGCTATGTATCAACTTCCATCAGGTTTTGAAGATCAGCTTCGGGCTGGCGTAAACGCAACAGGAAAAGTCTTGTATATATTGTGCCCGGCTTTCTGCTCGTTTGATCTACAGGGGCAGAGTGATTCCTGTTTTGCGGTGTTAAGAGGTGACCATACGACAAATGAACTCATCTAGGCGTCAAGTCTTGCTCTCCTCGTTGTTCCGACTTACGCGTCAGTGATCAGTACGTACGACTTTGAATCTTATCCAGAACTGAGTGCAGAACTGATCATTTGAGCGATTGAATAAAGTTGTCTAAGTTGTACTCCGTCTCGTACTGCTCCTCCTCCCACAGCTCCCCTAGATTCTCCAGTACGCTCTTGAGTGAAGCTTTTCCGGTTTCATTCTGTTCTCTGCTTGCTTTCTCTTTCTTCTTCTCCTTATCCACTGTGAACAAGTCTAGCAGCTGCCCTGTGTCCATCGTCATGAGACTCGAGTTGTCTTGAGATATCACAGTGTTGGCGATGTTTAGCTTAAATTTCTGAAGGCTGAGAACAAAACGAGAAACGTTAAAATTTGGTCAGTGAAAAAATAAATCGCATAAGATAGCTTTTGGTATTTTAGGTGCAGTATTTGGTCTTAGCCTATTAGGACAAACATTTTCCGAGGATGACTTATAAAACTAGAACTAAATGATCGCATTTTTATAAGTACAGCTCTTTTCACTTGTCTGAAACTCGGACTTTTCGTCATTTCTGCATGACTGTCTGAGTGAAAGAGTAAAAATTAGGGACCTTGAGCAACAACGACGGCCACGGCTACGAAAATGTCACTTAGCAAGTGAATTCGCGCTGCTATAACCCTGTTTCTCATATGCCGCCGATGTATCTCCGACGAAGCCGCAGAACGCCTGGGCTACTTCTCGGACGAATGAGAACATGCACCGCCGCGCCGAGACTGGGATGACCAATGTTGCCGGCCACTTCTGTTCTCATATCGGAACAGTATCCCAGGCAGTACCGGCGGCCATGTCGCAGGTGCATCGGCGGCATATGAGAACCAGGCTTTATAGTGCGAATACTTGAACCGGGGCACTTCGAAGAAAATTATCCAACCACAACGTTTTTTGGAAACAAAAGATTCTCAAGTTTTATGCAACCGTTGAAAACTTAAACACCGTTGAACTTACCTGACTTCTCAGGAAACAGCCCTTAAAGTAGAGAATGTTATTGGTCCGTTTGCAAAAAAACTTGAGAATCTTTTGTTCTCAGAAAACGTGGTGATTGGATAATCTTTTCCCAAGTGCCCCGGTTCGAGTAATCGCATTGTAATGAACTGTTATAGATCCAGGTAACCTACCCCATAATCTTTTCTTCCAGGGTTCCACGCGTTATCAATCTGTACACATTAACGACCTTCTTTTGCCCGATACGATGCGCTCTATCCATAGCCTGGAAAAGAAAAAAAAACAAACGAAAACTTACTCTCAGCCCTTGTCAAAAATCGAAACTTAACAAAAAAAAAAAAAAGAAACGCCACATCTCTCTTGAAAATAGACTGCAAAACAGTTGGGTTTTTTTTTTCTCAAAATCAGTAAAGAAATCGTTAACGCGTGGCGTAAGAGTCTTATGCGCGCGAAGCGCGCGAGCCTCACACTCACGTAGGGCGTGTGAAGCGTCTCTCCCCAGTCTCGCTATCTGTTTTCAGCCTCGTTCTAGACCTTTTGTTTGACTTCCGCGCTTACTTGAATACGCTAAAATAGGGACTGTTTTGTAGTCTATTATGAAAAACACTCCGTGAAAATCAAATAGTTTCAAGCGAAGGTGCTACCAAAGAGGTTTCCTTTGAAGGGTTGCAACTGGGAATTTCTCAACGTACTCAGAAGTTAGAACAGTAGATAACTTGCTTTCACAAATGACTCTTTGCAGTAACTGAGCTTAGGTTTGTTCTGACGAGTAGGAGGGCATAAGATCTTTGAATTGATGCAGTGAAAATTAATGGGGATGCTGGGTGCCAGGAGTATTTTCGTGAAATCAAGGCAAACGAAAATGGTAAAGGGAACAAAACGTTAACAAGACACATGTTATCTATACCTGTGGTGATAAAGTATGTTGACTAACTCTGAACTAACACCAACTGGCGAAGCTATTAAACCAACGAATTCGTTTCAAAAGATTGCATTAATGAAAAACAATTAGCCGTAAAGCGTAACAAAAATTATCCTGTCGTTTTGTCATTTATGACAACCTGGTTCCAGACATATTAAAGAGAACGTCATGAGTCCTAAGGACAGCTTAAGTAACTTACTTGCAGGTCTTTCATGGGATTCCAGTCGTGTTCTACAAAAACAACCGTGTCGGCACCCGTCAAATTCAATCCCAGTCCACCAACATGCGTTGTCAGCAGTAAGATATCAATAGATGGGTCACCGTTGAATCTAAATTCGAAGGTAAAAGAATGCTTTAGCACCTAGTACTAAACTAGTGGTTGAACTGTTAGAATAGTCCTTGTAAATATCAACGTCAAACAAAACTCTAACCCTAACCCTAACAAATTTAACTGCCAAGCCTCGTTTCGAAATTGTACATTTGCAAAGTTTTGCAAGCATGAATTCCTAAGGAAGTACAGTTCAAAACCGCAGGCTGCGATAGCCTGGTCATATCCTAAGAATGCCCAGTGACAGGATACCCAAAGTTGCCATCAAGTGGATTCCAACTGGGAAGAGGAAAGCCGGCCACAAAACACCTAGCCTCCCACGCAGGCGTTTTTAGGGGAGCTCGTATTTCTTACGAGCTCCCCTAAAAACGCCTGGGTGGGAGGCTACAAAACACCCAGAAGAAAACAGTGATGAAAAAGCTGGAGGAGCTGGGTCTAACATGGGCTGAAGCGTAGGCCAACACTAAGGACAGGGTTGAGTGGAGACGATTGATTGAGGGCTTATGTCCCAGCCGGAATAAAGAGGTTGAGAGAGTGAGTGGGTGAGTGAGTGAGTGAGTGAGTGAGTGCGCGCGTGAGTGAGTGCGTGCGTACGTAGGGGAGTAAGTGAGTTCACAGTTGGAAAGAACACCCAAGCACAAAGAGTGTAAATGCGAAGACTATTGTTCGCAAACACAGCTTGGTCGCGAAATTTGCTTGTCTTACATAATCATACATAAGGGATACTGTGAAGTACTTACCTTTGCACAAGCGAGTGACGTGAGCCCGCGGGTGTACTGCCATCAAGTCTGAGGTATGTTACACTGGGCATATGCTTTCTGTAAGAGTACAACAAGCAAGACATAAAACATCGGCTATGAACTGTTAATTGTACTCCATGAACTTGTCTTATGTCTAACTTAGAGGTCGTGGACAATATCCCATTTTTCAAAAGACACTATTTCAATGAAAACCGTTGAGCAAACCAGTCGTTTACAGTTACACTGTTTATTGGCAAAAGCAAATTCCAAATGTGGGTTCCATGAATGTACTTCCAAAAGTAACCAATTAAATATAAGCTACTGATCTGTAATCTTGCTCAGTACTCAGTGTCTGTTTTTACCTCCGAGTCCGTGGATGAAACCCTTAAAAGATGACAGCTACTGAGCACTATTCCTCTGTAGTACAGGCCCCAGACGTTCAACAGGTGGATAACGCTTCCCACCGGATAAATTGGTTCTACCCTGGATAGCGCATTTGATTTCCCCAATACTTATCCACTGGATTGCAGGGTTCATACTAAAAATTGCAACAATTTTAAAGGACTTTTAAAGGACTTTTTCAAGGACCACATTCGATATTCAACGACAAGCTACCAGGAAAGTAATTTAAAAGATTGTACCAAACAGCACATCTCAGTCCATTCTATCAGGACTTGAAGGCTTGAACTGTTTTCTCCACCAACTTCCCTTCATTCTTCATTTCACTTGTCTTAAATTGATAGTTCATACTTACATATAACAAAAAATGCTTTATGTAAATCACCTTTAACTTCTCTGAGCTATGATTTACATTTTGTTTCGGACAACCAAGAAGCATTAAAAACACTTTCCAGGCGACTTCATTCAATGTTGCAGAAAATTCAAGGACTTTTAAGGACGTGCAAAGAAATTTAAGGACTTTTCAAGGAAAAATATAATTCAAGGACTTTTCAAGGACCCCCTCTAAAATTCAAGGACTTTTCAAACCTGTGCGATCCCTGGATTGGAATTTATCTAGTGGATGGTGTTGAACAACCGCGGCCTAGTTATTTCTTGTCGCTTACGGTAAAATTTTAACTCTAAAGTCTGTGAACGTATGACGTCCTTTGGAGCAGTTCTTTACTGTGGTAATGACATTTCAAATTTAACTGACGAATTAATTTCCAAATTCCAAACACGACAGCCTTAGAATGTAAAGAATATTAAAAGCGCCTTACTTGAGGAGGTCATTTTCAACTATATCCAACATGCTCTTCAGTTGACAGAACAACAGTACACGATGTTGAGACACAACCGGGTCTGATGACAAATCGTTGGAGCCTGGAGACGAGGAACTCACTCCTATCCCACAATCCAACAACAATTGCCTGCAGGAAGGTAACAAATGCGAAATTTTCAGCCTCGTCTCAGGGGCAATTCACGATATCCAAGTCAACGGAGGCGGCTTGGAACTGAGCGCGATAGCGCGATTTATCACCACAAGCTTGGTGGGTGATGTCAAATCCGAACTAGCCAAGTTCGACTGGCAACGAGGACGCGTAGTTTTACGAAAGATTGATATATCGTGAGTAAATCTATACGCAACCAGAGAAACTAACTTTGTTCAACATTAGAGAGCTTTAGAGGACAAGGACGACTACGAGTACGAGATTTTCTCAATACTGAGTATTGCTCACGCGTCAACCAGCGTCATTTTGGCGGGAAAACGTGGTAGCCGTCGTCATCCTACTACGAGTTTTACCGAGAATGTCCTATTGGCGGGAACAAGTTAACAAACTTTTGAAGTTTTCAAGTTTAATCATTTTGCGACCGGGAAAGGGCTAAACCTTCTCCAATAAAAATAACCGCACTAGTTTTTCGGGTGCAAAATAGTACAATGAAGCTTTCCGTGTTGAATATTTTTCGAGAATACGCAAAAAGACTTTTAAGTTAAAACTCGTACTCCAAGTCGTCCTCGTCCTCAAATCTAAAGCTCTCTATTTCCCCATTTACAACAATAGAAAGGAGCTATGCCACGAGGCTATTACTGTTTCACGGAAACTCTGACATATGGTCACTACTTGGTACCTTTACTTATACACAAATTACTCCTGAAGAAAAACGAAGAAGATGTTAAACACACTGCATCAGGGAGCACTAACAATAAGGATTTTTGTATGCAAAGCATTAATGACGAAGACATGGTTTAGCTTTTAAAAATAAGGAAAAGAGCGTCACCTAGCCACTTAAAAGGTAACAGTCTTCCTCTATAGAAAGGCTGGTTCAATGTAGTGTTTGAGAGAAATATGATATGATATCTGATATATGTGATATATTCGTTTCTGTGATCGAATTGAGTTACATGGCTAGCTCAGACCAATTGCCGGATTCGCATAAGCGCTATTGGCAATTACCTTGATCTAAGGTTAAAGATTGTACCGCAGGCGATAAAACCAACAAACCTACTTTCAAGAGCAATTGTAAAATCGATGCTGTTACAAGAGTTTGCTACCGGGCTGATGAATTCTGTTCTTAAACAAAGGTGGTTTCTATGGGTGCGTTTAAATCGCGGATCCTCGTTGCCCCGAATTTTAACCGACTTTTTGGTAATCTTGCCTTCTTCACGTCAGGGTACAAGACTATACACCTTGTGTCGGGTGCATAGTCTTGTACCCTGAAGAAGGCACCACTGCTGAAACGTTGACTAACACTCTTGTAACAGCGTCGATTTTATAATTTTCAAATTAACATTAACGCTGCGCAGGGATTTTCCGTTTTTATTACAAAAACTTACTTGAGCGCCACAAGTTTGGCAGCGTGTTGAATGTCCCGGATGGAGCCATTCTGCTGCCGCAGTTGATCCATGATTTTGTTGTATTCAGGATGATTGGCAGTGAGCACGAGAAGCGGATGATTACACACTTTACGGAGGTACTGAAGAGCCTATGTAAAACAACGAATAAACATTAGGCGAGAAAAAACACACTGGCGCCGTCTTGCGTTAGGTAACTAAAGGTCAGAACAACTCTCATCTAAATCCCAGTGAATACCCGCCAGCCCCAAGAAAACACATGGCTACTCCCGGGTGTGGCTCGCTCAAAGCCAAGCACTGGGCTGGGCAGTAACCCGAGATGGAACTGAAAGAGGATGATAACACACTTTGTGGAGGTACTGAGGAGCCTGAGTAAAACAAAGTGTAAACATGAGGCGTAAGAAAACTAAATAGAAAAAAACTGGCGCTGTTATACGATACGCAGTTATACGAAAGGCAGGCTGCAAAGAGAGTCAGTCTTACAGCTCGCCGTTTTGGTAAAGCTGTAGCTAGCATATACTAACCCAAGAGTCATTTTAACTGGGCCGAAAAAAGATTTGATGAGCAGCATAAATTACAATTCTTCTGTACTTTGAATGCCGCTGTTCGAGCTACCCATAGAAAACAACAAACACCCCAACTTTGAATGGAGGGGAGGGGGCAGGGGTGCGGACTTTTTATGGTTCTCTGAAGATGCCCTATTTGAATACAATGTCTCAACAATTTTGTTGCCGACTGTCGATTTTATGGGCTTAAAAGGTAGTTTCCAAACCTGGAAAATATGAGGTGTTTCTTTGCTGGATTTAGCTTTGCTATCACCATCATCCATGTGGGAGACAGATTCATCCAAGCCTTTCTTCATCTGCGACTTGGCAAAGTCCTCATATAACTGAACCTGAAAGACAAAGAAAAACAACCTTTTAAGTTATAGAATACAGAACGCATTTTCAAATTTTTCCAGCTGTTTCTTTTAGTTCTCGGAGCGTCTTTCAAGAGTATGTTTCGTGCCACAATTTCTGTGCTTTGCAGCTGGTTTGGTATGTTGTTTGTAAATTCTCATTAAGCGACGCCTAAGTGACCGTGCGTATTACTCTCTGACAATGAGCTGTCTCGCGTGAATCGTTTCACGTCGATCCCAAATTCGGATCTTCGGCCAAGCCTGTCAAAAGCCAACTAAATGTCTGCTGCCAGTCTAAAATCGTGTCACGTTTAGTTTGGATTATTTGGGTGGGTTACCGGTAAACTAGCTACAACAGCTACCGTAAGTGCGGTTCCCATATCAACAAAGCTTTTATTTTAAATTTTGGTCAAGAAGAGCTTGAGGTTTCGCCAACAAAATGATACCTCACATTAAAACTAAAACATCGCCGCCCGGTAAGCTCAGTTGCAATTGAAAGATGTTTAGGGAAGATCCTGGTACGCCAAAAAGGGTAAAAACGTTGAGCGACCCCGCCAGATCTGTCAAAGCTAATAAATTAGGGGAAGCGTAGGCTATTTTTTTCTGTTAGCCACTAACTACCCACCTGGAGAGGACTCAGTTCACAATAGTAGTCTTGTATGATTTTGGGAGGGAGGTCTTGGAGTACATCTTCCTTTAAGCGTCTCAACAGGAAAGGAAGAACCTGACGGTGAAGAGACTCCATAGCCAAGGCTCCTAAAATAGAGGCATCAACAACACTTGATAAGTCACCATAGCATGGACACTATTCATAAATTGTAATAAAAAGAAATCAGAATTAAAATCAACCCGCTCCACTTTTACCACCTGTAACCGCCCTTATGTATTCAATACCCTTGTATCGCTTGTGACATCATTCAGTTTACAAAGTCAAAGACAATTTTTCGCCTAACTTCTGTAGGGGCGTGGAGAAGAGAGATCTTTCGAGCCATACCCGAATGAGTGCTGTTTAGTCAAAACAGGCAAGAGAAAAACGTAAAAACAACAACAACACTATCCACTATCCACCCTCACTTCCTTCAAACTGATATCACGATTCTCGGCTGGGGTTTTTGCGGAAGATTTTTTAACCAAAATAAAGCCTAGTATAGATGCTCAGCGAAAGATCAGAACACGAAACGGAAGAAGAAAAGCGAAAGGCGCAAAAAGAAGAGAAAGCAAAAGGTAACCGTTCAGGGAGCAGTGCCAGTTTTAAACCTGAGCAATGTTTGGGCAGGTTTGCTTCTTTTTGGCCAGATAGTGACAAGAAAACAGCTCGACTCGCTTTAAAAGGCGTTTTTCCGCCAAAACTCCCGGAGTCGAATGGGTTAATAAATATTTTGCCCGTATAATACGGGGAATTTTGAGTGAACATGTCGCACATGGCGTGCACGAGCTTTCACAATAAAGAAGTTTTTACAAAGAACATTGAAACCACGCGGAGCTTGTAACATGCGGTTTCAAGACAAGACGAATAAAATAAAGTAACGGTTAGTGCTGAGTTATGTTTGAGGGTTCACGACATGTTACTCTCATGAGAGAGGTTTACTGCGGTTTCCGGTGGTTACAATTCGTACCATTCGATAAGCTAACACTAGTTATCATCTCCAATGTTTACACGAAAAAAATTACTGAAGAACGATAGAAGACAAATGACTGACAGTTACGGTGGGAAAGCCATTGTGCGTTAATTAAGCGGAGCAAAACTGTGAATTTTGTGACGCTGCCAAAAAAGGCAGTCTTACATCTGCCGTCAATCCATTTTTTTTTATCGGCTTCCATCCTTAAATCCACACAAATCAGCTTAAATGCTCCTCAAGCAAGCCCTTTTAGTATTCAACATATTTTTTTCAAAGGAGGGTACTAATTAAAAATAAACTTGCAAGCTGTCATTTTCCCGCGCTCGATATGTAAACTATAAGGCGAAACGCTTGTTTACGTGGTAAATTAGACATTTATAATTCACTGCTCTTCTACTCTGGATTCTTATTGGGTTCAGTAGTAGATAAAAAAAAAAAAAGAAAAAATCCTGGCAAATAATGGTCTGGAACCGCGGCTTTGCGATTACCGAACCAGAAATAGTGCTTGATTAATTGAATTTGTTCAGGTTTTTTCCCGTCATGTGGAATGATAACCAAACTTCGAGGATCACAATTATCACTCGCAAGAAAACATTTTGTTGAAAAGAGAAAGACCTCTAGGAAGGCACACCTATGAATGCTCATATCATTCACATCACAGTTAATATAAACTTAATAATCGGCATATTTCACCTCCACTTGCCCCACAAAAGCAATGCAAACAATCAAACAAGGACACTGAGTTGCATGTGTACTAGCCAATCCAACTAAGCCAAAACTGGCAGGTGTGTCGACTGAACAGGACTGAACAACAAACAGTGTTCGTTGCTTTTCTCTAATCGCCTTCTTACTAGCTGATATGATTCGCAAACTTGCCAGCAAGGACGAAAAGGAATGGAGAGCAACACAACTTACTTTTACAACGCTTTAAATTCAACGTTACGAAACATTCGCATCGCGAAAGAATTTCATCATACCAAAGAACATTACGAAGTACGGCTTCGCTGTACGATCGCGATTTGCGTTGTGAATTTTTTGCTCTGCTTTACAGCTCTGTTTGGAAACTCTGCAATAATCTTGACGATTTGGAAAAAGTCCTCATTGCATTGTGCTGCAAATATATTACTGACCAGTCTCGCGGTCTCTGATTTTGCTGTTGGCTTGATCTCCCATCCTTTATTTATAGCAAATCTGCTGATGCGGATACGATATTTTTCGATCCCACCTCGCCTTCTTTGGGTATCTTTCAACGTCCTGACTACATTTCTAAGCAGCGTCTCATTTTTAACTGTCACAGCAATTGGAATGGATCGCCTGTTAGCTCTTCAGCTACATTTAAGATACAGAACTGTTGTGACACATTTTCGTGTTCGCTGTGTGATCATTTTCATTTGGGCGTATAGTGGTGCTCTTTCGAGCGTTGGAGCATGGAGTTTGGTTGCGTATTACAAAGCTGTTTCTCCTGTTATAGTGGCATTTCTTGTTGGGAATTTCTTTATTTATTTGAGAATCTACCTAGTTGTGCGCCGTCACCAAAGACAAATTCAGCAGCAATTACTACAACCGAATAATAGCGGTAATAATTTCTGCATGAAGATATTCAAGAAAACTGCTATAAACACATTCCTAGTATACATTCTACTGTTGTGTTGTTATATACCGCAATGTTTCGTATCACTGGCTTTATTCACAAGTGACTGGAGATTTTCGTTCACAGCTGAGACAATTACAGGTACAATAGTCTTGCTGAACTCCTCTCTCAACCCCCTCTTATATTACTGGAGAATCAGTAAAATGCGCAGAGCATTAATTGAAACGTTGTGTTGTCAAAAAACAACGACCGAAACAGAAGACTACAACATTTCAAACAGAGTCACAGCAAACATCAACAAAAGATGCATCACACAATCTTCAAGGAGGATTTTGACCGGTTGCTAAACAAAGTATAACTCAGACCGGAGCTTAAGATTGTCAAGATCTGTTAATAAGTGGGTTATATTTTTTTGGTCTGCGCTATAACCCTTATCGACGCCATTCACTCAGTATAAACAAAGTTTATTAGAACTCGGTTTTAAAATTTTGGCAAACCACTAGATAAACTCCACTTTTATAATACGTTTAAACGGATTCGTGTCTTTATTTCACTGTCTTCTGCTTAGACTTGCCACAAGTCGTCCTCACGAATTAGCCGTAAAGCGAACCGGAGCGGAGGGCGCCATATTAAATAGGACGAAAAAAAACAAGATGTTCTCGCAGTTCTTCCCTCTGCTCAGTGCTTAGTTTTCCTGTTCTCTTTTGGTTCCTAAATGGTAATTCTTAGAAACAACTTAACTAATACAAAACACAATCTATATTTATACATTGAGCACAGCAGTTAGTGGTTAATGGTGATATTCTTCCATTATCCTGTGTAAATAATAATAAACAGTAACCTTTAAACACTGAAAACGGCGCTACTAATCATCTGGGTTAACGATTTGTTGCAGTAAAGGATGCTTAAGAGAAACTCTAAATCTTGAAAAATTAAAAAAAAAAAGAAAGGAAGGAAGGAAAATGAAAAAAAAGAAAAGAAAAGAAAAGCAACGTCGCACAGAGAAAAAAAGGAATGATTTTGGTTCACATAGCTTGTGTAAATAAATGCATTGGGCTATATTTATTTACATTTGTCTTTAATTTTACCGTTCCTGGTTGCTACCGTTTATTTTCAAAGGCTGCTTAAGAGAAACTCTGTTTGTTGAAAAATGAAAAGAAAAGAAAGAAAATAAAGGAAAGGAAACTGAAAAAAAAAAGGAAAAGCGATGTCTCCGTAGTGAAAAGAGAAAAGATTTTCGTTCAAAGGGCTGTCATTAAGGGCCGTAACCCGTAACACCTGTTACAGCTGAGCTCACTTGATTTTACGGGTGATCAAAGTGGGAGGCTAAAGGTGACACTATAAACTTTTGGGCAGATGTTACGGGTGAATCTTCATTTGCTACGACTGCTCTAAAAATTAACGACAGCCCTGCGTTCATATAGGTTCTGTTAATAAAATGCGCTGTGTTCTATTTAGTTACATTAGTTCTTAATTTTAACGTGCCTGGCATATTCACCATATTCACATTACCCACCAAAATATCAAATATAGTAATCTCTTAAACAAGCTGCTACTTATTTATGGCTGATGTGAACTGCGGGAATACACTAAATCTAAATCAAGATATGACCATCGCAGTTGTAATCACAATTTACGCAATTACAAATTAATGATACATGAAGCTACCTTTTGTTGTTTAAAATTTATCTCGTCAATATTTTGCAAAATACTCCACGTCTAGCGCAAGGAACAAAGGGAGCTTAAGCAACAACGTTTTTGAGCGACGGACGTCCACCGGAAGTGGACTTTTTGCATCATTGGGGAGTGGTTTGGTTGAAACTCTCGGGTAAATCGTCTTTAAAAGAGAAAAGAAACTAAGCAATACAAGTTTGTTAGCGTCAAGGCATATAAAAAGGGAGAAGGCCTCACTTCCGGTTGACGTGCGTCGCTCAAAAACGTCTTTGCTTAAGGTCCCTATTATTGAGTCTCTGCAACGACGACGATGACGACGGCAACAAGAATGGCAAAAAAAAAACAAAAGGTTTTAATTTGGAAAACAACAACTACACGCTTTTTTGTACATTTCTTTGCCGTCGTTGCAGGACCACGACGTGAAACTGCCTAATTTCACGTTTTGTGGAGGACAAGAACACAAGACAACGATTTCTTATTCTTTTCTTTAAAAAAAAGCAAAAACTTAGATACAGTCTTTTAGAAGTAAACTCGACAAAAATTCACCAACATTTCATAAATGGAGTGACATGGAATAAGAGCGATCAATTTTGAAACAAAGTGAATTCACTTTTTAAGCCGAAAAGTGCAGGGTCTAAAGTGCAGGTCACATTCTACAGGTCAAGAGTAGAGGTCACCGCTCCATCCGGATAAATTACTTAGCCAGCTGTATTTTTGACCCGCAGCTTTTAAGGCAGGTTTTCCCCACCGTCGTCGTTGCTTCAATTCCCCTTAACACATTTGACGATACGTACCAGCCTCTTGTTCTTTAGATGAGGATTTCGCGTCTCTGCTCTGTAGGATGGGTTTACCAAATCGAGCTTGAAACTGTTTTTCAGTCCCTAAGAAGCCAGGCATCAAGAAATCAAATAGGGACCACAGCTCTAGCACATTGTTCTGGAAACAAACAGAGGAAATTCGTTTCTACTGAGGTTAATGTCTTGTCTGATGAGAAATATATAACTTATGGTATTCCTCAAGGATCGATTTTAGGTCTTTTACTGTTCTCAATTTATGTCAACGACTTTCCCAAGGCCGGCAGCATTATACCCCGAGAATGTTTGGAGATAATGCCTATATAACAATACCTGGTTGGAGTACCAGCGATATTGAACCTAAACTAAAGAGCGACTTAGAAGCAATTGAGAAATGGCTAATTAACAATTATTCTTTGAAATCGAGGTGAATAGTGGCAAAATATTTACCGAGCCGCGAAAGCGGCGAGGTAAATATTCCCAAAGCCACTATTCACCGAGATTGAGAAGAATAATTGTTTTAGTATATACACACGAAGTGATCTCAACAAAATCAGAAAGGAAACCATTCAAAAGTAGGATTTGATTGACAGATCAAATCACGCGTAAGTTTAAAAATAGATCTTTGCAGAATTTTCAAACATGGCAATTCACAAGTTTACTCATTTCGCAAACAACAGCGCAATGGCTTCAATGGAATCGCTAAAAGTTTGAACTGTTTCCTTACCTGAGAAAAAAAGTAGAGCTGTGTTGTTTTCTGTTGACTCGCCAAGTTTATAGCCAAAAGGACATGTTGTGTCGTTCTTCGCATGAAGTGCTGACAAAAATGGCGGCTCGGTTGCTCGAGGTAAGAGGTCGTCTTCCTGTATCATTCTTTTTCCTGTTTACTTGAAATGTAGAATTTCTGCAAACATTTCCTTTTAAATTTGTTTGTCATAAATAAACTTCGATTTTTGAGCCAAAATTTTCTTCTTAGAAAACGCTGAGTTCACGAAACTGCTTCTTCTACGCGAATACACGGGAGTTGTAAACAATCCATCGAGCACAAAACTCCTGCTACAGTAAATTGAAAAACGCCGTATTGAATCCTTCCAAGTCTTTTCTTGCCTTAAAAAAAGTCAGCCCTAGGATTTTGTCGACTTTTAAAAGATCGTTCTCTAAAAAAAACGGGAAAAACACCGAGCTCACACATTATCCACTCGCTAGGAGGTGAATATTGTTGATTAGTATATACACACTCAGTGATCTTGGTGATTTAAGCAATCTGATTGGTTCGCTATCTCGGACTATTCAACAATATTCACCTCCTAGCGAGTGGATAATGTGTGAGCTCGGTGTTTTTCCCGTTTTTTTTAGAGAACGATCTTTTAAAAGTCGACAAAATCCTAGGGCTGACTTTTTTTTAAGGCAAGAAAAGACTTGGAAGGATTCAATACGGCGTTTTTCAATTTACTGTAGCAGGAGTTTTGTGCTCGATGGATTGTTTACAACTCCCGTGTATTCGCGTAGAAGAAGCAGTTTCGTGAACTCAGCGTTTTCTAAGAAGAAAATTTTGGCTCAAAAATCGAAGTTTATTTATGACAAACAAATTTAAAAGGAAATGTTTGCAGAAATTCTACATTTCAAGTAAACAGGAAAAAGAATGATACAGGAAGACGACCTCTTACCTCGAGCAACCGAGCCGCCATTTTTGTCAGCACTTCATGCGAAGAACGACACAACATGTCCTTTTGGCTATAAACTTGGCGAGTCAACAGAAAACAACACAGCTCTACTTTTTTTCTCAGGTAAGGAAACAGTTCAAACTTTTAGCGATTCCATTGAAGCCATTGCGCTGTTGTTTGCGAAATGAGTAAACTTGTGAATTGCCATGTTTGAAAATTCTGCAAAGATCTATTTTTAAACTTACGCGTGATTTGATCTGTCAATCAAATCCTACTTTTGAATGGTTTCCTTTCTGATTTTGTTGAGATCACTTCGTGTGTATATACTAAAACAATTATTCTTCTCAATCTCGGTGAATAGTGGCTTTGGGAATATTTACCTCGCCGCTTTCGCGGCTCGGTAAATATTTTGCCACTATTCACCTCGATTTCAAAGAATAATTGTTAAATAGTCCGAGATAGCGAACCAATCAGATTGCTTAAATCACCAAGATCACTGAGTGTGTATATACTAAAAACCAATAGGCTTAGCTGCAACACTTCTTAAACATGTTATATGGCAGTTGGATCTAGACAAAACATCATTGAAGCTTAAGAAATGACACGAAATTGCTGGAAAATTACACTGATGAAACTTTGTCTTGGGATAATCAGATATCCTTTGTCATAACGTCCAAAACGGCTTTCGAATGCTTTTTAAAATTAGGTCTCTCACTAAGGACTCAAGAACATTAATCGCTTTTTATCGACCATTAGTAGAACCGTACTTCGACCATTGCAGCCTTGTATGGGGTAATTGCTCAAGAATGCGTGCAGATCAATTGCAGAAACTCCAAAACAGAGCAGCAAGCATTATTACAAAAGCGGACTATTCAGTAAGATCGTGCTCTAAAAGAGCTATGTTGGCCAACGCTGAGTGATAAGTGGAAAATACAAATGAATATCATGATGTTAAGTTTATAATGCGGCTGTACCTGAGGTACATAGCTACAACTTCAGAGGTAGTAATGCGTGGTTCAATTTGACCTGTTACCACCCCTCTCTCCCCGGGCAACCCCCGGGACAAGTTCTGCTCTTCGGGCCCGGGGTTGGGAAATGGTTTGAAGCGGTTCTTTCCCAGGGGTAGGGGGTGGGGCAAATAGAAAATATCTTCTCTTTGATTTTGCGAAGTGCGTGTCATTTCTTGCGCGGTTTGAACGATGGCGGCGGGCATATTTTCAAAATGGTTTTCTGTGTGCTCTAGAGGCCTGTTTGGTTAATTTGTAACTGCCCTAAAAACTATTCATCGGTTCGGATGTCTTAGGGGAACTGTAACCGTTTCGAAAGTTTTAGGTGACTTTTTCGTCTCATCCAAAACTGGTAGCTATCCTGTATCCTGATGGGATCGATTGAAAGTTCGAGGAAATCGAGTAGCCGTACTGTCATTACAAAATTCTAGCGGTGTTTGTTTTTACACTGAAATTTTCAGGAGACCGTTTTTTTTTAGCAATATTCCCAATATCTTGGTAATAAAATGAGAAGAACACAACCTTCGAAAATCGAAGGTAACAAAGTAGCAGAACTCCGACTATCTTAGGCGAATGGAGCGGTTATCCAGAAAGTTTTAGCCTTTCTTGGGCTTCAGAAATTTCTAGGCAATATTTGCTCCTTCGAACAGTTATATTACAGAAAAAAAGTCTGGGTGCCCCTGTTTAAAAATGAAAAAAAAAAAACAAAACAAAAACAAAAATCCCGTACCTGGATAGGCGTTCCTGAAAGAATAAGTCGATGGCTTGCTCTCAGTTGCTTGATAACTTTTGCCAACTAAAAAAAGGAATTATTCAATCATGAAATTTCTGTATTCTAGATGCCTTTTACTGAAATTTTAAAGGACCAAATACCTTCGTTTTCCCGTTCTTAATGATATGTCCCTCGTCAAGCACACAGTAATTCCAGTGTAGTGATCTACAAAGACGGAAGTGACGCACATTACATTAAGCAGCTTAAGAAATGGCGTTTTTGAGCGGCACATGTGAACCGGGAGTGAGGTGATTAACTTAACTTTATTATTCCATCGCTCATATAGTACAAACTCAGTAAAGCCAAAGCCGGGGGCTTATACGACCTGTGGTCAGAATGACAGAAATTATTTTATATAGAAATGAAGACTGTAGGCTAAATTACAAAACTAAAACAAGATACAAAACTGAAATTAAATAAGTTTACATGCATGCAGTCCTATAACAGTCCTATAACAGTCCTATAACAGTCCATAACTAGTGACAAATAAACTAACAATAAACTATGAGAATCCTGCGCTAGTTCAATTCAGGCTCAAAAAGTGAAGTTTTAGTTTCTTTTTAAAGTTAGTAGATTTCCCTTACGCTGCCAAATTTGTATTACGAAGTGTTTTTACTTATACAGAGACATGATTTACCCGAAAGTTTGAGCAAAAATCAACGTAAATGTACAGAGCCCACTTCCTGACTCACGCTCCATGATCTTCCGCGTTTAAAACCGAATCTGGGGATCAACCTAGCGTAAAGCGGTTCAGTTTTTGTTTTTACTTTACTAACCTGAAAAAATCACCATCGTTTCTGACAATATCATAAGAAGCAACCACCAAACTGTGATTCTTAACCTTGTTACGAAGCCTACACAGAGAGTGAAAACAAATAACAATGGTCATGTTAAAGGTTTATTTTGCAGAAAGATCGGCTATTTTAAACTGGGCACCCCAATTTTCAAATATTCAAACGCTTGAGAACGTCTAAGGCCATGTTTATATGAGGTGAGCGAGCCAGGTTAGCCAAAGCTAGCCCGCTTTACCGGGCTGGCCTGGCTTACCAAGATCCCGGTTGCTCGAGCCGAGATCTCGGCAAGCGGGAAAACCCGCCTCCTCATATAAACATACAGTAAACTTAAAGATGAAACGAGAAATGAGCCGAGCCAGCCCGGTAAAGAGGGCTAGCTCGGCTAACCGGGTGGCTCACCTCATCACCTCCTATAAACAGGACCTAAATCTGATTAAAAACAATGAAGGTGTAGAAAAAATATCCAATATGATTTTGAGCAATACATGAGAAACGTTTTGCGTGGTCTAGTCATGTTATACGATAAGAAGATAACCGTAAGTTTGACACGCTTAGCCGTAAAAGAACGTTGAAGACGCTCAACACCTGCTATTTCCACATGCTCTCCGTATGATTCTAACTCCAAAAAGAGAGGCAAGACACCATCTTGGGAGAGAAAATTATTTTGGAGATAGCTGGGAATTTCTGTACAACTTGGAGTAATTTTCAAAATGACATATTTTGGAGATAACAATTCTTCAAAATCAGGATTATAAAAGAAAATAATAACAACGCGAGGAAAATTGGACGGCATATAGTACGCTTCGCGGTGTTCTGAAGTATTTCAGGAGACAAACACCCGACACTAACCTCTGTCGTTCTGATGGTGGGCCAGTGTAATGAAGCGGTTTGAGGTATTCCTTACTGACAAACTTCTCCACTTCATAAACCCAGTGACCTGTCAATGTTGGAGGGCAGATCACTAAAGAAGGCAGAGGTTTGCAATCGCTGTTGCCAGTTTCCTGTAACATGAAACACAGTAATGTAACAGAAAACTACAACCACGCTAGAACCACGCTTTCATGTTCAGCATGTCATTAATTACAGCTAAAGTAGCGTGGTTATAGAGAAGAGGTATTACGTCACAAAAATTCAAATTTGTGAAATTATGGGATAGGTTGGCACATTTAGAAAGAACAAGATGAAAAAAAACCCTTTCCAAAAATAAGCCTGTTGGTGCAAACTGATGGGGAGATCTAAGCACCTTTATCTAAGATACACATCCTTCGAAAATTGGCTTGAATCGCAAGGTTTACGATTTGCATGGGTTTTATGACTACAGTGCAACTTTATACAGGATATATTACCTTGAATACGGTTGCTTTTGTATAGTGGTCGCCTGCTATAATGCAAATTGACTGGAGAGTTTTTCCGAGTCCCATATCTATACACAGAGTCAAGATAAGCAAACAACCACTACACGTCTAACTTACCTATTGATTGTCGGCTCTAGATGACAATGTGAAATTATTTATGGAAATTCGAGGACGGCGTCAGTTTTCGTTCCCGGATTAAGCGAATACCAGAAAAGTTGTAGAAACATGAGATGACAGCGGAACGAGGTTTTCATATATGCTTTGATCAAGTATAATGTTGCGTAATGCAACTCAAAGGAAGCGTGAACTAAGCGTCTTTCCATTGTGTTAGAGAAGTATAATAATCCCACTTTTTTGTGTGCTTTAAAATTTGTTTGTAGAAGGCCAGATTTTCCAAACAAAAGCCTCAGTGAAGGAAATGACATTTTTTACAAAGGATACCATCACAAAGAATACCATGCAGCTTGTATCTGTTGAGAAAGGCTAACCAGTTCACACCATCCTGCAGAGAAAAATGCAAGTATATTAAGTAGACAGCAAGTCGAGATAACGTTGCTTTGCTACAGGTCTTTGTACTGGTCGTACAACTAAACTGAAAGTTTTTACAGCGCAATACCAATTTATCATTTTCAAATGAGAGGCAAAAAAAACAGTGGCTTAGAACCCTTAATTACGATTTAAAGTTCTCCCACCGCTTTCCATTCGTTTAATTAAACTAACTGAACTAGCAACGGTCCAAACTCGATAGAAAATTTTACTTGAGGAAAAGATAGTAGCTTAACAAAGAGTAAGACCGAGTTGAATTTTAAAGTCTAGTCGCGAAATAATACGCAAAAAAAGACCATTCCTCAGCTAAAATCCTGGACAAAAGTTCTTAAGACAGTGCTGTGGCACTCATAATTTTCTGTTATTTCTCGGTTCCCTCACGAAATAGTGCATCTTTTTCGACATTTTCTTGAAGTTTCCCATCCCCCCACCCTACACAATGTTGAAACTCGGAAAAAAAAATCTCGACACACGCGTCCAACTGAAAAAAAGCTCCATAAATGCAAGTCTCACAAGACTTTAGTCCATGATTGTAGCTCTCACCTGCGTTGATTGTCCTTCGATTTTCCATCCATTGGGAAGATTTTATTTTTTTTCCTATGTACATTAGGATACTGGAGAAACGCTTTCTTACCTGTTGATACTTTCTAAGTTCTGCCTTAATAGGAACAGGAATGGTGTAGTTTTCCACTTTTGTCCCATCCAGTAGCTGCTCCAGAAATTTGCGCTCTTTTTGCTTTTGTTCCACCATAGCCTTGGACATACCAGGTGAGTCAGGGACACCAGACTAAAACCAAAACAAAACGTCTACTTTTTAAGTCTAATTAGTACTGAGCTAAAACTCGCAGAACACAGTCTCTGACATCGCGATTTGTGACTTGAGTTCCGCGCGGATCCAAAAATTATGCCTGCGAGCAAGCCGCGTTTCAGTTAAGACAATCTGACAATCACCCTGAGGTTATCCTTGAGCCTGGGTTGGTGTTTTGTCAAACAGCACTGCGGGACTGGTTTGGAGGTCGAATGTTGACCAGTTTCCCGCGCAACCTCGGGATACCGTCACTAAAACAGTGAATCCCATAATGCAATTCAACACAACATCTATGCAGCCTCAGTAGGGTCAACCTCAAAACAGGCAATACAAAACTTGTACACAGATTACGAGAACTAAGATTGTAGATTTGCTAAAAGAAAAAGAAACAATATACATGCGTTATTGACCAAATGTGAGGTCAAGATGGCTGGATGTTGGCCAAGTTCTTTTTTTGCGTTTTTATTGACGGAGACGAAGTCGAAAAAGATTGGTCAATAAAGGATTTATTACTATATGGCAAAAAAGAGAATTTTTTCTACGCGGCCTTGAAGGACCAACGCGGGAAATCAAATCTTGTCCGCTGGGGAAGCCAATCAGAACGCCGGCTCGTGGATTCAGCCATATAATAAAAGACGCCTTATTGTTTTAATTGATTTGCCCTTACGCCAGTACAACCAAAGCTCTAGTCAAGCTGTAAATACGAACAGCAGGGAAAATCTTGAGGTGAAAAAGGTGTAACATAGATCATTACCTCGAGAGGCATCAGGCGAATAAGAGTAGCAAAGGAGTAAGTAGCCATAAGCCGCACATCCTCACACTGATCGCTCATCCTTCCTAGCACTGGTACCACAAGCAGTACAACGTACGGGACCACACCCATACCGAGCTTCTCAATAACACCTACAGTCAAGCTGCAAGTCAAGGACAAAAGCAAAGAACAGATAAAAAGGGAGGGAAAGGGGAAGCGCGATCAAGTAGCTAGCATGTTCTAGCCCAAAGGTCATTTAGCCTCAAGATTTGCATACAAATTCTCCATACAGATCTCTTTACATTTCTTTTAAGAATAGTTGAGAGAATTTGGATTAAGATCAAAGCGTTATCTCTTTGGTAATCAATTTAGTAATTCTCATCACCTTTACTCTTGATGATCTGCTGATGTTGTTAGGAGAAAATTGATGTTGCTCACTCTTGGGACCTGAAGGGTTAACTGGCTCGAAAGAAAACTTTTATGAGCAGAATTGATTACAGTCCCTCTATAATTTGAATGCCCAAGAAAAAAATTCACTTGCCTGTTGGGCAAGTTGAAAACTGAATTTACCAGCCCGATAGCAAAATCCACAGGCGCCGGGCTATCGGACATGACTTTCTTTGCACGCTGTTTTAGCCCAAAACTGACTTTAACTTTACACATAGAAGACCAGTTTAACTTTAACTTTATACATTGCAGTCCACTTTTTTAACCTTTAAGTTTTTGACTGTTTGTTTTGTTTTGTTTTTTGGAGTAAAATAAACCTGATGGTGCAATGATGAGGGAGATTTCTTCCTTAATCCAGCTAGTTACTTCCTTGCCAACCTATTTTAAAATTCATTGATAGTCTTGGCTGCCCATTGGCCAAAGCATACGATTGCAGTTCAATTTAATATATCTGACCAACCAAGTATTTTAAATATAAATGGAATGACACAAAAAAGATACAGCAGATGGTTTCTATAGCTCCCTGTCGATTTCTGACGATATCCGCCGTGCCCATGAGAGGAAGAACATCTTCTACTACAGTTGTCATGGTCTCTTGCGTGGACACAACACTAAGGATTCCTAAACACCTTGCTGCCAAGTGTCTCACAGCACAGTAAGGATGCTGTATACACAGCACAAGATTAGGAAGGAGCTCTATAACCTGTGAACGAAAAGAGACACATGTTTTATAAACTATCAAAGAAGCCAAAATATCAAAGAAAGAGCATAAGGCCTACGCTTCCACGTAATAATAGCGTGGTAGCGATCTGGGCTGAGTTGCTCAAAGCATGGTTAGCTTTAACCATTGGTTAAGTAGTATCAAAACCAATACGTTGTCAAGATATTAAACGCTGGTTAACGCTAACCATGCTTCAAGCAACTGGGCCCTGAACGATAATATCAAATATAACGAAACAGCGTTACAATAGTTGTCCAGTTGTTCAAATGGTGGATAACTGACGCTATCCACTGCATGGATAAATCGCACTATCCAGTGGATAACACAATTGGTTTCCCTAATACTTCTCCGCTGGATAGTGATTCAGTTATCCGGTGGATAGCGCTATTCAGCCTTTGAACAACTGGGGCTGAGGTCTATATGAGAGATTCAAGTAACGGTCGTTGATTCGTCAATATCTAACTAACATTGGCCCATGTCCTAAGAACCCTTTATTGTAGTCGGATGTAATTTCCGGACAAACGTATCCGAAAGAATCTCACATGAAAATAAAAAGTGTGGTCGGACTTAATCAAGAACGCATTACGTGTCTTTCATGAAAATTAAACATGGCGGGCGCAGGATTAGCAGGTAGACTGATTACCGCCATATGTTCACGATCGCTGACGGTCTCTATATAACCACTGAGATCGCTGAATGTTTTTTGTTGTTTTGTTTTTCAGTTTTTGTATCTCGTTTCATCTATCCTAGCGACTTTTTGCGTTTAAACCAGGTTTACGATGCTTAGAGATACATGTATTAATGTAAATAACCCAAAATAGGCGATATAAGTTACCTTTTTAAGTAGTTCCGTGTGTAGAGTAGATACAAGAACTTCAAGAACTTGTAAACAGTGCACCAAATTCTGAGCTTCAGTATCGAAACCAACAATTTTCTCCGCATCTTGGTAAAAGGAAAAAAAGAAGACACAAATGTTGGGAGATGTTGTTCCTAGGCGAATGGACGTCTGTGACAAAATTACGCACATTTCCCTGATAATTCAACAAAAACATCGTTAACTTATTCACACAACCAGGGGAGTGAAAAATAGAAAAAGACAGTGATGAATAATACTAGCCACTTTTTTAGTAATTGCAGTGACAGGATACAAGATACAGCAGGTTGTTAGGCGAGGAGACCTCAAGAAACCACCAGGCTTATAGAAACCGTACCGTAGAGATCGTAATATGGCAGCTAATGGCAGCCACGCTTCACTAAAGCCTAACGAAGTTGTTAAAGAAAATCTCACATCCTTCTTACCAAACGGGTCTCCTTTCTTTATGTCCTGCAATGGACCAACAATTGCATCCCATAGTTTTGGTAACTTGACTGGCAGTAAGCGTCCAAAATGATTAGCTAACTCCACTAGAGCAAACTCTGCTCCTTGTCTTTGGATACTTAACATCCTACTTGTCTGAAATGACAGCAAACCAGAGTCTAGTAACTGAATTACGGCATTTTACTATCAACATGACCCATTTCACGTCACTCCATAGACTACGAGTAGTCCCCCATTTTTCCTCAGGGATAGTAGAGCGAGCGAAAGGCGAGCGGGCGTGAAAATCACCCCACGCGAGAAGAGGCGACACGCGGCGCTCATTTTTCTCTCTCCCCGCCGCGTGTCGCCTTTTTTCGCGTGGGGTGATTTTCACGCACGCTCGCGTTTCGCTCGCTCAACTATCCGTGAGGAAAAATGGGGGACTACTCGTAGTCTAGTCACTCCAGGGCCCACTGTTTAAAGACCGATTACGGCTCACTGGCAAAGTTAGCTTTTCTGTCTCACAGACTGTTTGAGCTGTCCTGGACTGTCATTTTGAGTTAACATAACTGGGTCTCTGAGTAGAGGCTTAGCGATATTAAATTTTATAGGCTTTAAGTGCATAGCTTTCCTAGACAAAATCGTAGAACTTGAGAGCAATGATGTGGGGGCATCCCTAGTAAGGTGTGCATTAGCGCTTTTGGTAGTCTCCTTCTCCACAACTTTTCTTTAAATTAGTGATTAATTTAATTTAATTTATAATCTGTTTGTGATTTAGTGAAGTGAATCTGTAATAAATAAATAAAAAAGTATTGATTGTACCTATAGTAAGTGATAAACTTACCTCTGCATCGTCTACACCGTTCTCTTCCGTGGAGGATAACAAAACACCATCCACTCCAGCTGGCGGCTGTCTGTTGCGCCCTGTATGACTGTTCGCCCTTTTTGACGCAGACGTACTAGCATTCTGGAACCCGCAAAAAATGCTAACATTTTACCATACACTTGGACAAACATTTACACTTAAGCCCCGTCCACAAGTAGCCGTTTTGATTTGAAAAAGGGGATCTTTTTTTCCGTCCGGTTTGTCCTACCATCCACACGTATCCGGTCAAAACGGTAACCGAAAACGCATCTTTTCCAAACGTTTCCCATAGTGGAGATTTTTGAAAACGCCACCAGACTATCTTTCTCGTGTGAACCGAGGAAAACGGAGATTTTCCAATAAGATGATGCCATACATCATGCAGCGCATACCCCGTGGAGCACGCAACCGTATTTCCATCGTTTTTGCGTGTTCGTGTGGACGGGCGAAAACGATTCAAATATACGGTACGTGCGGACGCCTATTTTTCGAAAACGGAGAAATAATTAAAACCTCCGTTTTCAAAATTATCCGGATACGTGTGGACGAGGCCTTAAAGTGAGGTCAGCGGTTGGTTCACACAATTTTGTACTCATTAAGTTGAAATTGAAAACTCCCTATTCCAGAAAAAACCAACGCTAGTTTCCTGACAAAAGTAACATTGACGCTGCACTCGGTTTGCGATGATTTAATCTCAGTTTTTCTTGTTCGCCAGTTTTGTTTACGAGCCTTTTTCCTATTATACTCAAACTGATTTCCCTACGTCGAAAGGCAAAGTGTATAGGCAATGACATTTGCTTGTCCGTGATTATCGGCTTGCCTATGAGCATCGACGTATCAGAGTTTCACTAACGCAAACCGTTTTATTTTCACGAACATGAGATGTGGTTGAAAGCTAATAATTTGATCAACTACAGAGAAGCTTTTCGATGGCGATTTTTAAAGACTTAGGAATGATCACCTTTGGAAAAATATGTTCAAATTCAACCCACACCGAATAGATAATGCTAGCTCGAGGTTCCCTTTGTGGATTTATTCCCAAAATGTAAAATGTAAATGGTAAAAAACCCCTGCCTCGTAGTGTTGTCTATTGTTTGGGGGTATTATTGTGAGTACCTTCTGCTGTTGGACCAACAAAAGAATCCCATTGTACTGATCACACTGCACAGTATTCCCCCGTTCCATGGCTGTGGTCATTGCTCCAGAAAATAAATTACAGTTTGATTCAGTTTGTCCTCTGGGTGATGGCGATGCAGGAGCCTCCTCGGTTGCCGCAGAGACACTAAGATTCACAGATGGAGTGACAGCAGGATCACTGCATACAAAACTGCAGAGATTCTTGATGATCTTGGGGTTTGGACAAGGATCTCGCTCCATGCACAGCTCTAATAGTTTCGCTAACGCTTTGGCTGATCGAGTCTTCCATAAGAAAGAGAAAAGAAAGGTTGTTTACTGCAAAGAAACTTGCCATACATGCCAGTGCTGACAAGAAATGCAAGGCAGTTGCTAAAGAAATCTCACAGACTGCAAACCCAACAGAACAACTTTTAGACGGCGACTACGACCAAAGATTTTTGACTGGAAACAATAAGAAAAGAGGCCAACTATCATGACAGAAGCTAGCAAATCCGAGAGAAATACGAACTTCGCTCTGAGATAACTAAGTAAATTAAACTAACTAAAACAAGCGAGGGAAGGCAAGCGTGAGACACACGCGACGGGGCCGGGAAGGAAGAGAAGAACGTCATTCCCCCGTCGCGCGTGTTTTGCGCTCTACGCCCGCTATGTTCTTCGTTCGCCCAAAAACCGTTCTGCAGGCAAGTTGTAGTATAACTGCACTCCAACTGACCTGCATTAAAGTCTGCTCTTCCTTCTTTATAGAATCCATGATAGGTCGGATAACAGGATTCAGCTTTAAGGGAAGTTTGTTTAGAAAGATCAAGGTGCTGGCGACACTGGCCTGAACTCTGAGAAAATTAAAAGAAACAAAAATAGCAAGTCAACATTCCACACATATGTAAACAAATGAAGATTAAACAAAAATATCATTGATATTAACGCGAAATGCAATCAAGAACACGTTGATGTACTTTTAGTAAACAAGGAACTTACGCAGCTACGACGGCAACGACAATGAGAACGTCAAAAAAAAAAAATACGAACTCTGCACTTGTATCACACTTTTTGCGCATTTCTTTGCCTTCACTGCACGACTACGAAGTGACCTTTCCTAATTTCATCAGTACGGTCGTGAGCATTTAACAGCAGAATAATTCACCTACATTTGACAATGTCAACGAAACAGAACCAAAACGATGAAGTCTGAAATTGACCATTCAAGTGAAGTTTTCGCTGCCGTTGCCGTCTTGGTTCCGGCGCCATAACCAATAAAATCAAGCAGCACAAACCCTACAAGTGCTATCCATGCAGTAGCAAAATCACTACCCACTGAACCCTTTATTGGAACCCAAAAGAGGAAATAGCACAACTGAGAAGGTCTGGATTGTTTATTTGCAAGGATTATAGGCTCCATTTCCACCGGCCTCTTGGTTCTCTCTCAGAAGAGTCTGTTCGGGGGAAGAGTGCGGGCTTATTTCCCGAACAGCGGTTGGTAATCGAGCCTACAAAGACTATTGACGTCTTCATTTAGAATGAAACGAAATATCGGCAGTATAGGGACTGGGAGATGTATTCTAACCTGATATGTAGTTTTTGATACTCCGATTGCAGCTGTCCTATTGTCGTCATCAGATGTCTTCTCTTTATTTCTGCTGCCTGGAGATGTTTATTAGAAAAAATAAACGTTTATCTTTAACATTTCTAAGACGTTATTTTCAGCATTTTGAATATTGTTAATTCAGTTTGCAACCACTGTGAAACATTCCCGAGGAAAGGTACTGCCTGATTTGGACATACTGCATTTTCAACAATCCATTTGTGAGTTCCGAAAGATTCAACTTTCAAAACGAGGCTGAATGCGAAATCCTTTGTTGTGAAAATGAGTTTTAATTACATGGGAATAAAAATACGTTTTCCTATCAATAAATTCGCACTTAGCCTCGCCTTGAAGCAGAGGCCTGGGGCAACTCGGAAATGGCCCATATGTGTACAATATGGATCTGATAAAGTGGAACCTCGATGTACTACACCTCTAACGAAGACGAAACCTTCGTTACAACCTTCGAATGCAGGGACCTGATGGAATATCAGTCAAGGCTGTTTAATGTCCTGTCATAAAATGATTTGGTTTGTAGTTGAAACTTTCAACTGTCAGCACAAACACTGGGCTCTATCAACTACAACGAGAAGCCTCAACGAGGCCAGAGGTTTAGTTAACAGCTGAAGGAAATAAGAGATTGACAAACCTTAATATCCTGTTGAGACAGTTTCTTAGACACCTCCATAAAAATATCTGACACCAGTTTAATGGCATTGTCCACGGTATAACACCTAGGGGTTCAAAAATAATAATAAACCTAGACTGATCTACGAAAGGGGAGGAGAGGTACCCAACTAATAGAGAACTGAGACAAGAAATCGATAATGGTAGGGGCACTTCCTTATTTAACCTATCCAGGGATGGGGTATTGGGTTTTGACTCTATATCCTGCACAAGTTACATTAGCTAAAACAGAGTTCTAAAACAGAGGCTGTCATACACAAGGCAAACTTACAGTATTACACTTTTTTTCATGTTCTAAGCAGGCTCAGAGAGGCCCCATCATAGCCAAGACTGGGCCAATAACGAAAATCAGTGTTTAGGTACTGGTTTCTCCAAAACAACTGACTAAAGCCTTTTCAAAGAAAAATCTTTCCAACCCAGCCCAACAGAATTCTAGAACTTGTGAATATCCTGGCTTATCTTTTCTTTTTCGCTTTCCAAGCAGGATTCATTCTCCATATATTATAATCAGGTAAAAATTAGTGTCAAGCCCTACACAACTCACTGATTCTTGACTATGTTAGACATTCGTCGATGAGCAAAATACTTATGGATACTTTTAACACAGTGTGAATACGGGGCATTTTTTAAACAATACACTCAAATTACATTATTGTCTTATGTCACATACTGAACTCTATCTTATGCCGAATAAAATTAGCAATTTGACTCACCCTGGTTGGATTCCTGCTGAGGCATCAATACCTTTTTCTCGTAATGCATTTAGTAGGCCCTACAGAAAAAGGATGAAAGAATTAACGACATCAACAATTGCAGTCACTTGTCATGTGGTAAAACTTAAAGTTAGTAACAGAAAAAAATGTACCTGACAATCAGTTTGTAACCTTGTGTTGAGGATGGCAATCTCATCATAAACGACCTGTTCAGATAAAATGCTGTGTAACTGCCCAATATTCTCTTCGGGGCATTGGCATTTCTGGTGAGCAATAAAAAATGAAAAATAATCTATTAAACTTCCTATTGTCTTTGAAATTGAAGCATGAAAATCTCATCACCCCAGATACTGTAAACTGCTGCTTATAAGCCCTCCCTCTTACAACAATTCCCCCCCCCACCTCCAAGTTATAGGCCCATCTACATCCACCTAAATACATCAAATTACAGCGTACAAAGAAAGTCGTGTCCAATAGCGCGGGGCTAGTGGATTTTGCTATCGGGCTAGTGATTTTTGTTCCTAACAAGTGCTGTTTTTTGGGGAAATTCAAATTACAAAAGGATTGTAATCAATCCTGCTAATCAAAAAGGGTTTTGGGGCTATTTGAAATGACTTGTGGGCTAGTACATGCTGGCTACAGCTTGTCCAAATGGCAAGCTGTCAAACTGACTTTGTTTGCACCCTGCTCTTCCAAATGCATTGAACATAATTCCAATTATTATGACCTTTTGATCCTTAAAACCAGTCAATGAAAAACGTATTTTGATAAGCGCTGCTATAGCTTGTTTCAAAGTACTTTTCTATTCTGATAATAAGCAACCTTGGATAAAAGCCCCTCTGTTTATATAAGCCCTCCTAAAACCCCTTACGAAGATGTATTTGCACAGGGCTTATAGACAACAGTTTATGTAAACTATATAGGGGACGGATCATTAGAAAACTTATGGGGGGTGGGGGGCGGGCGAAGTACAAGAAAAAAATTCGCGCAACGGAAAATTTAATTTAAAAAAATTCTTGCACGCCAATTAACCCTAAGAAATATTCATGCAAGGGCCCAAAAAAAATTCATACAAGGAATTTGATAACGAAAAAAAATTCCTGCGGCTCGAAAATTCCCCCCCCCCCCCCCCCAATAACTTTTCTAATGGTCCGTCCCTAAAAGAAGTCTATTTGAGAGGTGTGAATAGCTAGGCCGGCATACCATTTGACAGCTTGCCCAGTCTGACAGGATAAGTGAGGCACACATTCTTTGGATACCTGATGTAGACTTAAGAGGGAACTGTAAAGTTTGCATCAGAAATGTGAGAGGATGTGGTTCTTCTGGATTTCCAGGAGTACACTCTGCAAAATGAGATGCCAGCAAGCCAAATGCTCTGTGTATAGGGGAAAAGAATTAGCCAATTACTTGGGAGAAGAATGCTTCATATATTATAATTTTATAGCCCCCCAATAATTGGGTAATTGAAGAATAACAAGAATAACATCAAAGAATAGGAATGTGACATCAATGGCCCAGTTGTTCAGTGGATGATCATACTTGTAAATCTTTGTAATTTTTTCTTTGTTATTATTGTAACATGACAAGGTGGTGAAATAAAATAGAAATAAAAATAAACCCATCGACAATATATGAAAGTGGGAAAGGTGCCTGGTCAAACTGAAGGGATGGTGCAAGCAAGCCTGAAAGGTAACCATGACAACCCTGTGAGCGGAACTCACCAGGCACCGTCACACTGAGTGGAGACAAGCACAGATACTTAACAAAAAACATCCAGAGGGAAGGGAGGGCTGGGAGCGAAAAGTGCTAAAGCTGCTGCACACAAAAAGCCAACGTAACTAAAATGATTGACGTCAGCAAAAGTGCTGTAAAAATGATAAAGCCCTGCAAATGCCCAAGACCGCTCCATATACAATTAGTGATGGAGACCATTGGCCAGCATTGCCATGTGTTTAACCTCACCTAAATTACATTAAGCCAAGGTGCAAGAGGATTCACAGCACCTACCTTGCAGCTGCAAGCCTTGCTCTCAAGACTGCTGGTTCTCGCACTGTCATGCTAGTAGCAAGGGTAACACCAGCTATGACTTCTGTTTGGGGTTCAGAGTGACCTTGTGAAGGTCGACCTCTTATCATATGAGCTCTATCTGCATTACGGTCTCCCTAACAGCCACAAAAAAAATATGTTAAAAATGTGGAATAAACACATTTTAAGTGACAATGAAAATACAGCAAACCCTCTAGATAAAATCAAAAAAGTTTGAGTCACGGGGAGTTCCAAGTAACTAACCAAAAATAAGCAAATAAGCAAATGGGATGGAGAAGACAAGCAATTACACTAAACTTCACCGACAGCATGAGATATATATTGATATTTTGAAAAGGATTCAAGCAACAAAGCATGATTAATATACACGAATGGAAAATGTATTTGAACAGGACTGACAAAATGTTTCGACTTGTCATGCACTTAAAATATGGTTCATGAGATGATCTGAGAGAAAACAAAAACTTCTTTGAGTGAGGGTGAGGTTTGAGTTATGGAGGGTTTAAGTTACCATGGGTAAAATTACGTAAAAAATGCCATGAAGGAAAACCTAGGAAAGTTAATTTTGGTTCGAGTCAACAAGAGTTCCAGTTTTTGGGAGTCGACGGTCGACTTTACTGGAAATTCAGTGGCAAACAATTTTTGTTGTTCACCTTGTTTTGAGTTCTGTGCAAGGCTTGAACAAGCACTGTGTGATCAATAGGAGCACAAGCTGGCATCATCATCATTCCCAGCCAGCTGCTAAGGAAAGGAATAGTAACAGGTCCAAGAAGAGTCTTGGATGATCTCTTTAGCATCTCAGTCCATACCTGATGTTACAATACCAAAAAAAAGGCAAAATTGAACATAAGCTGAATATGCACTCTGACATACAGTCACTGTTGCTTCATGCATATCTATAATTTCCATGAGACATAAATTATCATGCCAATAAAGTTCTGACTATGATAGGAAAGCGAAATAATCCAGCACTCTGTTGGAATGGTGGTGAAAACTTTAGGGATTGGGAGAGAGCCCAAAAGGAAAACTAAACACCTGAAACCTCACTCACATGTTATCATGTGCTGAGTCATACTCCATTCAGCTCACTCCAGAATATCATTAATTATCCATATTCCCCCACCCAGAGGGCACTGAAATTCAGAGAGGGGGTGGAGTCTTATTGGGAAACTTATTAGGAACTCCATGGAAGAGGGGGGTCACAAAACTGCAAATCCCATTCATGGGGAAGCACCTTAATTGGAAATGTTATTGTAAACTTAACATTAATATCAACATCAATTTTCTTTTGTACTCAAAATATAATGTCAGGAGCATCCTGTTATTACATTGTATTATAAGTTAGTGTTAATTTTAAACACAATAGATTGCACTCCACCTGATAAGCCATCTCTACAACATCACTGTCAGACTCCAGTATAAACCTTTGATAAATGTGCCTTAAGGAATCTTGCAGGATTGGTTTCAGCCACTCACATTCTAGGACTGTCTCTGGATCAAGCTGAAAGAAATAAATTTATCTATTACGGAATTTATATAGTCACCATTTTTTCTTTAACCAATTTAATGTTTGGTCCACATCCTGATTAGCAAAAAATTTTGAATTATCCAAAGACAGCAAAAATTAAAAAAATGATTAGTAATGAGTGGCTACTTTTGCCTTTTGCATTTAAGACAATCCAACATATTCACCATTATAATATCTCATTTTATAACATATGTAATAAACTATTATACAATGATGATTTCTCCTACAAGTACATACTATATGAACACCACACATACTTTATTCTGTTTACGATTTCCCACCAAAAGAGTCTTGAGAGTGTCTAGTGCTGCCAATCGAACAGACTTGATGTTGTGTCGGAAGAAAGGCCACAACCTTGGGACCAGTTCAGTAAGAGACATGGTGCTGGTGGCTCCTGTTCCTTGGACAGAAACAGACGGACATGACAGGATTCCTGCTAGCAACATCATGATGCTGTTAGTTGATGCTGTTAAGTCATCAAGTTCAACCAGAGTGTCCCACAAAGTCACAAGAACTTCCTGGACCTGCAAGTTGTGGAAATTGCAAGACACTGGCTGTTAGTGAAAGGAATGAAGAAAGAATGAGTGCTCTGTCTGCTTTATTAATAGCCACTCCAGACAACAAAATGGTGCTTTAGTACTTAAGTTCAAGTTCAAGTTTTTTTGTTTTACAATAAATTTAAACAAAAAAAGAAATATTATCTAAAATAATATTAAAAGCTAATGGGGAGGAAGCCCAAGGGAAACTACCAGGCTTATAAGGAATCGGCTCCCTCAATTACTTATTTACAATAAAGTATAAACAGAAGAATGCATGGAAAGTCAATGGCAAAGTTACAGTAAATATTAGAATAATAATTATATTAGATAATTGCATAATCATAGTGAGGCTAAAAGCAAAGTGAAAGCAAAAAAATGAGAAAAGAAAATGATAATGAAAAGTAAAGATAAAGAAAGAAATAAAATATATAATATTTACGATAAGAGGAAAGCTGAATGCTTTCAGCATACAGCAAAAGGAGGCGACACAATGTACTTGTTGCATTTTGAACTTACATAGCTAGGAGCAATCATGACTAAAGATTCTGCAACAGGTAACAGGGCTGATGCAGCAACTGCTCGAACATCATCATCATCATCTTTGAGAGCTGTTACGATAGGGTCCAACACCAGAGGTAGCAAGTCTTTAGTCAAATCCTGTTAAACAGAGAAAAGTAAAGATTTTGTCAAACAATTTGCATTCAATTTGCATGTATACTCTACTCTCTTTACTGTGGTATAGGATTCCAATTAAGTGATCATGTTTCATCTTTCATTGATTAAAACCTGTATTGTGTGAATACTCCAGGGATCCTCACAAGTGTCCAATAAAAGTGTCTGCTTGCAGGGCTCAGAATAATTTTCAGATGGTGGCCAGACACGATAACAGGCCAAAGAAATTTGGGCTCCGTCATGTCTCGTTTCTGACCAGTCAAAAGAGTTGAAAAAAGTTAACTAATCCTTGTGTAATTATCTATTTGTGAACGTGATTGTACTTTACAAAGACACAAAATCTAAGATTCAAAGGCGAGAATTTAGCTGTTTGTTCAAGAATGAGAGTGTGCCTGACCAGTCAACATGTCCAGTGAGCGAAGTTTTTGGCCAGTCAAGTCACTATTCTGGCCAGACATTGTCTGTTGACGGGCTGTTATGTTGAGCCCTGGCTTGGCATATAGGTTCATTTTGAAGGAAATATATTGGGACTTAGTGAGGCTGGTGTTTGCTTGGCACAAGGTGTCTGCTCACAATGTGGTTTGCTTCAAAGAAGATTTTTAAGCCACCAACCTTATAATAATCTTCCATACTATAAATAATGACGACTTACAATATTTATTTCCTGGTAATTTGATTGAATGCAATAACATTAACAGTCCTCACCTGACGAACAGCCATAAGATACTTAAGTCCCATGAGTCCTCCATGTCGCACTTCCCACTCCTCCTGGGCTTGTAGTGTTAACAGCACCATCATCACCCTCTTCACACTCTCTGCATCAGTGTGTTTTAAGATCACTCCTATTGTCTGTGCACAGGTCTCACGAACAGGAGCAACAACCTGCAAACAATACATTAAATTAAAGCCCACAAACATTATTAAATAAACTGCTGATTACATTCAGGCTGAAATTTGGCCAAATAAGCACTATTTTCAATACATAAACCTTACGTAATTTGAATTTCCCCCCAAAACAGCACTTGCCCATCGGGCAAGTTAAGAACAAAAATCACTAGCCCGATAGCAAAATCCACTAGTCCCGGGCTATCAGACACAACTTTCTCTGCATGCTGGTCCAACTAAAATATACTGGCCCACATCCGACAAAAATCTTACACTGTGCACTGTAACAGTGGTTGAACATGATATCCAGACAAATCTAAAAGCAGAGAGTGTTATTTTGCAGGTGAAAACAAAAAACTACCTTGAGTGTGGATTGTCTCACCAACAAAATAACCTTGTTGCATAGATTATACAAGGCAGGTAACGTAAAATAGAACCAGCTTATCCCACTCAATAAAGAGCTCAGTTCTTTTCCCATAACAAACCATCCTGTTTAAACAATTAAACTAAACTATTAGAGACTGAGGTTTGTAATATCAAATATATTGCTTACCTCATCACTCACAAAGTCTCCAAATCGATCAAGGGCCATGACACAAAGGAGGAGCAATGACATGTTTTCGAGCCATTTCCTGTTCTGAAGCTGAAGCTAGAAAAAACAATTACAGTTACAAAAATAATACTGATCACATAATGGCAAGTTCTTTAACCTACTCACCCCTGAGCCGCCCATAACCGCCCATGCAGAACCATGTGCCTTCTACTGCTTGTGACATCATCAGTTTTAATGGTCAAGGACAACTTTGTCCACTAACTTGTGCAAAGTGAAGAAATGTTTCAAAGTTACCATACCAGAATGAGCACACTTCAGTCAAGGACATGGGAGAAAAAGGGAAAAAACCATGTAACATTGACCTGAAAATTTCCATGAAAATCTTGTTCCATTACCCACCTACCTTTCCTTTCATATAATCCTAAGATCCTAAAAGCTTTCCTAAAAACTTTTCCCACCAAAATGAAGCCTACTAAATGCCCAGCAAAAGAAAAGCAAAAAAGAGGGGAGGAGAAAAAACGAAACGTAAAAGTCAAGACTACTATGTCACTTTTAACCTAACTTGAAAACTAACTCGAAATTGTGCATAATTTTTCTGCACATGCCGAACTTTGCAAGCTAATATTTTGCATCTGGATCAGAAGGCAGCGAAGTGTATGTCCTGTAAATGGCTTTAAGGTAAGTTTTAGCATTTTAAAACACAACAGTGAACAGAAAACCGTTTGACTAGATTCAAAACGTGTTTTTCCGCAAAATTTCCAGGGGCAAATGGGTTAAAATATTATCATATCAATTTTGACAATTAAACACAAACTTAAAGGTAAGAAAAATAAATCCTTGAATAAATTATTAAATTTGTAACAATATACAGTCGAGCCTCCACCTGCCACTGCTTCTCATGAGTAACCTCTCAACCTTAATACCAAAATCAAGCCTTATGAAAGCAACCTCTGATACAGCCTGGTTTAATTTTCATTAAATTGTATTTGCCAAGTCATCATAAATTTAAAGTGTATTCTGGTGATCAACATGGTTTCAACTTTTCTGAGCTCTTCAAATTCCTTACCACCACTTTCTATGACCTTTTCAAGCTTTCCATGACCTTAGGTTTTGCTGGACATCACTTAAAATTTTTTCAAAACTTTCCTTGTTTTGGAGTTTTTTTTTTTTACCTAAATCAGTTCAACAAATACAAACATAACCCTGGTAAACATCAAAATGCAACCCATTTTGCACTGTTTAATTACTTTAATACGTCTATCTTATAGTCCTTCCTTTGACATATGCAGTAACTAATCTACCAAACATAGCGTTAACTTTCCATGACTTTCCAGGCAAGTAAAATGAAATTCTTAAATTTCACGACTTTCCATGACCCTAACGAACCCTGATTAAGGTGATTACCTGGTGTACAAACATGCAGCAATATACATGCATTGCTTACGGTACACACCTCGTCAACAGATGAATCTAGGGTCTTCCCTGCTCCTTGACCATGAACCTTAATTATCTCTCTGAGGCCAGTAGCTGCTCCATGGCGTACCTAGGTAAAAACAAGCAAGAAGCCGGCAGGTTTCCTGTAAATCATTACCAAAAGTCACTTGTACGATTAAATATTGTAGTTTGCTCTAGTGACTAAGTTTGAATGTTCATGGATTAAAAAGGACAACTACACTGTATTTTGAAACTGCCACAAACTATTGACAGTTTACTTATAAGAAAACGTTTTTTCCCTTGGTTTCCCTCATTTTTTTTATTCTCTTTATATCTTTATTTGTGTTCTGCTCTGTTTTTCTTTTTTTTGGCTTAAAAGATTCCTAACAGCAAGAAGCAAAAAGAAAAAAATTCAATCAACAGACCTCCCATGACTGATGAAACAAATCCTGGCAAAGTTCTTGGCAAAAGTTCTCAAATGGCCATTCAGTTGACTAAATGACAAAACAGGAAAGAACAAAACATTACTAAACACTACAAACACCCTGATCAAAATCTGTCAGCATGTATTTTAATGACCTCTTCATACTCAGCATGCAAACAAAAATGTGTCCAATAGAAAGCCTAGGGCTAGGGCTAGTGGATTTTTTCTATCGGGCTAGAGAATTCTTTTCTTAACTTGCTCAATGGCTGGGGCAAGTGACATTTTTTTAAGGGAATTTAAATTACAGAAGAACTGTGAAAAATCCTCCTTGTTAAGAATTGTTTCGGGCTAGTTAAAGTGACTCTTACAAATGTAGGCTAGTACATGCTAAGGGCAAGCTATAAGACTGACTTTCTCAGAACCCTGATACTGAGAGACTGTCAGCATGAATGTCTAGTGTCTTTACTGAGTCAAAAATACATGTACAAAATAAAAATAATAATGTACATTTCCTGTTAAAGCAATGTAACATTCATAATTATAATAAAAAGATCCTTTATTTTCAATCATTAAACAACACCAACATCAGTTTTAATAAAAATTTTATTCTATTTTATGTGTCAAAAAAGTTAATGTAGCATCGCATTTTTTGGATCTCTTTAAATCTACTTCAAATTACATTTTTTAAGTAGCAGATTAATTTTAATACTTTTTAGCAGTTATGCAACCCCCGGCCTTTTTACATGTACTTACTAAATATACATAAACAGTATAATGGACAAAAACAACTTTTAACAAAATACAAGACAGTCAGTAGAGAGCAAGGTACAATACCTCTTCAAATGTTGCTGAAACATCAGTAACCTGATCAACGACCATCTTGTCAGATTCCGCAGGTTGATCAACAATAACACTGGCAGTCTTGCGCTTCTTTGAGGCTGGGCCATGCTCTGGATCCATGTCGTTATCAATGCTGCATGTATATCCCACCAAAAACAAGAACAGATCAGTACCAGTCATACATTAATACCTAATTCATATGATTTGCTAAAAGAATAAGTTGTGCTAATTATTCTATCATAATTATTACAACAGCTGAGGGCAGATTCTTTGCCAAGGAGGGCCGTGTGGCCATATTTAAATTAAGATAAGGAGACATAACCTTCGACCGACCACCAAGTCTGACTTGTTCTTGCGGCAGGGGTCATTTTAATGTTAAGTGCTTGTATGAAAACTTTTAAATGAAAGACAAAATAAAAAAAAACATTGAGTGTACATTACGTGTACTGCCTTTATGACACAAGTTTCCTGTCCCAAACAAATTACAGTAAAACTGTTCACATCGAGCCCCAGTTGTTCAAAGGGTGGATAGTGCTGCCCACTGGATATAAATCTCTGTCCAGTGGATAACACATTGGTTTTCCAAATAATCAGCCAATAGATGATGATTTAGCTGACATATAGTGCTACCAGCTTTCAAACACCTGGGCCCGGTTGGCAATTGTCAAATCATTTCGTGGGAAGTTTTTCAAGAGGATAAATAAATTGTTTGAGGACAATTTTGCACAAACAGCGATGGATTCAATAATTACCTATTTGACTGGAAAGAATCTCCCTCCTTTGATGCATCTTTTGATCTTTGTTTGGCCAACATTTTGGCTTTCCGAATGGCTCTGTTCTTTTCTCTCGAACTCATTGATGAAGAACTAATTGCAGCTATTTCTGCTGCAACCACATCAGCAGCACTCTAGGGAACAGTCAAAGTTTAATTTCAGTACCTACTTAGAGCTTTCATTAAGGGCCACAACTGCTAGCAACTCTTACGGCTGAGCTCACTCGAAGTGGAAAGCTAAAGATGACACCATAAATTTTTGGGAGATGTTATGGGTGAATCTTCATTTGTTATGGCTGTTGGAGTTTCAGAACTTAATGACAGGCCTGATAATGCCACAAAAGGGACTTTAAGATTCAACAACGCGACAGCAATGAGAACGTCGCTTAAAAAGTATAAATTTGGGTTTTTAGTCTTTATCGCGATTATTCCTACTTATACTTACTATGTCAAATGTACACAAACCCTCCTGAATTTGCATTCTAAGGGACCATATTCAAGTTCAGAAAGGGAAATAAAATTTCGTTGTTGCTTGATTACGTTCTCCATAAAACATGACATTAGCCATTTACTCATCATAGTCGTGCAAAAACGGCAAAACAAAGTACAAAAAAGCGTGATGCCCATGCAAAGTTGTTGCTTTGCTTATTAAACCTAATTGATTTTTAGACATTGTCGTTCTCGTCGCATTGTTGAATCTTAAAGTCCCTAATGAAAGATGCATAGAGACTCTCATTAAAACTCAAACTCATGTAAATCCAAGGTTGAGGAACAACCATGTAATGATGAATGGGTGTGGTTCCAGCTTCATTTGACCAGAAAGATTACCATACATGACTGTATTACGACACACACATCAATACAAATGCTATAGTGATTTTAATTGCAATTAATTTAGACACTCAGTATTTATGGAGTTTTATGATTATTTCTTTACTCAAAGCCTAACCAATACTTCGATGGGTAAAAAAAATATTGGCATACAGCTGTAATTTTCATTCCCAACACCCTAATTGATAGCAAAATCTGCTATAAAAATTATTTCAACTCTTAACTAAAAGATGGGCATCACACTCAAATCAAGGATACCCCCAATGTTACAGGTAAAGAAGAAAAATCCCAGGCGAGGATCTACATTCAAAACTAATTGTCATGAACCACCAACTGAACCTTTCGATAAAATAATTCAATACACAGGACTGGTAACACAGCAAAGTTATTAGCTGACCCTTAAATATTCAAGTTACAAGATTTTCTGCAGGTCTTTCATTCCATAGTCCACTGAAAGGTGCAGATCTGTTGTAGCTTCAAGGACACAAAAGTTTAATCTATGTACCTCAAATGATCTTTGTTTACTTAGGGTCTTCCCCTTGACCTCATGAGGATTAACTAGCAGATCTTCATCATCAAATAATTTATCCATTCCAACATCTATCCCAGGTGCAATATCAAGGCCTAGGCGTTTTCTTAAAAGTTTTTGCTGTCTAATTAACCTCTCCTTGGGTTCAAGTCCTGAAAAATATTGATAAACTCAGAATTTTTATGGATTAAATTACTTTCACTGACGTAAATTGTATGCCTTCACGATTAATTAAATTATTTTGTATAACAAAAATAACACACTAATACCCCAGATCATTTTACTAGATGTTTGGAGGTTGTAAAAGAAGTTTGTTTCAAAGACACTGGAATAATCTGTTTTTCCAGGCGAGGCTTCAAACCAGTGTAATAATTAAGCGCCTCAAATGATGGTTTTAGTGGATTTTGGTTATAATTTGCATTTAACCAGTATCTCTGAAATGAAAGGATATTTCACCGAAAAAAAACTATACAGTGATCTTAGTAATTTATACCCTAGCCTATCTCATTAAAACATGAAAGAAATCAAATTTTCCACCCTTGCCACCAAATTTTGAATTTGTCTGATTTTTACAGACAGGTGTTCTCAAGGAAACTATTTTGTCAAGATTATGATAAAATTTTCTTACAAGTATGAGGAGTATTGGGAGTACCCTGATAGAAGCTTGGCCACACCAACTAGTAAGACCCCCAATGTAAAGTTCTATAAGATGATGTCATTAAAACAAAAATTATTTTTGCACGAAAATACAAGATTTTTGACTTGTTGGAATAGATGAATTCTTATGGAAATTTTTCTTTATTAACAAAAAAGGACTGCCTACAAGAAAGCCGTCAAAGAATATTGCACTCAGGGAAAAGGACCATGAGTTTAAAAATAGTGTATGAATTTTCATTACCTAAAAGGTCTTCATCTGGAAGATCATATTCTGCTCCAGATGATCCTACCAAACGCTCTCCATGTTTTAAAACACGATTTATATCAAACTTGGAGAATTCCAGCAGTTCACTTTCAGATGTTTCTTCGACTTTGTCCTTCTCAACTGGTTCAGCTGCAAGAGCGATAAGACACAAAGGTAAAATATTTATGATAACCGTAATAGTGATAATAACTTTAGTTAAAAGAAGGCTATGATGAAATGGTAAAAACTGACAAACAAGCAGCCATACGAGAATGAAAAAGCTGCATTGTGTGTTAAAGAATGACTAACAATTACCTAACTACCTAGACAGACATACATGCAAGGCTGTCAAAAAGTTTTTAAGTAGCAGGCTGATAATGAATAGTAGGTGGCTTTGGAACTAGCACCAAAGGCACAAGTTCTTGAGGGCCAAGGCATCTAGGGACATTTTGAATTTAGAATCTCAGAAATGCCATTTCCAGGGGTTGTGAAGAGGTATTTTCTACCATGGACGCCATGTTGTTTTGTCAGAACACACCGAGAATACACGCAAGACTGGGAACAATGCCGTCGAAATGTCCCAGGCATTCCACAACATCGCTCCATTTGAACGTTTCACAGATCTAAACCTGTTTAAATATGCGTTCAATGTCACTCAAAACTGGCAAACGGATGCTTTACAATTTTATTCGATGATGCTAATTTTTGGTAGCAGTTATGGTAGAAGGAGATGAAAGTAGCCCCCTAAGGGTGGCTAACAAACCAGTGGTTTTGGCCGACTACCGGCCATTATTGACAGCCCCGGACATGTACAAAATTAATGTATCTAGCAAGCACCATTCCAGATTTTTGTCAATTGTTACCACCCTGCAAGCAGAGTCTCATTTTGTCTTCTTGAGTGAGGAGGAGAAAAGGAGGTTCTGCCTGAATCACATCAGGCAAATCTTTGAGGGCACCCCATTCCAAACTTAGTGGAAAACTCAATCTTGCTCTCTCTTGTCAGACTGGTTAATTTTTCAAGTGCGAGCATTCATTTATTAATAAAATGATGATCATAACTGAGCCAGCTGTAGCAAGCACATGGCTATTAGGACTTGGTTGGAAACTGTATTGTACCAACATGCTGCAATATAGATCCTACTCAATTCATGCGGAGTCTTTCTCAAGTACGCCAAAGTTGAGCAAGAGAAAGAAAGGCTTTGCTGGATGGGTAAATTGTTACAGCCCTTACAGACTTTACAGAGTTTACTTGGCAAGCCTCTCAATAAGGCCACCTTGAGAAAAGAAGTCAGTGGCTGCTGTAGAAAAGTTGGCCATTATGAGATTGTGGGAGTTTGGAGAGGAATGGTAGAGCCAATCAATGCTTGCTATAGCAAGTAAACAGGTAACACATTTTGTCAGTAAACTGGAAACCTAACAAATAATGCCCAGTACAAACATATTATCAATTAAGGAAGGGTACAATGCATCATTAACTTGATGATTTGCCTATAAAAGGTCACTGAGAAAGATTATTTTGACAGTTGGGGTCCAATTTATTGCAAATTGCACTGTGGAGAAGTTGCAGTTCTATAGAGGTTAAAACAAGACTGAATGAATGGACAAAAGAGTGGCCATGTTGCGGAGAGAGCCATTGTACAAGTCATGTAGCTCCAGGTGGCCATTGGTTGAGGTTCGACTCTAAGACGGACAACATCAAGAAGTAACGTTTGATCTTTAAATCATACCTTTGATTCCGCCAATGGCCGCTGGGTTCCACTGAGGCACATTCTGGGCAATTGCCTCTACAGCCTGACCAGCAGCTATCCTTGTGTCCCAGCTACTACTCTTTAGAAATACATGCACCTGTAATTACAAGAATTAGAAGGATATCACTCTTGAGTTATGAATAGTACTTATCTAGTTTATATAGCTTGTCCTGTGTGTTAAAAATATAATTTTGTAACAACTGAAATTTTATACAGTTTTTTTTCAAAATTTAAGTGTTGTAATGAGACTTCTACCAAAACATACAACCTGCATAGAACAATAATACAGTAAGCCAAAAAGATATAAACAGGCTTATTAATCAGTCACACTAATATTTATCAGTAACATGCCACTAGCATAAGGAAAAACTTAAAAGGTAGTACCTCACAAAAGACAGGACTTAGGTCATGAAATATTGGTATGACATACAAGCGCACAGCCTTCTCCTAAGGCCATAAAGGGCAACGGGTTAGGGGTCAGTAGGTGTACAAAGGTAATCTTTGTTTGTTGCATATCTGCTAAATGTTTCCTAGCATAAGCATTAAGCTCTGGCCATGGTAAGTTGTGCTACAGGTAGTAAAATTTAACAAGCTATAGTTTATAGAGCAGAACACCAAGACCCACGCTTGGCTCCATTAAAAGTTTCCAAGAACATTGTTAAGTGTCTGAAAAATACCTGTTTTCTTTCTTATAATGGCAAAATCATATTTTCACATAAAAATCATGGTGACAATCCATTTTTCTTATCTTATCTGAGGATGCCATGTTTTTGAATGTCCCCAATTTCCTGGTGGAAGGAATTTCGGGAGATTTTGAGTATTAGAAGCAGGGATATCACTAAGAGCCAGCTGCCGGCTAATTTCACAGGCTAAAAAGAAGCTTACCACCAGCTAAAAAAAATTTATTCTGGAAAACAAAGACATAGGGTAGTTTTGAAGGAACAGTTCAGTAAAAAAGCCAGCTCAACTGACAAGAGAGGCTGTTTTGTTTTTCCTTAGCTAAATCCATGAAGAAGTATTCTCTCTTGAAGTCACATATCAGGGATGCCACTAAAACAACGTTTCAAGTTCCCGGGTAAATACAACAAGTAGGCTGGGAATTAAACAGCTAGGGATTTCTTTTGGTGCTAATTTGTTTCTTCTATTTTCCTATGAAAGTAGCCGGGGGCAACATTCATAGTATCCAGGGAAAAAAATCCAAAAATGAGTCTGGGCATTTGGTGGCAGTGGCAAGTCGCAGTAGGGTTCGCGGTAAAACACTCCTGGCTGAAGAATGTAAACAATGCACCAAGTTAGCAATTCACAATTTACTAATCAAATGCTACCATTGGGTCTGTTATTTAGAATGAATTTGCTATCTAATATGCAAACAAATGCTACAGATGCTCCAAAAGGTTTCGGGGGTGTGACTTTTTGAGAAAGTGTGAGAAATCAGTTATACTAACAAGAGCATAACATAGATCATGAAATCATGAAACTCAGGACACAGTCTTGAAAATTGGCAAGTCTCAAAAATGCACTTCCTTAGGATTTTTCGAAGGTTGGTAATTTCTTTGTGATTAAAATGAGTTGCATGTAACTTAAAATTTGCTGATTCCATTTTTTTAGGCCAATTAGACTAAAATCCTCAATTAATAATTGATCAGTTTCCTGGAAAATGATACCTTCTCCTACAAAAACTCGCTGATTTCTATACCCTATACCAGACTACGTTGCTTGAAAACCATACCCTTCACAGTGGCACATACCTATATAACCCATATATTGTGGTTCATTCCCAAACCACCCCCTTCCCCACCCCCACCAACCTTTCTTGCCCTTTGCTGGGTTTCAAACCCTTAATTCCCATGTATCTCCCAAAATAATTCAATGTGGTCATAAAATGCAATTCGAAAGAACTACAAAATAAGCTTCATACACATTAATATCAACCAAATGGCAATATTTAATCAAAAGCAATAGGTCGTCGGTGGGGTAAATTAACTCAAACCGAGGTAACACGACCTCAAGCAGCTACAATAGCTTGAATAATTAATTTTATCAGCACAAAGATTCAGCTGAAAGACCTAATATAAGTCAGGCCCACTAAAGTTTGTATCCAGTATTTAAAATCTTACCCTGCTGAGAAGATTGTGCAGCTCATGAGGATGTAACTTTTGCACCTCACCAAGTTGTTGGGCCGCTGCTTTCCGAGTAACTGCGGTGGAGCCAGTGTCCAACAGCAGAAAAAGACGCTCTAATCTGTAGCAAAACACCAACAAAAGCCTCAGTTAAACATCCTGTTTTCAATTCTGAGAAACTTTGAGCCATATTTACCTCGTAGACATTAAGCTGTATCCTCTAATAAGCGTCACATGGCGAAAATTACAAAAAAGGAAATCTCAATTTTTTTCGACTTGTTCTACATTCAACATCTTCCGCCATCTTATGTAAGCAGTCACGAACATGCGCGTTGAGGACAAGAACGATAGAATTCTGGGTAATGTGTTTTCCCGCGTAAAAGAGAGGAAGGCTCTTACCACATATTTCGTCCTATTAAATTTAATTTCATCTTTCTGTTACATTCGTTTTCAATCTTCAATACTCATATTACCAGTCAACTCCATTTTGAGCTATTTTAAAATGAAACTCGAGAATTTGTAGAAAGGTCCGGTTTTATTCCAAGAACGACTTTTGCTGATTGGTCACCTCTGATCACATGGCTCTAGCGCGGTAAGAGTTGTAAACGGCGCGCAGAATTTTCCCGCACAAAACCCTCTGCACAACAACAACAAAAACAAAATTAGTTCAATTCATTTCCACAGTTCTAAACTTAACAGTTCTCTACTAAAATTTGGTATTGATGAAAATTATATTTTCCGTATTCCGTTGGTTGTACAAACATGACTTTCAATGGTTTTGGTACACAAACAGCTTGGCCTGACGGCACAGGCTTTGGTGGCGAAGGACAAATTTCGAACGGACGAATTTCAATTTGTGACTTGTCTCAAGGAACGAACCAATGCGTAGGTATTTTAACAGCATGACAAAACGATAAGTCGAAATTCAATTAATTTTTAACTGTTCTTTCCTTTTTATTTCCTTTGCAGAATCTGGTGGGACTCGTAATGGCCAAGCAGCCAGTTCACTCATTTCCTGACAGAAAAAGTGCGAATAAAGCGTTTTTTTAAATTTTACTTTCAGTCTTCGATTTACGTGGGTTATAACACACTTCTAAACCTTTTATTCACTTATTTTTCTCGTATTCACATATTACAGACCCAGGAAGGGAAAAATATCACTTCTTTTTCACGCTGAGAGATTCGCCTGCAGACTTCATCAATGTAAACTGCTGGGGAACCGAAAATTATATCGAAAATCTCTCCAAATCATTCAGGATCAACGATATCGGTGAGCTTGAGAAAGATAGTATCGACGATTATTTAGTCAAGTAGTGAGCCTACTTCAGCTTAAGTTGAGCGATTCCCTGAGATACATGCATCTGTTTCTCATTTTCCTCAAAAAAAAATTCCAGGAAGCTAGAGAACTGAAACTCTGACTTTTTTATGATTTTAATTTGTGACAGTGGAGGTGAGAAACCCACAAATCCAAAACAAACAAAGCAGTGAAGCAGAGGAAAAATGGAGGCCATGGACACCCAGGTAATACGAGGATTTACTCTTTTTTTATCACCTTAAAATCAGAATTTGCCGAAGAACTAAACTGAAAGCTATCACTGCAGAGGATCGCATATTAGAGACCTACATGTAAGAGCATTGATTTGGAAAAAGTAGAAAAAACGCAAATATACACAGAAAGAAGCTACTCTCTCTGGTGCTAAAGCTTTGGGGTGGGAGTTGATGGACAGCTTCTCCGAATGACCCCTTCTTTTTTACAAATATACTTTCTAAATTTATATGCCCTTAATAGAAGATTCAGCTAACTTCTAGCTGCAGTATCACTATTTGTGAGACCATGTCTAATCTATCAATCAAGGACTATCGGTATCCTTATTGCAGTAAACAAGTCTTAAGTAAGTCTCTGTTCATTATTACTTTCAGTCCATATCAATTACATGTCAGTGAGACACATTCCTCCGTGAGCTTGTTCAGTGGCTGGGATACAAGTGTATTTGACCGCATTTCTCACATACCAGTCAAGACCAGTAATGACTTCTACACACTGGGAGACATCATAGCCAATGATCAAAATTTACATGGAGAACATGTCAATATTCAAGCTGTTGTCAAGAGTGTAAGTATGTACGTATGCGTCGACGAACATTTTCGAGCATTTTATACTGCTAGTGTAACCCCTGTGCATTCTGACTAGTTTTATTCCCTAAGAACTTAAGGATTTAGGTAGCCTATGTTGCTCAATGTTAGGCGAGTCAAGTGGTGGGAGGGTGGAGGGGTTAAACGAAAATGGGGAAAACGAGCTTAAAACGAGCGGTCCTCTCCTTCATTTTTCCCTTTTCTTTTTTTCTTCTCTTTTTTTCCTACCCGCCACTTCCTCTCGCTTTCCTTGAACAAAAGTGATCTCACATCCAAGACAAACACCAGCTTTGTTTTTGGAACATATCTTATTGTCACAGTTTTCTTGGACAGGTCATACTTATACAACAGATTATTTCAAATGTTATCTTGGAAAAGGCAAAAGAGTTTTGGAGTAACGTTAAAATCTTTTACAATGGATAAACTTTTTTTGTAGGTTGGATTGCCAAAAGATATTATAACAAAGACAGGAAAACATGTTAAGAGATGTGAAGTGTTGCTTTTCGATGAAACTTGCATGTCTTTTCCATTGGTCATGTAAGTACTCAGTCTCATTTAGCTACCATTAATTGATTCACCATGAATTGGAATGTTACACAAAAAATTCTCGAATTGTCTTTTTTTGGTATAATTGTCACCGTTTTTTTTAGGTGGGACGAGGAGTCAATTGAACTTGCTCAAACCTGGATGCCTAAGGATATGAGTAAGTTTTCATTAAATCCTCAATTTTTGCTCGGTTTTTCATATCAGTTTTGGTTTACTCTTTTAATTTTTTCTTCCTTTAGTTCTTTTTATTGCAGATGTCAAGGCGACTTTTGATGACTTTAAAAAGTGTATGATTGCTACTTGTGATCACAAAACAATAATTACCGCTAATCCAGGTACAACGTGATACCACTTGTTTGATTTCTGCTCCCTTGCACTCATGCAAGTTTCGATCAACGTTATTACTTTTTGTATCTCTCAAATAAATATTGAACAAACAGTCCAACCTCCCGTAAGCGACTACCCAAAATACAAAGATTTAGTGGTTGCTTACGAGAATCGTACCGCAAGAATTTTCTCTATGATAGGTCCCAACACAGATAAGAAAATTTAGTGCATGAAATTCCTAGGTTGGATCAGTGTAGTTACAAGTTGTCACTGAAAGCATACAGCAAACACTGACTATTTCCAGCGGGGTCATGTGGTCCGGGGCGAGTAACTTTGTTTGTCTCCGCTACGTCATCACTAAACCACAAAGCGTTGACTGAGAAGGCCTGGGAAGACACCATACAGGGCAACAGATTAGACCATGCGTCAAGCAGGTTAGAGACTGGAATTTACAACACCGTCATCCCCAAAAGCGGTCACGGTCGCCTAAGAGAGAGGTGGTCGTTTCGAAAGGTTCTAGCTCTAGTAGGGCTTTGACTGAGAAAGTTTTTGGTGTTTTATGTCAGTGGTTGCTTATGGGAGGAGGTTGATCGTTTATTCGAAAGGTGGCCCCAAATGGAGGTTGGACTGTATTTAATTATTGACGCGGACAGTTTGTTTAAATTATCAGTTGTATATGCATATATCATTATATGTTGATTGTTGGTTATTTTCAGACACAATGGAGGCCCGTTATCTTTACAACTACGCGCAGTCGTTGGAACTATTAGACGATGATCCTCTAAACAATCCGGAATCATCTCTGATGGATAGCTGTTAGTATCATACCTTCTCACTAGTATTTTACAGTACCTATTAAAAATAGCGAATGAGTTATAGGTGCGGATTTTTCCACACAATCCGTGGCAAGAGAGTATAAGGCATGGTCATGGGTGGTAACTAGAAAGGGACCTTTACTCGAACTGAGGAGTAGGAGTATTAGTCTTCCATGAACTTGTTACTTGGTTTATTTTATCCTTAGGGAGTTATGTGTGCTGGTCTGCATTTCTAGCCATGTGAACGAGTTTCAGGTTTGGGGAGATGACCAGCTCAAACCGGCCTCACAAGTCTTACCCATTTTAGAATATCGCATTTGGCTCTAGAACGTGTTTCCACCAATGTTTTACTCGCTACAGCGCGATGATTTTTGTTGAGGCTGATCATGAGTGGTCGACAGGGTCGACACTAATTTTAGTCTATGCACAGGACCAGTGATATTTCACGCTGGGCTAGTAAAATTGCGCTCCTAATAACGGCCCCTATAGACCAATTAGTTTAGCGGACAAAGTAAATTTCTACAACTATACTGCTACTACAACTTGGCAAGTTCCTTTCTACTAAAATGCTTCATCAGTAGACCCTTTCTATGTGAAAAGAAAAAGAAGGGCGATATGAAGCGGTCAGAAGTTTTCAAGAAGAAAAAAATGTTCTTTTCTCAGGAACTGGTGTGGTCTTAAACAGTAGTGCTGAGAGATTAGCAAATCCAAACTCTGCTTTTTGTCACAGGAACAGTCGATTTTTGTTTGGACGAGATAACAGGGCATGAAAGTTCTCTTACCCCACGAAATTTTTCTCGGCTTTTTTTGGACTAGTGGCTTGGCCTCGTGGGCAGATGATTTATTTCACTTACTAGCCCAAAGCCTAGTGTCCAAGAAAGTTAGTATCGAGCACTCATCCTCTTATACCGATAAGTGAGTGGTAACACAGCCACCTATATATGACTGCCATGCAAAACCTGGGTAATATAATGTGCACAATCAGAAACTGAGCAATGACCAGCACTGGCCGGATCGAGGAGGACGGAGGTTCAAAAACTACTAGAAGAAAAGCTCTACCGTGAATACTATTCCCCCTCCTAGTCTAAAGTTTCATTTCCCTAGTTTTCTAGGGGTAGTGCTCATCGTCGTCGTCTGGAAAGAATGTCTTCTTTGACTAGTGATAACTCAAAAGGAAGGAAAAAATGAAGAAGGAAAGAAGAATGCGATCATGGTAGAGATGCTGTTTTCACTGGTAGCTGAATCTTTAAGAATCCTTGCTTATCTTACAGTGGCGTTCGTGGCTGTTTGCTTGCAAGTCGTTTTTAGACTTAATTCTAGGAGAGACAGACCAAGAGCATTTTAAATTTTACTTTCCAGTACTGATCTCGAGTGCTTTTTACGAGGGATGACGTAGTCAACCTACGTCTATATTTCGTCCGATTGTATTTTCGAACCGAAGTCACAAATTGGCATGTTTATTAAACTTTCCCGCGGACGTCCCGAAAAATTGAGCGGATTTTACAGACTGCATTTTCGAATCACGTGCAAGTCAAGTTGGGTTGAACATAAACCGATAAAAGATACTTTGCAGAAGCCAAAGTACAAGTCAAATTATGATATGATTGTTTTTTTGCTTCGGGTTGAAGTTGTTTGTTGAACCGTGAATAGCTGAATGAAGTGTGATTTGTAAACTGTTTAATTTGCCACCGAACCAACGAGCTCACAGTGCTCGAAGTAACTTGCTCACCATAATTAATCGAATCAACGAGTTCATGTATAATCGAACCAGTGAGCTCACTTGTAAAGTTATTGAACGAGGAGCCCATTCATTGGGAAACACTGATTATTGAAATAAGAAATAAATATTAAGGCGATTTTTAACATGCAAAGACGATACTCTTGAATTCATCTCAAGTTGAGTTCAGTAGGCAGTTGGTACAGTTGGTTTTCAGAGTAAGACGATACACACTCTGTTGAAGAGCACGCTTCTTTCTATCGATCAACACTATGTTGCTTTTACTGTATGTAATATGCTTTTACTGTGTATGATATGTGGTGACATTAGGTAACCAAAATATAAATATGGCCTTTTGATAAAGTTTCTATTCGAAGGGCGTACGATTATTGACGTTCCGCTTCACGCCGCGTAAACGCCTTCAGGCGTCTTTGTGTTAGGTTGACTGCCCCTGATTCTAGTGCAGTGACTTTATCGAATATGTCTGAGTCGTTTAAATTTAGAAAAGGTACAGACTTTGCAATATTTCCAATGGGTCAAAGAAACCTCTGACTAACCGTGTCCAAGCAGCAGTTCCAAACTGAATTCAGGCTCAAAATTCTTGAACTAGAGTGAGGTTGTGCGGCAGGGGGTAGCGAAAATTCCGCTGATAAGATTGTTCAGCCGAATCACTTTTCATTTCTTCTATACATCGGGGATCTGAAAGGTGAATTGAATTATTTCCATGTTTTATTTTCAGTGGAGAATGTAACGGAGGTTTACAACGTACAGCAACTCAAACAACTGATGTCCGAAGCCGAGAACAGTTTGCAACCGTCTGAAATAATGGGCATTGTCTATGCTTTCGTTACCTCATTTGACATCGACAGAGATGAAAAACCGATTGTTACCTCTCGCTGGTGGGTTGGTTTAAAATCTTCCGTTCATTACAGGAAATTAACTGTTTTCACACTTAATAGAATGAGGTGATTGACAGTTCCGTTACTTGTGTAGGGTATAGGAGATCCACACCACGCAGCAGCAATAAACTGAATGCCCAATGATAATGCTCATAATTGCAATGATATTACACTGTCTGTGTTGTCAAAACAAGAGTACAATACTTAGTCATGAATCTTCGTAAAGAAAAGTTTATGATTTCTTAGGAAATATCTTTCATTTTCCTTTGTCGGCCGAATTTAAACATGTTGGCTTTGAATAAAACACCCCGATAACCCTACTTAATCTGGCAGTATAGCTATTCATCATGATGACGATTCTTCGTCTCAAGTGGTCGATATCCTGGAATCAGAGAAGGTTCTCTTTCAACTACGATCCCAGTTGCTTTTAGAGCTAAAAGAAGAAGGAGAAAAAGAAATAATGACTCTGCGCCGAATTTGTATTGAAACAGTATAAAAGCTTTTTAAGAAAGACTCAACAACGTAGAGTCGTCTTTCTTTGGGATGTATCTTCCTGTTTTTAAAAGCACAGTATTGAAATTTCTCAATGATTTCTTCTTCAGCACCGCTTGTAACCAGAGAGTGGTTCTTCTCAGTGATACTTGCTTAAACCCAGCGTGTACCAGAGTTACAGCAAACCCTGGAGGGGGTAGTTCAACAGTCAAAACACAGTTCGAATTGGGAATCTCTCTGTCTGACCACACGGGAACAATAAGCAATTGTAGACTCACGGAGCCGTGCGCAGAGAGCATGTGTGGATGTAAAGTAAGGGCGGCTCCGCAAAAAGAATGTTTATCAATTTCGTATAATTACTGGTCTTTATATACATTTTGTTTTCATTTCCAACATTTTTAGTCCAAACAGCGAAGATCAGCTGAAATAGTGAGATTTAACAGACCTTAAAACTTTTAACGGTTAATGCTGCATTTTTGACCGTTACCTTTTTCGACGGCTAAAGATTAAATTAGCTTAAATTTTAGGCCGTTTGACGGCTGACGGTTAACCCCATTGAGACCCTCTATTATTAAAAACTCTTATGGGAAACGATCAAGATCAGCATATGATGGCCCCAAGAAAAACTTAGAGTTTTTGTTCTGGTGATGAAATTCACAATACTAAAGAGAGTAGGGTTCCGGTTACATCATGATCTCGAACCGGCCTTCCGCGATCATAATTCCCCAGTGCCCCTGGTAATCGAGCCTCCTTGGAAAAGATCGATTTCACTACGAAAAAATAAACGGCTATAAATAAACTTTTAAAGGAACTTGATAGCCGCCAGACTTGTGCTATTTAGGTAATTAATTTGAGTTGTTCCTTTATTCAAGGCAACGGATATGGCTCACTGGAATATAACGCAATTAACAGAATTAAAAGTGCAATTTTTGCTGGAAAAATGCAAAGTTTACTTCAAGGTAAAGAATTTGTCACGAGTTTCTACCTCAGTTTTCTGGTTCACAGCTCAGGTTTACATAATCTTGTTCTGTGCATTTGTGCTTGTGTTCAACCCGCCCACCCTAACCTATCGGACCTATCAGCAACTTCCGAAAAGACCCTTCTTTCGACAGGAAGATTGCCAAATATTAAATTTTCTTTTTCTCTCTCTTTTCTTTGAAATCTTTTTCACAACTTGAGGCAAGCACTAGTACAAGGATTTTATTTTTTACACATGCCATAAGCAAAAGCACAAAAGATGACACTCGAAGCTGTAGAAGTGAGAAATTCAGGGTTCGTGCCGTGAGGTGCTTGTTCTGGAGAGCACGTCTAACATCAACATAATCATAGCCTGCGTGGCAGGCGTTCGAAAGTGAAGGGAAGGGAATTAGGGCGCCTAAAACTCGCTTTCCCATCCCTTTCAAACGCCTGCCACGCAGGCTAACATAATCATAACTACAAGACAAACGGTTTCTGTAGTCTTTTTCTCATATTTATGTCGCCGCAGTCCTCACTGCAGCGCAAATATATATAACTTAATCATTCGCTTTCTGTGATTTGTGCTTGTGTCGCTGTAGTACTGGGCTAATGCTGTATAAAATTATACTCGTTTCTCAAGTGAGCCTGGTCAATTATGAAGAAGATCATTAACTTCACAAAACAATAACCCTCAAGAGCGTCAAGTGTGTTTGACCCTGCTCTCGAAGCAATGACAACCTCAAAATTGGCTCAATCCCCAAAGGCGTTTTACTGAGACCGTTCCAGCTAATTATATATTCCTTGTTTTCTTAAGGTGGCGACTTCTAATCGTCTTTCCAGCTCTGCGAAGAAATGGATAAGATTGTTGTCATGCACTTTGGCTGACTCAAGAGAAGCTGCTGAATCGCTGCAGTTCAGAAATTGAGATTCTCGAGTCGCTGGCTTGATTCATTAAGGTCATTTGCGAAAATAAAGCAAGAAGAATTTTCAGCATTCTTATTATTTGCTGTGTGAAAATAGGCACGAAATTCCACTTCAGCCTCCGGCTAAGTTCTCAGACCTGTGGCCAATCATTTGACGGTCAATACAGTACGCTGACGTATTTTTTCGACCGCTTGCCGGAATGGTCAGTTTTTCATTGTTAGTATTTTGCCACAGGCTTGAAATCAGTTGATTCACTCATTTTTAAATCAAAACATATTTGTCCTTTAGCTGCTAAAAACAAGCATATTAGATTAAAAAGTTACTACACAGCAAGTGGTGGGTTTTGTTCATTCTGTTCCCAACAACATGTTTGAATAACTAAAATTACTCGTTTATAGACCTTTTACTTCTGATACGTGCACGGAAATTATTAGGACGAAGTTCTGAAAACAACAGTGTATGTGATGAAAGTTTCCTAATAAAAGATTATTGTTATTATTATTATTATTATTATTGATGTATGTATCAGTTTTAGATTTTTGTTTCATGGTAGTGGTGGTGAAGATTATTATTCTTATCGATACACCACATTTCGTCCGCATGATATTGTTTTTTCAAATCTTAAACTGACGCACTTAATTCATTCCCGCAGGTCCAATGTGACGCTCATGTCTTATCAATGTACTGATTCCCGTGACGCGCTTACCGGCCTTGCTGCAGAGCGCAAGTTCGAGGGAAATTGTCGTCCTTAGTACTTACTAGCTTAATAGCAAAAAGCCGACACCAATGATGTTCATAAGACAGGTTCCAGAAAGACTCAGGTTTTTAACAAAATAAGATTTGGTCACTACCAGCCCTCAGGTGCACTTTTATTTTCTTGCGATGAAGACGACAGGAAATTTTTTCTGTTCCGACCCTACTCGACAAATTATCCAACAAATTGACGCTGCAATATTCGATTTTATTATATTTCCTTCCTTTTCATGATCTCAACAATATCAGGATGAATGAATAAAAAAAATTGTAATCCTATTTGGCAATCACGACTACTATTTTCGTTATATTTTCACGTGATTATTGAACAGGAACAAAAACTCACTCTCCTGGGAATCCGTTGAGCTCCTTTCTCACAAGACGTTACCTGTTAAAATCATGTGGACGAATAATTTGCGCCAAGAAATTTTCGCATATTTGTATCTGTATTAAACATCCCGTTTTTCCCAGAAAGGTGTTGAATGTGGAGGAATGTTCTTGAATGTTTGGCACCGTCATCGTCACATGAGATACTCGAATTAATAGTCGCCGAACTGTAAAAAATATTAGCATAGGAATGCCAACAGGTATTTCTTATTGCGTAATTGGAAATTTAGATTGAGTAATTCCCATGAAAAAATAAAAGGATAAATTCTTTGCTACGAAAGTGAATCATATCTTCTTCGATTTCCAGTTCCGCTACGACTGCTACGATCCTTGTTTACGAAAATAACAACTTCCTTATCAGCGAGTCGTCGAAACGTGTCTTATTACAAAACCCACATCATTGCTTTCGCGCCAAATTCCACTGAGATGAACTTTGGATTATAGTAAACCATTCAATTGTTTTATTCTTATTCTGATTGGCTAAGGGAGCAATTAACTACTTTGTGCTCACTTCTTAACCAATCAGAGTTTTGTTGTCATCACGTGCTATGCAAATGAGTCTTAACCATGAATGAATGACTGCATGTTAGCGCGCCACGACGACGGTTTATTTTACTCTTTGTTTTGGTTCAGCGCTAGCGGCGTGGATTTATTCCTCGTGGTTAAAAGACACGAAAACGAAAATGTGGGACAGGAACATCATGTCTTCTTGCGAAGTAGTAAAAGACCGTTTATATTTTGCTACGGTGAGTTGCAAGCCTCGAAACAACGCTTCGTATCATTATTTTAGCGTAGATCACGATGGGACTCTAGACGGTTGTAAATTTCAAGACACACCTTACTTCGGACCTTCGAATCTAGCTGGAATTTATCGTTTCTGCTGTCTTGTAAACACTAAACTTCACGTGATCCCTGCCTCGAAGAAGATAGTACTTTACACTACTGCTAACGAGGGACTTGCCGAAGCGAAAAAGCGAGCGAGGTCTGTCTTCCTGTGTGGTGCGTTCGCGATGTGTCAACTCAAAATGACCGCCGAAGAAATATACGGTTTACTAGAAGAACACTTGCACTCTTCAAATTTGGCTCCTTACTGTGATATTAATGGCAATGTATCTCACAACCTTAGTATCTTAAACTGCCTTAAAGGTTTTGAGAAGGCAACTGCGTTGGGGTTCTTTAAGTTCGACGAGTTCGACTTGAATAGATACGAGCAGGAGGAGCACGCTTTTGATCTGAACTGGATTGTTCCCGGTAAGTTGTTGGCGTTGAGCGATCCTCAAAGAAGGCCAGAAGTAAAAGCGAGTCGTTTCAGTCGACTAAGGAAATATTTTAGACAGATTGGTGTCAAGGGAGTTGTAAGACTGAACAAGGACGACAACATGATCAAATACGGGCTTATTTACGATGTGCGTTGTTTTACCGCCAACGGTTTTAGTCACAACGACTTTTACTTCGAAGATGGCGGGATCCCTTCGAAAGCGATTATCAAGAAGTTTACGAGAGCCGTAGACCAGTGTGATGGAGCCGTGGCCGTTCATTGCCGAGCAGGTCTGGGAAGAACAGGGACTCTGATCGCTTGTTATTTGATCAGGCATTACCGATTTTCAGCTGCCGAAGCCGTGGGTTGGTTACGCATCTGTAGGCCGGGCAGTGTGTCTACTCTACAACACTGTTTCTTGGAACATAAACAAGAACCAATCATGCGTGGATATCCGGAGGACATGAAGATCGAAGACCTGACTGACGCATTTGAGAAAAGCTTGAACATATTTTCCTTCCAGTGTAACACGATTATCGAGGAAAATGTGGTGTAAATTAATATTCATGTTGTGAAATTCTCGTGCGTCTGGTGCACGAGGCGGAAACAGACAGCTGAGAGACTACATAATGGGGGTAGTTGTGGTAGACCAATCAAATCCAAGAAGTTCCAGACAGAACTCTCTTTCCACTCTGTGGCTTTGTTTAATATGAGATCTAGAATTGTGCTCTCTTACATTATAGCACGTACCTCGAAAGATATATTTCTGAAAATTCCTTTGAAATCTTTTCATACGAAGATATTTTATTTGCATGGCTATAATCCTGGTCAAAACATCTTGGGGCACTTAGGGAAATTAGGCACAAAGATGCACTTTGCTAAATGAAATCATGCATATTCTACCTCTTAAAAAAGCTTGGGAATGTTGTTATAAGAGCCTATTTGTGCTGTCCCCCTCTCCGCCAAGCAGTGTTGGTTGTGTTGAAAAAAAACTTAACGGGGGAGGGGGGTGGCAAGGGGGGCCTCACTTTGATGAGCTATTGCATTTGTATCCCAAGAGCTTTGGCCAAGGTTGTAGTTACCATTGAGGTACTTTTTCGTTCTTTTGTTGTAAATATTTTTTCCGATATTATTTCACTGACAAGGCTCGGTAGCCGACTGAAAATTTGATACAGAAGTATGTTGAATCCAAGATCTGTGGCGACCATATCATAGCATGAACCTTTTCTCTCTGGAGAAATCAACAATCAATGTTTATAGAAAAATCAAAAAAGTTATTTTATCAAATACTGGAAAACAAACATCTTGTACCTTACAGAAGTAAGTTGTAAAAAGGTTTGAATGGTGCCATTTATTTTTTTTATTCACAGAATCAAAAGTTAGAACATATTCAATGTCTCTGTTGACCCTAGGAGAAAATGGGAAAATGAGTTGTAACATACATGTACATTATATGACTTGAAAATAGTAAATCTATTTTTGTTTTATTTGATGACACAAAAATTTGTGAAGGCAGAGGTCCAGACTTAAGTCATATTTAAATATTGTGTTGTATAGATACCATTTCATGCTGTGACAGTGCAAATGCATCATTTAAGATTTATTTCATCATTGTAAATATGTAAGATATTTCTTGCAGGCAAGATAGAAAAGTAGTAAAAATCTTTCTAAAGAGAAGAAAAGTTTTGATCAATAGTTGAAGCAGATGACTTAGCCCCATTTCAACTGTTGTGCCAAGCTGACTCAAATTTAACATGACTTGGTCGGAGGTATCCAATTTAATTTAGTGAGATAAAATTGCTCTCGCCCAAATTTGTGAACTGAGTGTGTCATGGCAGAAGCATAACTTGGTTTTATACATGTATGTCATTCTACTGCCTCGCTTAAGCCAAACTTAATTTGTTTGCTCCTGTAAGCATGGCATTAGCACAACATTTGAAAGGGCTTTTGAGATTCTCCATTCAAGAAAATTTTACACCCCATAAATTCAAGAGTTGAAATTATAAGAAACAAATATTTAAGGGAAAATATCAAATAATTTAATATTGATATGCATCTTGTATAGAAGGCACATTTTCATTTTGTAAATCTTAGTGGTTATTTAGAAAAGCCATTTTGCTGAGCCTTGGTCTCTGGAAAATAATTCATTAAAGTTTACATTTATTTAAGGTAAATTTGTAATAATTTCTCAGGAAATTGTGAATCCTGGAGTACAGAATTGCCGTTTAGAGTCCAAAGTTTGTGTGGGCAGTAAGCCCCTTTGATATTTGGAGTGGTAATAAACCATTGCTTGTGAGGAATATTTTAGAATATTGTGTAACCTATTGAATAAAAATTAATGCACTTAATCTCATTTTGTATTGATTTCTTACTGTCTGGTATAAACCAGTTATTTGTTTTTGTTAAAAAGATTTGGCTGCAAGAAGAACAAAGAGTTGACTGGCCAGTAGCTTTGTCCCTCCTTTGGGAAGACAAACACTGTAGATATATAAACCCAGTTTACATCTCCCTTTTTAGAATCAGCCGGCCTAATAGAAATACTAGCTTTATATTAGTTCTTGCTTCATAGCTTTTCTCCCTAATACAGTACAGGCAGTGCACATGGTAATTTTAAGAGCGTAAGCTTTCTCTCTGTATAGCTCTCTTTATATATTTATTGTGAGTGGGCAAACCAGATCCACTAAAACCCCTAAGATGGCCATAAATTGGCTCTGGGACTACACAAGAAAAAGGTACATACAACTAAATAAGTTCAGCCGCTTTATGTTAAAATCTTTCATTTTTTCAGGATTTAGAGACACTCCTTTTTTCTCCACACCATCCCTCTTGCTTCGAAAGTTACGCAACACGGCAACAGTGTCAAATCTTGGGCGACATGTGCTTGCACCTGTCCAAGTTTGAGTGGGGTCTGTAACGCTGTTATGTTCGATAGATTGTTTTGTATTTCTGTTTCGTTTTGTCTGTTAGTTTCTTTCTTTTTTAATTTCTATTAGAGGTTGTTTCTCACCTGATTTTAATTTTGTCACTGGTTCGAACTTGTACTACGGTACAAAGAGTTGACCAGACTGACTCATTAAGATGGTTTTTTTAAACAGCGTCAAGAGTATTTACAATATGCAAATTTTCCTTTCAAGGCCGACTCGCTTGAGACTTCCTCTTTTCTGTATTCGGAACACACTTTCAGTTGCATTTGTGATCTTTAATATGCCTTGTGCAAATTAACAAGCCATGCATCGTGTAAGGTCATTAAGCTTCGTTTAATAGATAAAGGCGGAACGGCCGAACTACAAAACAACTTTCCACTTTTTCTTAAACGCCTGAAGCATACAAAACTCCTACGCCGATTACGAAGTGCGGCACATTCGCTAATTTAGTTTGACTTTTCTAAGGCGTGGGAGGAATTGGCAAAAGAAAAGTCCGACGCAAAACAAATAGATAAGCCACACAATAATTAAAATATATATTAAAAATGAGACATTTTGCCAAGTTGGACTGAGTTCGGCAGTATTCATCGAAAATCCACGACAAAATGAGTTGAAAATGATACTGAAAATGCATCCGTATAGACCCCCATCAAAATTGTAACAGCTGAAACATTTCTTTATTATTCAATAATTTCTCCCTCGCCTTAGAAGTCGCCACCCGACAGTTTTAATGGAACTTTTGCCCTTAATGGGAGCATATGATGGATGTTGGCGGGAAAGTGGCGGCAGTGGGCAAAACGTTGCCTTAACAACGGAAAAATCGGTCAATGACACGAAGCAGCTGATCACGTGGAACGTAACACCTGTTCAACAGTCAGCCTGTTCACAGAGGTCTTTTACACGTGATTTCACAGTGCGCGATCAATGGGACGGAAAATCGAAAAATATGATACCTCATGGGTCAACCCAATCTGCCTGCACGGAGAAAAAAGAATACGAAGATTGATTGACCACCCCCGCTGAAGAACTATAATCACTGCCTTTACACGTCCCCATGTGAAACTACCGCACGTCTGTAGTGGGAAAGAACTACAAAAACTACCGCAAAAATTAAATTAAAGCATGAATCACTTAGGCGAAATGTATATAGCTTAAGCCACTCTAAGCTAATGTATGGACAGAAACTTGCAAATCATAAAGTTTTAAGGCAGGTGAAATCCTTTGTCAAGTTTCTATTTGAATTCAGGTTCTTAAATTACGGATTCTCGCTTTACCCCTCTGAATCCATGGCGTGCGCGCCGAATGGAGCCCAAATTCTGCTTATAACGTACGGGTACTTTCGCGCGATTTTTACTAAGCTTTTGCATATAAGAATATTCAAATTTAAAGTAGACAGACTGCAAATTATCTTAGTTGCTAAAAAATATATATCTACGTGTCGCAACTGTTCATCAGTAGGATGCCTAAAATGCGTGCAATTCCACAATTGGTTCGGCAGTTCAACAGGAAAAATAGAGTTCAGATTGATCTTAACCAGTCGTCATAGCCACGACGTAAGACGGGAACGTAATAATGAAAATTACTAAGAATGTACGTTGACCTATGTTAGGTAACAAGTTTCGGAGTTATCTTTGTCATATATATATGATAAATTCACATTCTTTATTTCGAAGCAAATTAGTTCTTTACCCTATAACGAACCAGAGGCTTTGGTTTTTACGCGCCCTGAGCTGCAGTCTGATATGTAGATGGGCTTTTCAACTGTTTGTAACTCAAACTGCAGCGGGACTTTTCCATTCTACGTAGGGATGGAAAACAACAGGATCCAGCGGCGAATTTTCGTGTGTGGTTGTAAGCTGACCGAAAAATTGAGCTTTACGCTTTGGACTACCTTCACACGGGAACAGACGAATTTCCGACTGGTTGAAAATTCTTGCGTTTAGGTGTTCCGTCCATACGGAACCACCTCAACTGGCTGCACGAAAATTTAGACGTCTAGCTGTTCAAAGTTCCGTGTGAACAGAGCGAAAATATTAAACGGTCCCGTGTGAGCGAAATGTCCGGTCAAATTTTTCAGTCGGTCGAAATTCGTCCGGTGCCGTGTGAACGAACGTACTGGCTTCGTGATCAGTACCAAGCGCGCGCACCGAGTAACACGACAGCGCGCGGATTAAGTTGATGTAATTTGAAAAACCGGTCCTAAGACGGCAAGAGATCTCTTCAAGACTGTTAGTAACCAATTATTTTCTATATAATTTGTTTTTGTACATTTCTCGACGGGAATGGCAGTTGAAAGGCTCAAATTTTTACGCCAGTAATCATATAGCGAAAATTTGCATGCCTTTGCATGCAGGCACGTAGATCCTCCTCAGTTACTCTATAAAGGTGACGTATTAGAGAACAAATTACACACTATAACTGAGCTGAAAGCAATTGGCCTGTTCATACGATTCCGGTTGACTAACATCTCGTCTCGTCTCTTCTGCCCTTCTTTTTTGGAATTAATGCGTTAATGTGGTGGGTCAGCCAACCAGTTTCCGCTTAACTTAGCTTGCCATGTTTTTTGAGTTCTCACATCACCCTTACAGTTTTTGTAAAAATTGCAATTTGTGCATATGAGCAGACCACTTCT